TGCTCGAGAACAGTGTAAGAGCTATATAAAGGCTGGTTGTTGTGTTGCGCACTGACGTGTCACATGACTGGATTTATACACATCTGTCTGCAATCGTCGAATTTATTCAAAACTGACCCTGCTTGCCTGCTGTCATTATAAACAACCTTCAATCAGTATATCTGCTCTCACTGTAAATGTCAAGACTCTGGTGAGTTAATATTTTATATTTGTGACCCAATATTTTAGATTTGTGACTCAATTGCATTGTACTAGATATATGTATCGTCATTCATTGTTTGCTCAATATCTTATAGAATATTTTAGACTTCTCTGTGTTCTGTTTTGCTGGTTCAAAGGGGACTCTTAAACCTTTTGTCACGGCAATTTACTAACCGTAACACAAGTACTTTTTGACATTTATTGCTGAGTTGCTGGGGAGATAGCATTATGCAAGGATGGAGTAGTTGTTTGGGAGATATTCCACCTGAGTCGGTGTGAGGAGATTTAGATATTTGTGGAAAAAACAAAATGGCGGCTGGTTCGGAACATTGAGCAAAATCAGTGTTACATTTTCATAATTATCTACCTTAATTGTCTAAGTTTCCCATATAAATATTTTCTTCTGTGTAATTTACTTGACAAATACTTTATTTGTGCAAGAATAATTAAAATGTATGATTATAGACATAATTCTCAAGCGCACCTCATCAGGGTGCATTGCATTGAAGGTCCCCAGTGTTTTCATTTACAGATATCAAGTAAAAGTTGAAAGAAACTTTGTTTTTAGTGATTATACAACCTAAAATGCAATTTTTTTATAATTTCGTCATAATTCATAATTGTCCGATGGCGGAATATTCCTGCAGTTTTAAAATAAACTAATGCCCAAAAGGAACTATAAAATTAAATATTACATATAAATTGACAAAAATAAAAATGAAGTGAAGTGCACCCGAGCAGTGGTCATCAGAGTGATGCAACGACTAAGACAAACAGGCAATACGTTAGACAGGCCGAGGAGTGGTCGACCATGTGTGACAAGCCCCGGTGATGATCGCCACATTTGAGAAATCGTTTTGTAACGGCAGTGACGGCACTAGGACACCATATAAGTTAACATGCAGTGTACCGGCGACTTAGAGAACATGGTATTCAAGCACGTCGATCCTACCGCGGAATGCATCTGACTCTTCAAAACCGACGTCGTCGATTGGCATGGGCCAGGCGAGTTCGACGTTGGCAGATGCGTGATTGACGACTCGTAATGTTCACCGACGAGAGTAGGTTTTGTTGTACAGTAATGACAAAAGGGCTCTTGATAACGGACGAGTAGGTGAACGTCCAGTGCCGAATTCGGTCGGTCAAGTCCGACCGTTTGGAGTCGGTAGCATGATGGTGTCGGGGGAACCTGCGGCGATCTAAAAACGAGACTTGTGATTATTCATGTCAACCTGAATGCGCGAAAATACAGGTAGGAAGTTTTGCGACCTGTTTTGTTGCCATTTATCAAGCAACAACCACGTGGCATTGTCTACCAACACGATAACGCAAGGCCTCATACAGCAAGACTGACTTTCTGCATAACGCTAACATCGTTGTTTTGCCGTAGGTAGCATGTTCTCCCGACATGAATCCGATAGAACACTTATGGGACTATCTGGATCGAAAAATCAGAAGACTACCAGCGCCACCTGTCACCGCACAACAGTGAGTGAGTGAGTTTAGTTTTACGCCGCACTCAGCAATCGTCCAACTATATGGCTGCGGTCTGTAAATAATCGAGACAATCCAGTGATCAACAGCATGATAATTGATCGGCGCAATTAGGAACCGATTACATGTGTCAACCAAGTCAGCGAGCCTGACCACCCGATCCCGTTAGTCGACTCTTACGACAAGCATGGGTTACTAAAGGCTCATTCTAACTCGGACCTTCACGGGTCCACCGCTCAACAACTGGAACAATGTCTCCTACAGGAATGGCAACGGATCAGGTATAACGTCATTCGTCGACTGACGTCATCAATGCGTAGACGTGTTTTGGCGTTTATTGAAGCCAATGGTCGTCACACTCACTATCGATTGACTATTTGATGACATTTGGTAGAAAAAAAACCCTTGATGACTTGTGTAAAAGCTCAGACTGATACCATGTGTCTGTCAGTGTCAGTCAAACGGTGAAATGAACTTGTGTGCATTTGCTGTAGAACTGAATACTCTATCGAAATTAAACAGATGTTCATTTATATATGCTTTTCTTTTCTTTTCAAGTTTGGGGAACAAAGTGTATACTTTCTTTTTGGCACTAGTTTAAATACCTTGAACTCAATTTTATCATGAATCACAATGACTTATGTGTAATATTCACCACCTGTGATAATCTAACAAATCTGATAGGTCATCTTCAAAGCTTGAGTCGATAAAGAAGAAATTCATGTCAAGAAAACAAGACATAACCATGTCGACACCATGACATAAAAGTTTCACACTATGACATTACAAGGTCCACACCATGACATTACAAGGTCCACACCATGACATTACAAGGTCCACTCCATTACATTACAAGGTCGACACCATGACATTAAAGGTTCACACTATGACATTACAAGGTCGACACCATGACATAACAAGGTCGACACAATGACGATACAACATCCAACAATTAATGCTGTGGATGCATTTAGAATGTGACGATGCCCAAAATATTCACCACCTGTGATAATCTAACAAATTTGAACAGTCATCTTCAAACTCTGAGTCGATTAAGAAGACATTCGCGTCAAGGAAACAAAACATTACAAGGTCGACACCATGACATTACAAGATCCACACCATGACATTACAAGGTCCACACCTTGACATTAAAGGTTCCCACCATGACATTACAAGGTCCACACCATGACATTACAAGGTCCACACCATGACATTACAAGGTCCACACCATGACATCAAAAGTTCACACCATGACATTACAGGGTCCACACCATGACATTAAAGGTTCCCACCATGACATTAAAGGTTCACACTAAGACATTACAAGGTCCACACTATGACATTACAATGTCGATACAACACCCAAGAATTAAATAGCCACTCATGCCTGTTTGCAGCTCACACACACACTGTATTCACTGTGTTTCTAAAAGAACTACATGCATATTTTTCCCTGACAATTAGTATAACGACTAAAACGTTCAGTAAAATGAAAGTAACGGAACTATAATTTGACAGGAAATTTCCACCACTGTTATGAGCGATAAACCCAATGAAAATTGGGGGCAAAATAATTTAAGAATATCATTTCATGTAATGTCTAGAACAATATATTCTAAAAAGTGTTAATTGTCACAGAACCTGACATATTCCAAGGGCAATATAACATCACTGTGAATGGCAGTCAGTTGGGTATGGACTTCTACAACTTCAAGAAGTTGCTCAGAACGACACCAGGATATGCGGCAACACCAGTAATTGGACCTGATATGGCGTCTGTAACGGGATATAGAACACAGTTTTTGGCTGAGTGAGTGCTCTCATCTGGCAGTTGAGTCCATGAACGTACCAACGCACATTGGACATGCGTGGAGCATCAGTCAAATCACCATTGAAAATCATTGACGCAAGAGTTAACCTCAACTTACATTTGTAAGCTAGTTGTCACCTTTGTTACATTTGTAACTACATATTCGTCACTTGATGATGGACATAACAATGGGGAGTTTGACACAAGAGCTAACCTCAGCATACATTTGTAAACAGTCCCGTCCGGATTCGTCAATTGGTGTTTGATCTTAAGAATGTGGAGTTTGACACAAGAGCTAACCTCAGCATACATTTGTTAACAGTCCAGTACGGATTCGTCAGTTGGTGTTTGATCTTAAGAATGTGGAGTTTGACACAAGAGCTAACCTCAGCATACATTTGTTAACAGTCCCGTACGGATTCGTCAGTTGGTGTTTGATCTTAAGAATGTGGAGTTCGACACAAGAGCTAACCTCAGCATACATTTGTAAACAGTCCCGTACGGATTCGTCAGTTGGTGTTTGATCTTAAGAATGTGGAGTTTGATCTTAAGAATGTGGTGTTCGATTTATGGCTTGCAGTTATCTAAATGAGCAGTCGTTATGACCAAATGAGCCATTACCGCACCTCAAACTCACAATTTAACTCCACCTTGTTTCCAGTTTCTTCACAGGAGGCGGGGACAAAGCAGTAGACAGGATAACTTTCCACCAGTAGGTTGATTTTGGTATCTATGATATGTTCTAAACTGCTCAATTCTTTACAGCCTACTAAACCTGTTTTGATATTTCATTTTAAGTAATGGTTGGAATATATTTGTGGTCCCTGAAAGATTTTGATCTATTTCTTTTGAATACACTTTGGCATGTAATACCCGAAACATCACCCCATTTTAATCTATGAGAATTCACATCTGCTCCTTCACACGTGAAATATAAAACCTATTTCATCAATCTTTGAATTTCATCATCACATGTGTTAAATGATGGAATAATATGAGGCTAAATAATGTTATAATTAGTTGTGCTAGCACTCACTCAATGTATTACATGTTTTATGAGTTTGTGATATTTACAACCAGAAAAGGTGGATGAAACATTGTTATCAAGTCTAGCCTTGTTTCGAACGGATACTACACCAATGGGCATACTGCACAGCTCTCTGATTTTACCGATTCCAAGTTGATGGACTACCTGGTCAGTGTTATAGAGACAGGGCTGCATGTGTCAAGACGCACCAACCCACTTACCGCAGTCTGGCTGGGAGAGACGTCCTCTTGTTATGATGGCGGAGCCCCGGCAATCTCCGTCAGATACGTCGCTGGGTTTCTGTACGTAAGACATCAGCATATATTAAACAATGTCCACGTCTTACCTTAATCACCTATACTCGCATAATAATGAACGACGTCCGTTCGTAATAATTCTTTCCGAAATGATATTTAGGAATCAATGATAAGATTTGACTTTAAATGTAAGCCCTTTTGCAAAGTACTAGTAACAGAATAGACCTGTGAATGTGAAAATGGAATGTCTACACCGCCTTTTGAAAGTGTGCACAGTCCAGGTGGCTGGACAAGCTTGGTATTGCTGCTACGATGGGGCTGAAAGCAGTTCTCAGACAGGATTTCTACGCTGGAAGCTATGCACTGATTGACACTGACACCTTTGATCCATTGCCTGTATGTATAGAGAATACCTGTTTCCTATTTTCTTTATGGACTCTATTGCAACACGACATTTTGTGGATTTTCGGTCATCATACAAATCTCTGACTTTACTGATTTTGAGCTGATGTTTTAGTTATACAGCAATGGATATGGAAGCATCAAGACGCACCAAGCCCACAGATATGTTGCATCAATATCTAACAACCACTTGTCGTTTTTACCCCTAAACATTGACTCCAGCTAAAATATTTGATGTCTTTGTGGGCATTTGCTGTGTTGTCAGTAGCTCATTGTCATAACGTCAAACCACTGTTCCGTTGCAACTTCACTGACTATGCTGCCTATGCAAAAGGAACTGCGTAAACTATATCACGCATGAAATATATTAAGCACTGAAAGAAATTTCAATCTGGGGGTGAAGTTTTCAAGATGTCTCAACTCTGTAACTGATTTTGTATGCAATGCAGTTGAGTAAGCAAGCGTATGAAAACTTACCATCAAACCTACCAACAAAATAAGTTCTGTGACATATCATGTCATTTCCATACATTTCTGTGTGTTCATATCCTGCTATGTGCCTTTAGGCTTGTGAAGGATATAATAGTTTCTAATTTACAAGTGAATATGTATAACACTCTGTTTGCAATTGTTACTTGATAAAGTGGCATAAATCGCGTTAAATTATCGGTCCACATCGAACACGATTCTCTTGTTTGGTCAGTTTGGGACCAGGAGAATTATCTAGAAACACGTGATTTTTTTTATAATTGTCATTCCCCTACCTTTATTGAATTTAACTGGGACGACTGGGAGATTTCATAACTCCTATTTACTTTGTAGAATATGAACAGAAACATGAAAATATAATCCGTAACGAGTTTTGCGATTTTATATTATTTGGACAAGACAAAAAAAAGTTCGGTCATCTTTAAAAACTCTGATGAAGAATCCTACGCCATGTGGCTTTCACGCCAAATGGTATCTGTTTGAAAATCAAAGCCAGATATTCTCCAGTATTAACGTTTTTGTAGCTATGCGCGAATCACGATCAAAGGTTTAGCCTGACTGGCTTGATACACAGAACAGATAGTAACACTAGTGAAAGCATGTTGACTGATATACAGGTATCTCAATGAACCACCATGTAGTGATTGTGCAAGATTGCTGATGCTGCGTTAAGCAAGAATCACTCACTAACCTCGCCTTATATATTCCTGGTCATATACACTGTCATACTTTCAAACCGTATCACACGTGGTTTCACCACAGTTAATAGTGGAGTACAGTAGAGTAAGTGAGTTAAAATTTAAAGTCAATTTGGCAATAGTTCAGCCATATCGTGACGTGAGCAATTAATTATTGTATTAGAGACAATAAAAGTAGAAATTAAAAGCTTATTGACGAAGAACAGTAAAACTACCAGTGTATCACAGATATTAAAGTAAATCTGGCAGGTTATCATAAAACGATATTTTTAGATAACAATACAATATAAAGCCAGGTTATGGATTGCCAACAACTGAAGGTAGATCACCATACTAGGGACCATGGGGACTTACGGTACATTTGCTTCCTGCATGGACCCTAGCTGGATTTACACCATCCCTTTAGATATTAGCAATTTTAGATAATCTAGCCACAAATTCAAAGAACATGTCTACTACGATTAGGTACAGGGGATAATGATAACGGTGGAAGATAATCGTTTCTCAATATGAGATGGAGATGGAGTCCAACAGACAACAAAATGCTCACACGGACTGAGCTGTAACATTGATCGGTCATTTCAAAGACACATTTACGAAAATGTCACTACATTCAACATTTTGAGCAACATGCTGAAGTGAACGTTTAACGTGGCAAGACATGGTTTATCTTTACTTGTATGTAATGACAGAATATATTGAGTTTGTTTTATTCACGTCTTCATCTGCAGGACTACTGGTTAACTGTCCTGTATAAGAGACTGGTCGGGGGTTCCGTGTTTTCAGTGGAGGCGAGCGTGAACAACAGCACCATCAGAGCCTACGCCCACTGCACAAAGCCATCCATGTAAATTGAATAATCACAGGTTTAACCAATTGTCGATCTAGAACATTCTACTGAGACATATGTGTAAATATAAAGCTGTCAAGTATTCATATTTTCCTTCATTGTAATGCACGTTTTAAGATTAGTTAGAATGATACTCAATACTAAGTATAAGAGCAAATATAATGGGTGTTGATTCATGTTCATGCAAAGTCGAGGTATACTCTAATACATAGTGTTGTGTTTTAGTTCCTATGGCTACATGCCCGGTAGTGTGACGATGTACTTCCTGCTGCCCACGGATAACACTACCTCTATTACGTTTCCACAATTTCCCGACCAACCTGTAGATGTGTTCTGGCTGACGCCAGTTGATGGACTCACAAGCAAGTAAGTGTCATCCCCTAGACAAGTCGTCTTCTGGTTCACATCACACTGGCCAATAGTTCCTCCTGTCAACCTACAGACGCTCTCTGGTTAACACCAACAGGTCGACAAATTATCGGTGAGTTTCCACTACGAGAGTTTAGATTGATCACATACGTGATACATTTAATGAAGTAGTTTCTTCTAGAAAACCACGGAAAATCAGTTGAAACGTAATATGAGTGACCATTACAACACTTACTACTTCTACATGCAAATATCATTCAGGAAACATACAATATACAATTATCATGTAAAGTTCATAATCAGTCTTCACCATCTCAGAACCGTGGCCCTGAACAACAACCCGATAAAGCTTGTCAATAATACGCTGCCAGAGCTGAAACCTTACAGGACGGAAGGAAACACTGTTACCTTCCCCGGGAAGTCATTCGGGTTCCTCGTCTTCCCTGAGGCTGACGTGGCTGCCTGCAGTAGCCAGTGAGGATGTTCACAGAATGATTCAGGAAAATCTGTACAATCTGCACTTGCTGTGAAAATAAATCTGAATGTGTATTCTGGATTCAGTCATCTCTTATTTTAATGGAATTCAATTATGATTAGGTTTAACGTGAGAGTGCTCCTTTCAACACGTTTTCAAAGAGACTCATACCAGACTCGATCAGACTGGGTTTTTTTTAACCAGGCTATAGACTCGCGTGATTAAAAACCAACTGCACCTTCATCCACATGTCCTGAAATATCTTACATATATATTATTATCTCCATTGCACTAAGAGTAAGGCCTGAAGGCATTACCGGAACTTTACCCTAAGTTATCTGAAGATAACAACACTGATCCTCATCTACACTACCGGTTATACACGAAGTATGTGTGGTTACATATGCCATTGTGTAACATGTGTAAATATAACTAGCAACAGTCTCCGCTATTAAGACACTAACTTTGACTCGTTAATGCAGGCAGCTCATAGTCCTATCACATGAAATGAATGAGATATAAGTGCCTACTAATGCACCTATACAGGCGTTTCTAAGCAACTGTATCAACAACGATTATGTAATACTGCCAATTCGTCCGACATCAATTTCTACAATATACTTGTCGAGACGGAAACATTATGTTTCCAAAAAGTGTATGCACGATATTTATCAATGACGACAACACAATATGTATCCATGATGAAACGAAGCAATATGTACCACAGACGACACGTAATAACATATTAGTATATGATAACATGTTATCAGTCATGATAATATGATGAAACAACACAATATGTATGAAAGATGAACAACGAGTCAGTATTGAAACAACACAACTCGTACCTATGACAATACAAAACAGCATTGATGGTGAGTGAGCCTTCGGCCTGACGAGCGAACACTTTTGGCTAACCCACCCCTCAACTTGTATTAATGACGACACAATGAAATATACAATAAAGATGATACACAAGTAAAACTTGCTTTTGGCGCCACAACACTGAACATACCAGTGATGGTGATATATGAATGAAACATAGACGACACAGCCCAGTCTATATACACGCAAGACGACCTCAGGGAAATGCAGATTAAGCGTGACATACATTCCTATAAGAAATGCCTGAGACAATGAATGCTGTCAGCTCTCCTCTTGGTCTCTTACTCCATATCCCAGTCATAAACGGGAGTAGTCAATGCTAACGTCACTGTTTCAACAACTCATGCTGTTTCATTTATTGACTTATTTATTGGCGTAACAATGGACTCCAGTCTACTCCCCACCTCACATCACTGGAAAGAACTGGACGGCATGCATTAAACAAACCTACAGATATAACAAACTAAAATATCTGTCCCCTTTGGGAAAAAACATAGTTTATTGTATTTGCGATCTGGGCCACGTCATATTTTGATTGGAGGAACTGAGGGTGATATTCTGACCTTTGACCCTACAGGTACAGTAGACATCAACCGTACATTTACAGGCGCGTAAATCTACTCATAATATAGTTTGTCGAGCTATTCCACATGCGCATATCCTGGAGGCCAATACAGTTGGGTATTTGGGAGATAGGATTAAAGATCAAGTATTTGGTGATCTCACTATGATAAATCCTGTTAGTCCTTCTTATTAAGACAAGAACATTGACTCGTTCAAGCCCGAAACTCCCAGCCAACAACAGACTTGTTGACACAAGTCAACAGACACATTACGTTTCCTAAACGGCACAGGCACAATATTTATCAGACAAAACGTTGTGTGCATTGATTACGGGACGACATGTGTAGCAATGCCGACACACCATAGTATGTTATCAGTAATGAAACAACACAATATGTACCTACGGCGATACAAAACAACATGTATTAATGGTGAGTGAGCTTTCGGCGACACGAGCTTTAGCCACTAGGCTACCTACATGTATCTCAGTTTAAATTTATGTTTGGTGTTGAGCCATATCTCCATTGCATAACTATCAAGAAATTTCTTATTGCTTTGGTGAGGTTCAGGTGTAGATCACACCAACTGAAATGTGTTCCTGTAACTATGTAGAAAATGAGTACCACTTTTTACTGATTTGTTCTGCCTATGATGATCTACGTAAATGTTTTATCCCTGTCCATGTTTTCACCCATCCAACCTTGTGTAAATTTAATTGACTGATGTGTAATGCTACTCCTCTTGTTTTAAGAAATCTTGCAATGTTCATCTTCTATGCTAACAATCGTCGTCGCTGCAGCTTGAAGGCTGCCAATGTATAACGTTGTACAATGGGCCGATGGCCTACATTCACATGAATAAAGACTATATATATATGTCCGTATTGATGACGACACAACAAATTATATATTAAAGATGATATATAAGCAACAAATGCTCTTGACTATGGAATACTGTAAGGGACATTCTCGCGATCTCGCATTCTCGCGATCTCGACCTTTGGAAACAAGCTAAAAATGCCAAAAGTGCGAGAATGCGAGATCTCGAGATTTGGCCAAAATCTCACTTTCTCGCGATCTCGCATTCTCGTGTTTTTGGTATCTCGACAAGTCAAAATGGCCATAAAAACATGAAATCGCGAGAACGCAAGAATGCGATATCGCGAGAATGTCCCTTACAGTATTCCATGCTTGACGACACAACATTATACATGTCAGTGAAGGAATCATGAGCACCTACCACTGTCTATATACTGCGTTCTGTGGTGTTCATGCCTGTCCTATCAGAGAGGAAAGTGATGACGAAGATGACGACATTCTGGGCTAGGCTCTTCTCCATTCTCTCCCCCTGATATGACGACAGCAGATTTCGTGGCCAGTGACTTTGGCATCCCAACAGAAATCCCACACGCGCAGGAGTGGGAGGAGCACTCCAAAGGAGGAAGACACCGTGCATTCTTCCTCCGACGAAGAGACAGAGGTTCCGGAGAAGCAGCCCTCCATGACAATGAGAGGCTTCCTCAAAATATACAAAGAAATGAAGCACTTCTCGTTTTCTTGCGTGACGCGCTTGCTGTCCCACATCGAGAATCATCAGCTGTAAAGGAACAAACCAAAATGTCGGATTTTTTCAAATTTGTCACAAGTGAATAAAAGTGAATATGAGAGTGACAAAACTGGTTCAGTTCTAGTCGTAGGTAACCGTGTCAGCTCTACAATTCGGCTGTCTAAACCAGATCATTTCTTCAGTCGCGACGGGTACTGGTTTAAACGGCTTCCACTGTACATATAAATGCAGATTACATGGGACAAACATTCCGATAAGAAAGGCCTGAGACAATGAAGGGAACACTGCCAGCGCTTCTCCTGGTCACCACTTTTATATCCCACACAGCAACGGCAGGAGTCAATGTCAGCGTCACAGTTTTAACAACACAAGTAGTTTCATTTATTGATGACTTATTCATTGGCGTCACTCTGGACTCCCATCTCCTGCCTGCCTCAGCGAACTGGGGAGGATTAGACTTCAAGTAAGTATGTCAAGGTGATCGGCATAGAAGTCAGCAGCTATCATGTTATTGAAGATTCCTTCCATTTGAAGTTATTAAATCGTATTCGGGGCACACTCATGCAGTACGCTACGTTCATAAAGAACAATAACGAACACAACGAACTGCTTGTTTCCCGACTAGGTGCTGAATATTTTAGAACTTTAGAACGACACATAAGGAACGACAGATATATCAAACTCAAATTTGTGGTCCCTCTGATAAAAAACATAGTTTATTGTATCTGAACTTTGGGGCACGTCATATTTCAAATCTACATTCAGGCAAATTAGTGAAAAATACAGACCAAAGGTCCTGATAAGGCTAACCACTAAGAAACTAAACTAGGTCATATTACATGGGCGGATCCAGGAATTTTGAAAGTGTGTGTGTGTGTGTGTGTGTGTGTGTGTGTGTGTGTGTGTGTGTGTGTGTGTGTGTGTGTGTGTGTGTGTGTGTGTGTGTGTGTGTGTGTGTGTGTGTGTGTGTGTGAGAGAGGGGTTCCACCAACGCTAAAATCTTCCATGTGGTCTTAAGTCATTTTTTAAAAGGGGAGGGTCGAACCCCGTGACCGCCCCACCCCCACCCTCCTCTCTCTCTGGATCCGCCAATGTTTTAGCAGATGTCTGTAAGAACATTGTATCCAAACCGTTGAGCGCAGAAACGGAATGTATGTAAATACATTATGCCATTTCTGTTTTGGTGTTTTATCCGTTAATACATTGTATATGTGTGATATTTATTTGAACTCTTTGTTCCTGCCTCGACGCCATTATGTAAAAAGGTGGTAACTCAGTACCAAGATTTTCCTAGTGCCACGCTGCTGTTTACCTCCAGCTCTCAGAAAGTTCAGGCCCTGGCGAAAGGTTTGTCTCCATGCTATCTGAGGATTGGAGGAACTGGGGGGTGACAACCTGACCTTTGACCCTACAGGTCATGGCACAACAGATGTCAATCATACTTTTACAGGTGCGTATATCTCCTTATTATATTAATAGTTTGTTGAGCTATGGTATTGCACATATATGTATATCCAGGAGGCCAGTGCAGTCCTCTTGGGGGCTCACGATAACAGATGCTCCGAATATTCCAACATTTTAGGTATTTGTGATCTCACTATCGTTAAGTCTGTTGTGTCTGCAGGAGCTTCCTGGGATGCTCTTAATACATTTGTCCAGGATGTCGACTGGAAGTTAATATTTGGTCTGAACGCCCTGAAGAGGAAGGAGGGGGAAGTGGGATCCTACCAACGCAAAAGAACTGCTGCAATACAACAGTGCGAAGGGGTACCAACTGGCAGGCCTGGAACTCGGAAATGGTATTGACATAACCATATGCATGGAAAGATGTGGCTGAAAGTTACCATGTTAAATGATTCTACTTTAACATACCAAATTACAATGTGCAAAATTGTGCAAATCTCATAACTTTTGAATTCGAGAATTTTGCCACTTCTCTTCAAAATCAGGGTACAGGTCCTACTATTATGAATGACTTGAAAATAACATTCCTCTTATGTTCTCAGAAAAGTGTTATTTTTTACAGAACCTGACATATTCCCTGAGCAATATAACATCACTGTGAGTGGCAGACAGATAGGTATGGACTTCGACAACTTCAAGAAGCTGCTCCGATCGACACCCGGGTATGAGACAACACCAGTAATTGGACCTGACGTGGCCTCTGTAACTGGATCAAGTACACAGTTCTTTGCTGAGTGAGTACATCGCCAGAGCCGTGGCCATACAGTTTATATGAGCCCAACCAAATTATACTGAGTACTTTCTTTGCTTCATCCTTAATATAAGTGACCAAGAGCGTTCGTGTTGGCAAATATTTGGTACAGGCATGGATCATAAGTCAAATTATCGTAATGGCATTATGTAAGATATACTGGAACGTCAAGGTAACACATAAATCGAATTGTCAACATTGGGCAGGCGAAACAACAATAACAAGTTCAACGGAATTTCTGACGTGTACACACAAAACACAGGTGAGATTCCAGCTGTTAACCAAAATTACAGGTGAGCGGCTGTCCAGCTCGTACAAACAAATTATTGGACGTTTCCAGCGACCGGCAAAATCCTGCTCGCGGTCTACTATGCAGTCAGGATACCTGACTGATAAATACACACATGACGTATCGGGACAAAACTATAGTGTGCGTAATGCGTCGTCGTTTTTTAATGAATGTAATATTTTCATGACAACAGTAAGATCAGGTAGCCGGAAAAATATGCTTACATAATAAAATAAATTGTACCCAGTCAACAAATAGTTTGTATATTTTCCTCGCTTCTACAGAGTGTTCTGTGTGTGAGCAATGTGAATATACATATAACGTTGGACCTCTCCTATTCCCCACAACACATCACGATGAACGCTTTGTCATCATTTATGAGAATAATATACGAACGAGGATAACTGATACGTAGGGGGTTCACTGACCGCAATACATGTTCACAGAAAACCTCGCTCATGAGCAAAGTTGATTGTGCGACTCCGTATATGCCATGAACATTTGTCATCCAAACGTCGTCTGACACTAGTGGCAAACAGGCCATGTTCGATTCTGCCTCAAACGTTCTGAAATATAACCACCAAAGGAGGGGCTTGAAATCTGACTGTCGGAAGGCTGAAGACATCCCTCTTGTCACACGACCTTTAGGAGAGTTGATAATCTGTCTGATTCTCTATGCAAAGATCTCAGTATGAAACAATCATCTCATTTTACTCATTTAAGTATGTCAACAACTCAGATTGGATTGGTTAATTAATGTTTTTCGGACGACCAAATTATGCTACTTTGTTTTGATTGCACCCAGATCGACAGAAATTCCGATTCATATGCATTGAAAGAAACTAATGTGAAAGAAGGGGAGCACAACTGGTTACCATGGGGATGCTTCTTTATTTTCTAAGCGTTTTTCCCAAACATATTTCCTAGATGTCATCAGTGAGGTAGACCAGCATTCCACATGGTGCTTTCTCACTGCTCACCACGTTTACTACATGGCAAACGTCAGTACAAATGCATATGTAATCTTGCCGTTCCTCAGAAACAGAATTCCCAGGTAAAAGGGGCAAAATAACAGTGAACACTTTATGAACGGACCACTTGAACTATGAAGATATCTACAGTGTCGGTGGCACCAGCCACTCCCACAATTTGCCTGGAGAAGGAAGTATACAACCCGGCGCAACACGGCAGAACTGTAATGACAGTGGTCGATGGCGCAGACCTTCCTGTTGTTAATTATAATTACGACCACCGTGCAGGAACACAAGGATTCGGGGGCTTACAAGGAGGAAAACTGTTTGATTGACAACACAGTGGACGTCAGCTTTGAATGTAGTGGACCGCCCATTTCCTTTGTACTTGACTCGGCATTGATACAATTCTGGGACTTCAGTCCAACAACAGAAACATAGACCCAGCTCACATAAAAGTGATCGTTGGCATAAACTACTAAGTCTTGACTATCAAACAAATGCGAAACTACCAAGTCTTGACTATCAAACAAATGCGAAACTACCAAGTGTTGACTATCAAACAAATGCGAAACTACCAAGTCTTGACTATCAAACAAATGCGAAACTACCAAGTCTTGACTATCAAACAAATGCGAAACTACCAAGTCTGGACTATCAAACAAATGCGAAACTACCAAGTCTTGACTATCAAACAAATGCGAAACTAACAAGTCTTGACTATCAAACAAATGCGCCACATGTGGGTGTAAGCATGTCCAACCGTAAACAATACAATATACATGCGTTTATGAATCACCAAAACCAGTGATGACACTCGGTATCCTGCTCAGTCGATGACACAATTCAGAAATACGCATGTCGTGCACATGGTCGCAAAGCTAATACCCAGGCATGAAAGGTATCTTCTTCTCAATAACAGAACCCTTTCGTTGTAAGGAATGTATTACCATGTAATCTTATCAGTGGTTTGGAAGCTACAATACAATAGAGCTTTGGTCAAGTGTAACCAGACATCTTCTCAACCATCTAGGGTCTAATCTAGCATGATTTGTCGCGTTCTATTACATCGCGATCAGCTATATTATTTTCACGTAGGGTATCCTGCCTCTGTTGGAATCTTGGCCACAGTGGCCTCAAGTGTGGCATTGATATGCGTGGCTATCATTTATGAAGATGATGCTCGGCTATCGACCAAGGAACACATATTAAACCACGCAAACTTCCATGATCATTCATTTTTGTTTTTTCAGTTTCTTCGGAGCAGGAGGAGACAGGGCCGTTGACAGAATTACTTTTCACCAGTAGGTGCAAATGATTTTGATATTTATGTTCTACAATGCTCAAATACCATTTCGTGCACGGTTTAATATTCTAATCTTATATCTAACATTCTTTGACACAGTTCCATCAATACATCCTTGGCTTAGTGAAAGATCATTCAGTTCATATATAATATGTCCACATTTATTACATGAAAATGACTTGAACTGACTTTCTGATATACAGTCTTTTATCATCTGTCGTGGAAGTTCATCATGATAGGCGTGGCTGCTGGTATAAAAAAGGCATGCTACTGAGTAAATTATCACGTTTTACTTGTTAGCTATACTTCCAACTTGACAAGAAATATGAAAAATACTAAGGGTGACTATTGAGGGGGAAACAGCTACATTTATTGCGAAAGCGATAGTCTATTGCAACATACTATTGCGATAGCGATAGTCTATAGAGCAACTACTGCAAAACTATTTGAAGTCGTTTTCCAAATGAATGTATAGTTTATATGAAATATTTAATAACTGGCAAGAAACTTGAAACCCAGGTCAGGTAAACAGTTAAAACAATCTCATTGAAGCTACTAAGTCTGCACCCAAACACCCTGTATTTTGCGCTGCGCATGTACCAACGGAAGTCAACTACTAAACTATCAATAGTCACACATACTATCGATGCGTCGATAGTTTTTCGTTTCTTCCATCGATTAATTGCTATCGGAGACTCAACAATTGCAATCTACCAATCTATCGACAGTTACTACACCAACGGCGATACCGCACAACTCCCCAATTTCACAGATTCCAAGTTGATGGACACACTAGTCAGTGCCATACAGACAGCGCTGGATGTGTCAAGACGCACCAACCCACTGACTCCAGTCTGGCTGGGAGAGACGTCCTCCTGTTATCACGGCGGAGCTCCGGGAGTCTCCGATAGATATGTCGCTGGGTTTCTGTGCGTAAAAAAATCAGCACAAAAATTCACACATACACATTGTACTTTAGTCAACTAATTGTTCTTTAGTCAACTGTACTCGCATAATGATGACTGATGGTAGTTCATGATAATGCTTTTTCAAGTGACATTTACAAAATAAGTAGCCCAAGATAACATTTGCCTTCATTCGTAAATCGTTTAGTAAAACAACAGACACGTATGTTGTGACCTTAAATGTAGAAATGGGCTGAAGTCACAGCACACGTACATTCTATTGCAACTTCTACACCACCTTTTGAAAGTGTACGCTGTCCAGGTGGCTGGACAAGCTTGGTATTGCTGCCAGGATGGGCTTGAAAGCAGTTCTCAGACAGGATTTCTACGTTGACAACTATCCACTGATTGACACTGATACCTTTGATCCATTGCCTGTAAGTATAGAGACGACCATTGACCCACTGCCCGTATGAATGAAACTGGAAGTATGTTCATATATATGTATATAGTGTGCATGTACACGGCGCACGCTTCTCTGGTTTTAAGCGTTCCTTGCTGCTGGATCAAATGTTTTCAAGGATAGTGTTTTAGCTTACAAAAAAATCCAGCCCTGTAAATCAAACCTTTCTCAGGCGATGTGGCTGGTGCGTGTAGGGATGGGCATGGTGGCATCTTCCTGCTAGGATAACGAATCACTGGGAATGGTAGACACATGTAGCACCTACAACAATAAATCCCTGAGTTTCAGTGACCCTCTATTATTATATAGACTGTACCGCAATGTTGCCTTTAAGCCCAGTGGTGTGAGTGTTTCATTGAAAATTCAAGCATGGTTAATCTCAACCTAATTATGTTTGATATTTTATGTACGAGTCAGTTGGGATGATGTTGTATTAATCACGACTGTGATTATTAAAGCAGGCGGTGAAAAAAGCCAAAGTTGGATGAATGCTGTGCATTTTTATCAAGGAATGAGAAAATTACCCATCATGCAATGAATTTGATTAAATATAAATGAAGTGGAGCAAGATTTCTAATGAGGCATAATCACTCACTTTCACTGATGTTACACATTCTTGATCATATTGACGTTTGTCCTAGTAGAAGTTTATATTCAGTTACACTTCATTTGGAAAAGCAGTTTCTGTGATAACGATGAAACATATTTATGTTTTCGTTGCCAAAGACGACTGCAGATGATGTTGCGTAACAGAATGGATACTTACCGCACTGAGTTCATTGAAATATTGAATAGACGTTACAATGACAAATAGTTAGTCTAATTCATTATTTCTTTTCTCAAACATTTCACAGATAAAATTCTTAAAGCAATAAATATCACTGAACATTTAACTCAACAAAATATGGTTGTAGAGGAGTCAATCATTCCTATATTTTATTTATATTGATGTAAGCTAATGAGTTTGTTTTGTTCATGCGTTCCTCTGCAGGACTACTGGTTAACTGTCCTGTATAAGAGACTGGTCGGAGGTTCCGTGCTTTCAGTGGAGGCAAGCGTGGACAACAGCACCATCAGAGCCTACGCCCACTGCACAAAGCCATCCATGTAATTTCAAAACACAAAATGCAGCCAGATATTTTAAAGCATTAGCCTGCTAAGACGTAAATTCAGAGTAAGAAAAATCTGTTGAATGAACGGATGCGATGTGAGGTTAGGTATCACGAAAGTATGAAGGGACTTGTCCTGGCAGTTGGTATGTTGAATAAGTTCACAGGGATTGATATAGTCGTTGAATATTATGGACCTATGATAACCTTCTAGTTCACTGAGATATGTCATGAACAATGATGACAATTCCATGGATATACAACTTCTTTATTCTGTGAAAGGCGACGTGTCGACATAGATTCTAATGTCATTGTCAAGCAAGTGATACATGAGAAACAATGTGAGGGAATATATACGTGAGCTGCTATTGCAATAGATTGGGGATGAGTTGTGTATACAGTAGATACAGTATATATGGGTTCATAGGCTGATGTACGGATCTTGTGTAAGAGAGTAAGTAAGTTGATTTGAGAGTAAGTAAGTTGATTTGAAGCCAGTTAGATACGTACAAATAATGAATTAGAGAATAACCAGATTGGACGCCAGATGAATGTCTGTACAATAGATGAGGTTGATGTACATAGCATGTACTATATATTGATGTTTTCTGATATGACCTGCCCGGGAACAGGATTGGATGCCCAGACACTTTTGCCAACCGTTTGTTCACATTTTAATCAAATAATAAAGTACGTAGGTCTTCTTCCGTGCGCCACTGAAAATCAAACATAATCAATACAGAATATGGAGTAAAATATAATAAGTTCAGATTCATGTTCATGCTAAGGAAACGGTCCTCTAAAATTTAGTGTTGTGTTTTAGTTCCTATGGCTACGCGCCCGGAAGTGTGACGATGTACTTCCTGCTGCCCACGGATAACACTACCTCTATTACGTTTCCACAATTTCCCGACCAACCTGTAGATGTGTTCTGGCTGACGCCAGTCGATGGACTCACCAGCAAGTAAGTCCTCCTTCAATCTAAACGTTTTCTAGTTTACACCATTCAATAGACACACTGGCAAATAATTCCATTTGTCAACCTATAGATGCCTTTCTGGTTCACATCAATCTATCGACTCAGCAACAGGGAATTTACAAATCGAGAGTTTAGATTGATGTTACAGGTGGTAAATTAAACTAAGTTTCTTCTAGAAAACCACAGAAAACCACGTTATGTGAGTGGCCGGCCAAACCAACACTATTATTTATACGTGCAGATATCGTGTGGGAGTATACAAAATAATATAAGTAACATGCAAAGCACTTGTTCCATCTTCACCATTTCAGGACCGTGGCCTTGAACAACAACCCGATAAAGCTTGTCAATAATACGCTGCCGGAGCTGAAACCTTACAGGACGGAAAGAAACACGGTTACCTTCCCCGGGAAGTCATTCGGGTTCCTCGTCTTCCCTGAGGCTGGTGTGGCTGCCTGCAGTAGCCAGTGATGATGTTCAGAGAATGATTCAGAAGAATCTGTACAATCTGCACTTGCTATGAAAATAAATCTGAATATTTATTCTTAATTCAGTCATGTGTTTCTCTGATAGTAGTCAAGCTGAATCCTTGCATGCACACAGTTTCCAATCAGAATCAAAATGGCAAAATGAAAGGTTCTTTTTTTCTGAAACGATGTCACTATTAACATGATAATTTTGTGTTACATTCACATGAATAAAGTATGCCGTGGACAAGAATTGTTCGGAATGGTGGATGACTTAGATGTGAACCAATATGTAGTTCCTTGGGGGTATAAACTAATAACCACTAGTACTTGAAACTGCTGTCGAGGAATAAGGGGCAGCCTACTGGAATAAACAACCGTTCGTCAGTCTGAAGGACTGGGTTCGGTTCCCCAGATAGATACAATGTGGAAAAATATTCTCTTGTTTGTGGCTGTGAAAAGAATTTTAATGACATATAACCCTGTCTGCGCATAACCATACCGACTTCTCTTTAACATTATCATTGAGTCACACTCATTGTTTCCAGAGAATGCGATAGTATTTAGAATTGTGATCCCACATTAAAGTTAAACTGTTTTTTTTTAATGGAAGAGAAAATAGTCATGGATAAATCATTGATACATTGTGTTGAGGAAAGTGCCATTTAACCATTCGACGTGTACTTTTATACTTCCCATTATGAAAATATACTATAATTATCAGAAGGCGATACTGTAATGATGCATCTACTCGTAAGTAATGATGATGATTGTTACTAGCTGTATTCAATAAGAGACAGTATATACAGTTGCATCTACGACGATGCAAAGGAGTCGAATATTGGAGAATATGTGTGTAACTTTTAGTGTTTCGTTTGTGTAACACAGCACTCAAAAGCACTCCGCCAATATACCGACTACCTGTAAATAGAGCAGCTTTGAACACATCATCCAGTGATTGATACAACAAACAACGATAAAAGCAGTTGGGTTCAATGTGATCCAGTGAACAATATATACCGATATACCGCACGATTCATACGTTCATCTCTGACTGTCACAGCTTGCTTGGGAATCACAGGAACCCGGACCGGGCAGAGTAGTTAAGAGCCTCATTATAGATTTCACAAGAAACATTATGACAAGTCGTGGCATTGACTAAGTGCTGTTTATACTGACTGTTACATTTCAATACTGACCATTAGGTGTGCTGTACATATATATGTGTGTGTGTGTGTGTGTGTGTGTGTGTGTGTGTTTGCGAATGATGTATCTACAATGATGCATCAGTGGTCGTATTGCCATACATGGAAACCTTAGTCATTTCAATTTTGAGGACACTGCTTTGTCTTCGCTACACTTGTCCAGGTAATTTCGTTGTACAGTGTCAAGCCTGTTAAACTTCTACAATTAGCCTAGTACATGGGTTTATTTGTTTGTGTTAGGTATATTAAGGTTCATATAGGCGTGACACTATTTTTGTTTGTTTGTTTTGTTTTAAACATATTTTATTCATGAGAAAAGGATTGGGTACAAGTTATACAACTTAGAACACCCTCTCCGTAGTATTTACATAGTATTATTTACATTCATTCTACAAGATGGACAGAGAAGAACAGAGCAGAAATATGGGAAAAAGAGGAACAATTGCAACAATTAAGAAAATCGTTTTGAATGACAAATATATGTTTGGACAATTTTAAATATGTTTTGATTTATGTGAACAGTCAGATCTGCATTGCCATGTAATAGTAACTCATAGGTTATATCCACATTGGTAATACTGCGTAAATTAGTCATCATGATAGTTCTCTGTACTGTATATAATTGACAGTCAAATAAGTAATGATAAGAATTTTCACAAACATTTCCACAAGAACAACGTAGTTTTGTAAGGATGATGTTAGTGATTCTCGGTCCAGAATCAAAGTATTGAGGAGCAGTTTTATGTTTTATAACAATATTTGATATAAAAGAATTCAATGACTCGCTTTTTCTCACTTCAACTGGAAGTTCATTCCACATTCTAATTGTGGATGAAAAATAAGAAAAATATTTTTTTCAAAATTTTCCATCATCACGTTAGAGTAAACTAGTTCTTTTATCAGTTCTGGCTTATCAGTACGTTCTGGTTGTCACTGGAACGAGTTCAGTCGTTCGCAATAAATCTGAATTCCTTTCTATTGATACAGGTTAACTTACATTCAGTGCTTCTGACACCATGGCTACCAAACGTATGCTCTTTATACTATGTTCCCTGCATGTGCAATGTACAGTGAGTCAGTCTGTTTCGGTCACTGTTGCTACGGACAAGGCAATAGCAACAATAGATGACCATTTTGTTGGAGTGACCTTTGATTCAACAATGCTGCCAATATCAGCTAATTGGTATGGACTTGATTTCAGGTGAGTGAATTTACACAGTGTCGATATATAGCATTTAGATGACCATTTTGCTGGCGTGAGATTTGATTCCCAATTAGGCCCAAATCTATTAATTCGATAGGCTAAGATTCTAGGAGGGAATACTAGTTCACTTATGTGTTATATATTATAGTTATGTTTACGCTATTTGACATACACATGTGTAATCAATTTTAAATTTCAAATACATATACTCTGTCTTGTGAGTGCATAGTTCATTATAAGATTTGTTTCTAGCTCGCCCAAGGTGCAGACGTTGGCAAAAGCATTGTCTCCGTGCTACCTGAGAATAGGCGGAACACCTGGAGACTTCATGACCTTTGACCCAACAGGTCATGGGGGTACAAGTCCAAACGCTACATACACTGGTATGTTTCTATATTTGAGGTGTATGTCAAAACAAACAAAATGAATCGTGTTGAATTAGTTTATACCGCTCTTTATTTATTAAAAATCAACTCTTTGAGTTGGCATTCATTTACAATGACTGTGTATTGACTGACTGTATTGATCATGAGAAGCACGGTGTGAGCACATGGCATATATTTTCGATTTGTATTCAATGTAACGACTGTCATAACTGCATGACCTTAAACAGGTTCATCGCATTCATTAGCCATCGTAAAGTGTAAAGTGTATCTTTGCCTTTTCATCCATAAAATGACATGCTTTAAAGAACATTTGAATAATAACCAGATTAGGTTCAGTTCAAATTTCTGCACTTCAAGTCTGGACCTGAAATCTGAAATCAGCGATCCTCACTAAAATTGATTTTTTTAAATGGACTGTAATTATATTACGACGACACAATGTTTGTAAACATTGAAACTAGTTCTTACGTGAACTTTGTACATTAGTATATTTATCAGGGTAAAATGTCTTTCCGTTGGCTTTATCGTGCTGAGAACGTAGCACTTGTATGATAAACATGTGTATTTCATATCTGAGGTGCTATGTGGGACAAGCTTAACGCCTTTCTGGAGACTGTGGGATGGGACTTGGTGTTTGGCCTCAATGTCCTGAAGCGGAAGGACGGACAATGGGACCCTACAAACGCCGAAGAACTGATGAAGTATAGCCAGGACAGGAACTACAAAATACCAGCATTTGAACTCGGAAATGGTAATGTATATGTCAACGGTTCATATATTCAGTGTAGACTAGTCGTCTTTGTGTAACATAATGATCCTCTTCCTGGAGTGTTCGTCTATGTGTATAAGTAAAAGCCATTGCTTGTTCATGCGCATGTTAAGAAACACTTTTCTACAGCACATCTGACAATATAATTGTTCTCTTGGAACTGCACAGTGGGATCAGGATTGGGGCAGGATCATATCTGCTGATACCAAAGAACAAAGACAATGTTAACGACAAACATCCTGAAGAAACACGTTTAGGTCTGCAAATACTTCACATCAAAACACATCCGATAGTGAGCGTGATGGACTGAAATAGTTCCACAGCTAAAACAACGTAACATTCCAAGAAAGATATACCTAGAGTTATCCCCTGGGTGGTTCTCTGTGACTTACGAGTGTGTACTTCAATCTTGGCAAACAACCATGTCCTTGAAGCATTAATCTTCTCTATTTGTTCTTCAGAACCTTCATATTTCCCTGAACCCTTCACTGACACAATATCTGGAGCACAGCTTGGGCGAGATTTTCTCCATCTTAGGGCAATCCTCAAGTCAACGCCTGGGTTTGAATCCACCTTGGTTATTGGACCCGACGTAACAGGTATCTCTGGGAAGAAATCAGTGATATTCCGAGAGTAAGTGGAGGTTCCAGTGACAGTTATGTCACTATGGTACAAACTATTCTCAGTATGATTTGTTTGAGTGGCATTCTAAAAGTTGGTGGTATAGGCATGACAAGACTTTATGGATGATCAACACCTTTATTTTGACAATGGCGACGTTTCGATATAGATTCTTATACCGTTATATATATTCTTATACCATATGCTTGAAAACGGTATAAGAATCCATACGGAAAGTCGCCATTGTCAAAATAAAGGAGTTGATCATCCATAAATTCTTGTCATCCCTATTCTCAGTATATCATAAGAATATATTTCTAAATCAGACCTGCATGTGCATCTCAGGCGTAGAACAATGTCTCCAACTGCTTCATGTTTTGTTGTTTTCTTATTTAAGTCACGCCTATCAATATTTCAACTGTATGGCGTCGGTGTGTAAATAATCAAGTCTGCACCAGACATTCCAGTGATCAATGCAACTGGGGTACGATGACATGTGTCAACCAAACATGGGTTACTGAAGATCAAATTCTAACCCGGATCTTTACGGGCATCAGCTATTTCATTAAAACCATCAAGTAAATGACATACATGTATGTGTATAATTTTGAAGTAACTCGAACATTTACCAAGAGTTACTGACATTGATTTGATTCTAACGCTTCTGATGCCTGGATTTATTTACATACTTGTTACAGTTTCTTCAAAGGGGATGGAGGCAAAGCTGTTGACAGGATAACCTTTCACCAGTGAGTCTTGAGCTGAAATAATTTTCTATTCAGTTACATCAACTGAACTGTTCACTTTTACATTCACATATTATTTAACTATGTATGTTAATCGGTGTAGAGGCGACATTGGGTAAACGATTTTTATTTGCGTCAGAAATCAATTGATTGTGTAGGTACTATGCCTATAAATCCTCTGGAACCCCGGACGCCTGTACCGACCCCAAGGTGATGGACACTCTGATAACTGACATCAACATAGCGCGTAACGTCACCAACCTCTCCAACCCCGACACGCCCCTGTGGCTCGGTGAGACATCGTCCTTCTATGGAGGTGGAACTCCTGGTGTGTCTGACAGATTTGTAGCAGGCTTTCTGTGAGTATTAGTCGTCCTTTACAGGTTAACTATACCGTAGCCTATAACAATCTATAGTCTCTTACTGGATATGGTGTTTACAATATTCTTTGGTCTTATCCCAGCAATAAAACGGGTCTGCACTATGAAGAGCAAATGAATGGATGGATGGATGAATTGATGGATATGCAGCTTTACCTCAAACGTAAAAGCAACGTTGCCGTTTTACTTTCACTGAAGTCATATTGAATATTTCAGTTGGTTAGACAAGCTCGGGATTGCTGCACGGATGGGACTTAAAGGGGTGTTAAGACAATCGTACTATGGGAAAAACTATTCTCTCATCGAGATGAACACGTTTGAACCCTATCCGGTAGGTACAACCGATGTATCCCATTTGTGTGCTAAAATGCGACTTTGCGTTAGGTGTTTCTATGTGTGTATGTATGGGTGTATTCAATGTGTGACAATTATCACTTTCCAGGACTATTATCTGACGTTGCTCTACAAGAGGCTGGTCGGGTACAAGGTGCTGTCTGTACAGACCAACTCAACCGACAGTTTAAGAGTCTACGCCCACTGTGCCAGACGAGACAGGTACACACCTGGAACGTATTTTGAGGGATGCTCAATATACACGACTGTTTCTTATTATATGAGAACATCTACTTATGGAAAATGAACATTTGTACTGTGGGCACACTTTCATAACACTATTATTATTAGATGTCTTCTGATTTATTCAACGTTTTAATGCTTTCATCCTATTTTCAACGTTTTCACAGCCTGTACAACTACAAGCCGGGTAGTGTTGCAGTCTATATAATCAACGTCAACAACTACACCACCGTCGTCACCTTCCCACAGTTCCAAAAGAATATGGATCTCTTCTGGCTGAAACCAGAGTTCATAGAACTAACCTCCAGGCAAGTATATGGACACGGGATATTTACATGTCGTGAGACTAATATATGGTGGAACAAAAATGCTTTCTCGCAAAGGCCAAACTAACACAATGACTTTAACTTTTTATATGGTCTCACATACTAAAAAGTGCCATATGTCACTAACTCTTCTGTAACTATCAGACAAATGAATAGCAAATACTAGTCAATGGACTTGGATACTAGGTATTGGCATAGAAATAAGAAGGGTCATATGACATCGTCTATGTAATTTCAGGAACATCACACTAAATGGCCAACGACTGGATTATGTGGACAACACCATCCCCGACATGCCGCCTTCAAAGGCCTATGGCGGGTTCCTAATGCTACCAGCAAAGTCCTTCGGTTTTGCTGTATTCCCTGATGCTGATGTTGATATATGCAAGTGATTGTGACTGGTATTTTGTAATACAGAGAGTAAACCAATGCAGCATTACAAATCTTTGCTTTCGTTTTATTGTTGCAATTGTCGTGACGGTGCGGCACCACCTGAACGCATCACACATAGCTCGATGTTCGAGGTTTCTATTTGTAAATGTTCGTTTATGTAGAATATGATGTACTTACGTTAATTGATGCTTCACTCGAGGCTCAAGATAGCGGCTGAAAGCAATAGAAGTATCAAAACCTTTATATATCTACTGTTACCATCATCATGAAACCATTAAACAACAGAGATCCGAGATGTATTCCGTTTAGTATCAAGTTTCATGAACAGTAGATACCAGTAAATCAATGAAATACGAAGATGCGTTCAAAATAAAAAGTTTGCCCAAAAGTGGTCGATACATCTTTAAACGAACCAGATCGGGTGGCAGTGTGGATTGACATCCACAGGATTATATGATTCCAAATTTAAAAAAACCTGGGTGCAATAATTGTACCTTAAAATATTCTCGTATGGCGCCATATTAAGATCCTACACCACTAGGCCCGTATTAAGACAATCTTATTTAGGTTAAAATAAAATTCAGAGAAATAATATAATGTACCTTGATTTATACAAAACTATACTTTTCATCACCACTGCGCCTTCGTGTCATAGTTTTGACAAAACTCAGGCGGATGAGCCATTCTGCTGATCTAAACATTTTTAACCGTTCTGAAAGGACATTTTCGAGTTCATTGGATATGTGTTTTGTTAGATACTTCTGAAAGATTGTAATTGTAAAAGCAACTCTTCAGAGGACTTTGAGGCTGAGAATAGAGTTCTTTCATGGACAGCACCCAGTCGGCGCAGCTCCAAGCGGAAACCACCAGAGTAATAGTTCTATTGGACGATGGAGAAGATCAAGGAGTTCCTCCCGAGGCAAAATCGCACGGATTCCTACAACAGGTGGAATTAAACTGTACATTTCAATCTGCATGGCGATCAACGTCACGAACTTCCCCTTTGTCTTTGCAGAAGCTTGAGAACTATCAGTGCCTCATTGATTGCACTTCAGATATTAGTATTGTTTCAGTTCTCAGACAGTTCAACTGACCCTCAAGAAATTCAAATGGCATCTTGTCTGTTTACTGTTCGAAGTAGCGTATCTGTATATAATTTGATTCAAACATAGAAAAGTACCTATACTAATTCATTGCCCGTTCATTCCTCGGTCCTGACACGGATATAATAACCCGTTATCATATCTTTTAAGTAAACTGCAATGCCATTATTTCAATGTTTTGTTGTGAGGTACCAGACTAATACCAAACCTGGTGATCTGGTGGAATTGGAGAAAAGGTGGAGTTAACGGTAGTTAGCATGGACATTGATGGGAATTTCTGACTTTAACTTTTCCATCAACAAGAATGTCAACTATCTATTTATCTTCTCTGGCTTCTGAGCAATGTGTCCTTGACACGAGGTCAGTGCTCCAAATATAAAGAAAAAGGACTTTATCTGATATTTACTTTACTGCTGACACTATGGATGTGAGACGTGTGCTCGTTATTCTCTGTTCCTTGTGCAATGTACACACAGTCAATCTGTTTCTGTCACTGTTGCCACAGACAAAGAAATAGGATTGATAGATGACCGTTTCGTTGGAGTGACGCTTGATGCATCATTGCTACCACTATCAGCTAATTGGTATGGACTTGATTTCAGGTGAGTGGGCTTACATCATACAGATAAATAGCTTGTATTAGTTAACAATGACAGAAATCAATATACATTATTCATGACTATTTTCCAAGGTTAATAATTGTAAAGATTCTGAAAATATTTTATATTCTAAAACTAGATCACCTAAAGTCCAGACTCTGGCTAAAGCAATATCACCATCCTACCTAAGAATAGGCGGAACAACTGGAGACTACTTCACCTTTGACCCAACAGGTCATGAGGGTACAAGTGCAAACTCCACATATACAGGTATAGTTATATGTCCTGGTACGTTTTGTGACTAGCTCTAATCATTGCAGTGAATAATGGTGGGACCGGTTCATAACTTGAAACATAAGGACCGTTACAGTTTCATTTCGGGGTAACCTGGAGTAACAGCGTTGAAAACAGCGTTACGGTTTCTAATTGCCACATGCAAGTTGAAACTCGACTTTGTCAGCAGTGAGATCATCTTTCACGAACCCTAGACACATACCATAAAAACCTTCATATTTACGACCAGAATCAATCACAGTTACTAACACGCATGCCAAATTATGAATATGTATTTTATCATTGAGGTGCTATTTGGGACAATTTAAATGAATTCGTGAAGACTGTTGGATGGGACTTGGTGTTTGGCCTCAATGTGTTGTCAAAGCAGAAAGACGGACAATGGGACTCTGCAAACGCCATAGAACTGATGAACTACACCAATTCCAAGAACTACAGGATACCCGCATTTGAACTGGGAAATGGTAGTGTATAGTTCCATAGCCTATTGGTAAATTATAACAGTCGTCTTTGTATGCCATATTAGAAATCTTCCCGGATTCCTGGTATTATTAAAAGAGCATGTTTTAAATCATACATGTCTCCAAGTCAGCTATGTTCTATATGAATACAGGTATGTGAAAAGTCACATCCCATATTCTGTACTCTCATGTTGTTCCCCCCGAACCTGCATGGTTCCCCCCACCCTTCAACATTACAATTAGAGCACAGCTGGGGCCAGACTTTGCCCATCTCAGGGCAATCCTCAAGTCTACGTCTGGGTTTGAATCTACCCTTGTTATCGGTCCCGACGTAACAGCCATCACCGTATTGATGTTGAAAGTTCAATGTAGTCAAGGCCACGTCGGTGTCAGCAGACAGATGAGCGTAAATCCAAAGTACTACCCCCTTACATCTCAACAACAATCCCGTATATACCTATCATACAGTTCTAGATATTTCTAGCAAAGTTCTAAACTTGTTTTAGTCACGATATGGCTGAAATATTGTCGATGTGACTGTAAATCTTAACTCACTCACTCTAGCAAAAGCGACGCCACACCACCAGTCTAAACCAAGTTCAAGATGCCAGTTCAAATCCACATTCAGCCCTTTACACTTTTGTGGTCCATAACAACGAAAGGTTAATTAATGTGACATTATAAGTAACACAAACACATCCTCATAACAGTATTAACAAGCAGATTTATTCATCAGTACAATATAAAGGCAATTCACATTCAGGTTTTTGTCATTTACAGAAGTCTGAGGTTTGTCCTACTAATGAAAGCAGTTGAACTGACTGAGGGTTTCCGCTAATGGAAATGCCCTGGAAATAACCGTTACCGTAAATATTACGCAAATGGATAGACCTTGTAGACAACCCTGAAATGAACTAAACGACAAAACCAGCATACGTTTAGTTGCTAGTTTACCTCACAAAACAGGTCATTTATTTACAGATGGCAACGTCATGGAACAATGAGTCACATCACAAAGACGAAACGGCGTTTGACCTTGGCCTGGGCAGGATAACTCTGCACAGGGGCCATCTTGCTGCTGAATTTCTGTTTTCAGCTAGGAATGTCTTTTATGATTATATTGTAGCTGATAGTGCAGTTATTAATGGCTGTACGTACTTGCAATAAAGCTCATTTTAAGACGGGAAAAAGCCGTGGATTGCTGGACTCGAGGAACTTTGAATATATCAGTTAAACCAAAGCCGATTCCGTATGGTATGGTGACATGTTAGATTTGGTCCACGTGGACAACGGAAACATCATTGCAACCAGTGTGAACCTCGTCAACAGTGGGTGTATAGCCGGGGTAGGTCTTAGGCTTCTAGAAGTAGGTAGTTCCTAAATTCATCACATAACTTGCAAGGAATGGTAGCTAGGTCACTTGATGCGATTTTGTCGAAATCAACATCCAGTTCGTCGTCGATTGGACTTTGCATCAACTACTTACCAGGCGCTTGTTATGGCGTCACAGAGCAATAGATCAGTTAGCAGCAGGAGAGATGCGGGCAGCTATCACGTTACAGCGACCCGCCCAAATGGGCCTATTAATAACAGTTCTACCCATTTTAGCGTTAAATGTTGTAAAAGCCTCTGAGACAGATGACAGCATTATTGACATGATAAGTAATGCTTTATTACAGCAACATTATTTACTCACTCCACAACATGTCACAACACTTATGTTTTCATTTATGTCACTGTACCAATGTCCTCAGTAGGGATGAACTAGAATTAAAAGATGACCACCTTAATGGGTTTCATATGTATTCATTTACAGTTTCTGTGAAGGCGAGGGAAGCAAAGCAGTTGACAGGATAACCTTCCACCAGTGAGTAAGCTATAATATTGTCTTATTTCTCTAAACTATTGTTTAATAATTCAGCTGTATATTATAACAGGTATCATATTAATTAGTAAATATGGAGTTATGTTTTGTACAGGACATAGAGTAAACTGTGATTGTTACGAACTCAAAGTGACCATTAGTTTCTTAGTTATACCGCAGTTACGTATTTCAGGTAAATCATACAGCAAGTGACAGGGGCTCAACAGGCAATGCGTTATAATGATATAAACGTACATAGAGATTATTAACCGAGTGTGTTTCCGTATCATTAATATCATATATTAGGAATAAAAGGTGTATTATGCGAGGGCGCTGTTGGCGAGCATAATACATATTTTTTATTCCTAAAATATGATCTTTATGATACAGAAACACACGAGGTAAATAATCTCTTTATCATATAATGTCATATAAAAAAAAAGCAAATCGTACGTGAATTTATATGAAGAGAATCGAGCATTCGCGTAAGAATACTTATAGCGGTACACCAAGGTTAGGGTCGTTCATGACGGCGGCATATGGTTGTGACTAGTCGCTAATACGGTGCAAACACCTCATGCTTAAAATAAGAGCTTTCTGTCTAAAAAACAACACTGCGGGTAATCACCTCATCATTATCAGTTTCTGATACCTGCCGGAATCAATTCGTCGTCTGTATTGTGATCGAAAGATCGAAATCCTTGGTTGGTACCTTTCTTAGACGATTGCCTTTCAGTCGTGCCTCATAATCCGTTCCTTCAATTTGAACGAAGTACTCCGTTTCATGTTTTCCAAAGTCAATTACTGCAGTAACGACTCCAGAACCTCTGTCATCAATTCTTACAGAATCACAAATTTGGAGAATGGGGGCAGCCATGTTTGTTTACAAACAATGTAAACTCACGACGACGTCATCAAAGAAATGTTAAAACGTTTTAGGATTCGCATGGCGTGTATGGAGTTTTGCGAAAGTAGTTCGTGGATTGACGTAATTTGCATAGTTATCAGATTTTGGATGCTAAGTTTATCAGATTGCTTTATTGCACCGATGACACCCTCCATTAGATGATAAAGTAGTTTACTGTATTGTTTGATTCGTGTCATGTTGCCTCACTGGAGAAGGAACGCCTCACCGGAAAGCGGAAGATCAGTCGACTGTCCCCGCCCTGTTATACTAAATGTAGATACAGACAACACGTCAGGGCTAGCCACAGAAAAAGACTTCATATTGGTGCAAAAGGCACAATAAATGTGAAAATTATATGAAATGAACACTGAAAAACAGTAATGACACCACGAATTTGCCACAAAACATAGCATGTCCTGCCCTGCTGGAAGCACCCGCCATTCACACAATTTGCCAGTAAAAGTAAATATGTGTAGCCGGACGACGCAGTACTCCTGCCATGCGACGGCGGTCCGTAAACAAACCAGACAATGAAATTGTCCATGGACTGGGAAATCCAGTTCTTAATAACTTTCTACTATTGTGTAGAAGTGTAGAGATTCTGATGTTTACCAGTATAGAATAACGTTGTAGATATAGATACTGTGGATGTCAGCTTAATGTCTCAGACCGAATATTTCTGTTGTTGCTGACTCAGGAAAATGCTTTTGAGCTTATGATGAAAGTCCTTCAGCAGAATCATCGACCGAGTTCAGTGAATATGACACAGCGTAAAACGCGCTTCATGTTGTTACCATGACATGCAACCTTAGACCCCATCTACCCCGCTCACCTAATTTGGAAATAAATTGAATGTTTAGTTACTACGCCTTCCAAGGCGATGCTAAAGTGAGCACCTGTATCGACCCCGACGTGATGGACCATCTGATACCTTCCATCGACGCAGTACTCAACGTCACTAACCCCACCGCCCCCAACACTCCCGTGTGGCTCGGTGAGACATCGTCTTTCTATGGAGGTGGAGCCCCTGGACTGTCTGACAGATATGCGGCCGGCTTCCTGTGAGTATCTTACCAGAATGCCAATCTTCTCAAGTTGCCATACACCCTCATGTTACAATGTTATAAAATGTGTTAGTGACTGTATTCATGCTAATGTTGGGTTCATCACTCAGTCCAATTGTCGTCTTTGAAGTTACTCAAGCAAAGTATGTTAAAATTTCAATCAGCATCCGTATGTCACAAGACCAAAGAAACTGAAGTATAAGCTTGTACCTCGACAACGGTTGTTGCTGATGGTATGATTATTGCTGTCAGCAATATATCTGGAATGCTGCTGACAACGTGGGGCTTACAGTAGTATAGACTATCTACATATTAGAACAAAACGTGACTGTATCATGTTAACATAAGCATGTACATCGAATTTACCTTATTATTTCAGATGGTTAGACAAGCTCGGGATTGCTGCACGGATGGGACTTAAAGGGGTGTTAAGACAATCGTACTATGGAGGAAATTATTCACTTGTTGAGATGAAGACGTTTGAACCCTATCCGGTAGGTACAAGTGATATCTTGTCTTGCTTTGTCAGGCTAAGGTGCATCTTGGCGATGTGTCGACGCTTATCCCTCGGACATGCAAATAAAATCATGGTAAAGTGTGAATTCCCTCCGGGTAGATCCATACCCATTTTCGAGGCAGTTGTCGTAAAATAATGATATTGTTTAAAGAATCATTAACCATCCTTACATATGTTCAGAACTAACATGACTGTAGCTGAAATACTGTTTCATGTCACTCATTTGTCAGTCCTTGAAGATATATTAATCTAATTAAAATATTTCGTTATTTACCACCAGCCCATGCCTCAAATAAAGCTGAACATAATAGATGTATATACCGTGACATGTATTTGATAAATAATACATTTAATAATATTTGTCACTTTCCAGGACTATTGGCTGACGTTGCTCTACAAGAGGCTGGTTGGGTACAAGGTGTTATCTGTACAGACCAACTCAACCAACAGTTTCAGAGTCTACGCCCACTGTGCAAAACAGGAAAAGTATGTTGGAATGTGTCATATGGGCACAGGAGATAATTATTGACGATGATTCATCACTCATATTTAAAAATGTTTTACTGCGAGTCATGGATGGTACAGGCAAAGTTAGACACACATTCTGACTGCACGCGGTACGCAGTGTTACGCGACTTAGGATTCAGGTGTAATTTCGGATCTAAAACATTTCGCGTTAGGAAATTTCTTTATGTTCGGATCATATGTATAATTCGGATATGAAACGTTTTGTGGTTGTCAAGTCTAGGTGAACTTTCTAAATTGTAGGTTACAAAAACAATCCGACTATCGAGTCTCGTCTTAAGAAACGAGAAGAGTCGCTGAACAATGTTTGGATCCGAAATTAAACAAAACGCTATACTTTACAACTGACACAACGACGGCATGATAGCTCCTGTCAATTCTGTTTGAGATTTAACCATTCTGGATTCTGAATCTAAAAAACAGATAACTGCGACAGTTTCTAAGAGATATACATTTATAGATCTGATTTCACTCTGCCACTGGCATCCATTTTGGATTTTCTAATTAACATTAATTTATTAGCGTCAACCTTTTTTCCTGCCCAATCAACAAGATTATCTCCGAGTCTCATGTTCCATTAGAAAGATGAAATGGATTGTTTTACCTTGTTAAGCCCAAAGCAGAACATGCGATATTCTGCCAGTGAAAGTCGAAAACATTCCTCAGCATTTGTTGATCGATGACGCATTCTCGTAGCCGCTCTGGTTTAATAATTAATTTATAAACGAGCTGCAGTATATTAATGAGCCGTATAGACCATGTCATGATCTCCTTCACATAGGCGTGATGATGTTGCCGCTAGTCCTTGCTTCGTTTATGAGTAGTCTGTTTTTACATATAAATGAGAGGCAGGCATGTTGATGGGTCATATTTCATCGCCGACATCTGCAGAATGAATATCTGCATTAAAATATAACCATATCTGAAACATATCCGGCGTTATTGCCACCAGGAACTGAGTGATTTCTTAACAAAATTACAGCTTTACTCACAATGTCCACGATGTATTGTTTCAGTCTCTACAGATATCAACCAGGTAGTGTTGTAGCTTATATCGTCAACGTCAACAACTTCACCACCACCGTCACCTTCCCTCAGTTCAAGGCCAACATGGATGTCTTCTGGCTCAGTCCAGAATTCCCAGATCTTACTTCTAGGCGAGTATACGAACCCGTGATACTTGCTTAGAACAGATGTTATTTATTTTCGCGAGCACGTGAATACATTTCAGTGATCCATTCATACAATCTTTACATAATTTTCCTTTACACACAATACAATATGTATCATTATACACAGGAGTTGCCATTTAATGTTTTTGACATAAATAATCTAATCGCAACGCATGTATATAGCACACTATATAAAGTCCAATGTATAAAGTCCTACCTTATACACAGTGATTCGTGCTGTTGAACAGACATTGTGTTTAGCACTTATTGAACAACTGGCTTTTTTTCTTTGTGTGTGTGTGTCTGTCCGTCTGTCTGTCTAATCGAGTCTGCACCAGACAATTCAATCTTTAGCAAATAAGCATCGATCTACGCAACTAGGATACGATGACACGTGCCAACCAAGTGAGCGAGCCTGAATTGAACAACTGCATACCTGATAAGTTTTTGTGACCAGGACGTTCTTTGATCTCAGAATGTCACAACAATAACATCGATTCTATAACACTAACTTTGTAATTTCAGGAATGTGACTCTTAATGGTAAACGACTGGATTATGTGAACGACACCATCCCCGAAATGCCCCCTGAACGAGCGTATGGTGGGAGCCTCCAGCTGCCAGCCACGACCTTCGGATTCGTTGTGTTCCCTGATGCTGATGTGGATGTCTGCAAGTGATGCTGACTGGTAGTTTTGATGTAATATGTAGCGAACTAAAACAAAGTTCCATTGCAAGGTTGGCTTTTTAATTGTATCCTGCAACCAAACGCAAGGAGTAAAAGAGCGTACACTGGTAATATTACACGAGTACGTTTGAGTTAAATATGGCAAATACCGACCAATGCCTGAAAGGGTGAACACTTATGGATGTCAACTTCAGTTATGTGAGGGACACGAATCGCAATATATCCTTACTCCTTCATCAGGTGAAGTGCAGTGAGTCGTGTCATTCACATTAAAGAAGTTGGCATCTATAGTCCGTTTGGCTCAAAGCGGACCGATGAATTGCAATCTAACTCAAAAACTTATAAACATAAAATACTCAATGAAACACTGATCATAATGAAAACGTCAGACCAACTCTGAGAGGTGTTTGCAGAATTTATGTCCTAAAAAGAACAAAGTTGTTTAACAAACTATCATTAAAATATCGACACAGATCACTATTTGTTACGAGGTAGGAGTGCAGAGAAAGGGACAGCCGGGTGTGCGAGAAAGGATGGAGACGGCACAGCACAGCACAGGTTAATGAATCAATAACTTTGTCGGCACTTGTGCACGTGCTTCTCTAACACCTGGCTGTCCCTTTCTCTGCACTCCTCCCTCGTAACAAATAGTGAACTGTGTCAATATTGTAATGATAGTTTGTTAATTAACTTTTTTGATTTTAGGACATAAATTCTGCAAACAAATCACAGAGTTCGTCTGATATTTTGATTATGATCAGCGTTTCATTGAGTATTATATGTTTATTAGTTTTTGAGTTAGATTGCAATTCATCGGTCTGCTTTTGAGCCAAACGCACTATATACACTTTCACCCTTTATGTGTATTACTTCTATATGATATCCAAAGAGGAGTTGTCCTGGAGAATCGTGCTTAGCGTCGAAGATGACCGTATCCATACAGAATCAATGTCATATAATTATGATAATGAATGAATAGTTTGGGGGGGGTACATACAATTTCATCACCTCATTGGTCAGTGCGTCTTTATTACGAGAGTGCCAAGCAGGTGCAAGAATCCGTATCGAAACGTCGTAAAGAATTTGTTATCTATAAAGTTTGTCTATTTTGTACTTTGCAGCTTCTAAAATGCCACCCAAAGAAGATATATCCGAGACTTAAATGGAGACTCACTAGAAAGATTTCTCTGTCCAATGAGAACCTTCGCAGTAAAGTAATTGATCCTCATATACGCGGTTACAGGATAGACAATGTCCTGACGTTACATTGATTGATAGTTTGCTCAGCAATATTCCAGCTATATGACGGCGGTCTGTAAATAATGGAGACAAGACAATCCGGTGATCAACGCAATGAGCATCGATCTACGCAGTTGGGATACGATGACATGTGTCAACCAAGTCAGCGAGTCTGACCACCCAATTCCGTTAGTCGCTTCATACAACAAGCATGGGTTGCTGAAGACCAATTCTAACCCGGATCTTCACGGGTCCCCATACACACAGATTCCAGAGTCAATATGGAGCAAGGTAGATGTGAATATCTTGACGCTGTTGCCTTTCTCCACTGCATATATTTAGACACAGAGCTTGTTGTACCATGCTTTCCCATGAACCCTTACATGGAAATTCTCCAGACTTGATTTATTTCTATTGTGCGCCTGATAATTCATATTTGTTGGCCACATCGTATCATGTATCATGTATCATGGATCTGGTACTATGCTAGGGAGGGGTGATATACCCGATGGAAGATATGCTTCACCAGGGTTGTGCAGGAAGAGAAGCTTAATATTGTCCATTCGGCCCAGCATTGTCCATAGTCCTAGAATCTTAACTGTGGCAGCTGAAGATGATCTCATGTGAAGATTTTGGACTCGCTGCGCGTAGTACCCGTACCGTTGCAGAATTTCCTTCTCGCGGTCTCAATATTGCTGATATTTGGCCAGACCTCACATGCAGAAAACGTAGACGGGAAGATAACCTGTTACCTGATATTCGATAAGATGCAGGGCACACTTCTCCAGTAAAGTCTTAAGCCATTTCGAAGGGAGTTGGTTATCTCCCCTCATTGTTATCAGTCTGTCAGAAATGCTTTCTGCAATATGTTTCTTCTGCCAACTTATAAGCCACAGTTTTATGAGTATAGTAATCGGAACTGTTTTAATGCATCACGCACGGGGTGGAGGACATGTTGTTACTGAAAATAACACGCTTAGGAAACATAGGAGTGTATTAACGATATGTCTGTTTTATACCATTGACAAAATATTGTAAACCGAAGTACATGTATCTAAAAATGAGAAAAGAAACGCTTTTGCAATTACATGGTTCTCAAAACTCAAATGGTATGATTGTGATTCGAACTTACACATGCTTGAAACACACACACACACACACACACACACACACACACACACACACACACACACACACACACACACACACACACACACACACACACACACACACACACACACACACACACACACACACACACCAGGAAGATCCTAGATTGTCGAAAAAGGCCTGGTGCAATCCAGATTGCTTTGGACCTAAAACTCAAAATAGCTGTGAGATCTATATGCAAGGATAATTGCAAATATATATTCATACGAATATGCATAAATAAATGTCTGTCAAAGCAGAGTCAATTATACGATTCCGAGTAAATCAAGAGTACGTGAATCTCTATCAAATAGTATTACCGGGTGTTCACAACAAGTGAGTGCGTCCTGTCGGTGGCATCCGTCATAAACATATGCTACTTTAGTCAGTTGGTCAGCTGAAAATACACGGGACCAAACTTCCTACACTTATGTGTCTATCATATATGCTTCTGGAGTTTTCGTAAAAAGAGCTTGCTCGTCTCTACCTTAAACCTTGTGGAATATTAACACCACTGGCTGGAGCTGCAGGAAATACTTCTCGACATACCAAAACAAATAATGGAAGTCTTCACAAGAGTAACAAACTCTTTTGAAGAGTTTTTATCTCACCGAATCTTTACACATGGATATGAATATGGAACAGATGAGGCAGTCTTACTGGTTTTCTGTCTTGGCAGTTCAGATGAGTAAAGTAGTACAAGGCAAGTGCCTATGTAATAGTTATTGATCATCAGCTCGCCGAAGGGCAAGTTAAACATCTTGTCTAAATTACTTTGCTTTGTACTTGAATTCAGGTTCACATACATGAAGAAACAGTTTGTGCCCATTGAAATGGCTACTATATATCATAAATTTGAATACCATCATTATTGTGCTGCTGACTTTGACTCCCAACGGAACAAAGGAAATGCATCGAATCATTGCACTGTCATCGTTTCGTGAGAAACACTAACTGATATGCAACCTAGTAAACTTGTGGAATCAGAATAACAATGCTGTATACTGAAGTTTATATGGATGACCTTTGATGCACAGTTCTGACCTAAAGTTTCTATTTCAGGCCAACTACTTTTTAATTATGTCGTTTATCAGCAATGTGTCCTCGACTCGAGGTCAGTGCTCCAGATTAAAAGAAAACGTTTTTATCTGATTTAGTTTACTGCTGACACTATGGATGTGAGACGTGTGCTCGTTATTCTCTGTTCCTTGTATGTGCAAAGTACACACAGTCAATCTGTTTCTGTAACTGTTGCCACAGACAAAGAAATAGGATTGATAAATGACCATTTCGTTGGAGTGACATTTGATTCATCAATGCTACCAATATCAGCTAATTGGTATGGACTTGATTTCAGGTGAGTGGGCGTACTTCATACAGATAAATTAATAGCTCTTAAGTGTTTGAGTTTTACAATGAAATACATTCATATGGTGCATATTCTTTGAAGTTTATAAATATTAAAGCAACTTTGAAAATAAACTTTGCTTTAATACTAGATCACCTAAAGTCCAGACGCTGGCTAAAGCGATGTCTCCGTGCTACCTGCGGATAGGCGGAACACCTGGAGATTTTATGACCTTTGACCCAACAGGTCATGGGGGTACAAGTGCAAACTCCACTTACACCGGTATAGCTATATGTCCTATGTCGTATATTGTTTTTGCAGCTCTACTATAATGCCATAACAATACTAAATAAATAGTGCTTAGCTGATTCATACCGTTCAGCATGCATGAATGACAAATGATTGTGCTAACTATATGAGTACAAGCAATATTCTGGATATTTTCAGCTGACGTATAAACTTCTTCATTTTATCATTGAGGTGCTATGTGGGACAACCTAAATGACTTCGTGAAGACTGTAGGATGGGACCTTGTGTTTGCCCTAAATTTACTGAAGCGGAAGCACGGACAGTGGGACCCGGCGAATGCCATGGAACTGATGAACTACACCAATTCCAGGAACTACAAGATACCCGCATTTGAACTGGGAAATGGTATTGTAATGTTCTATAGCTCACTGGATAATATGCATAGCTATGTCATCTTTGTTTACCATAATATATCTTCCTGGAATCTTCATCTCTGTGTATTACAAATTGATACCACGAAAACGTTCTCTGGTTGTTCTCTAGAACCTGCATACTTTCCCCCGCCCTTCACCGACACGGTATCTGGAGCACAGCTGGGGCGAGATTTTGTCCATCTCAGGGCAATCCTCAAGTCTACTCCTGGGTTTGAATCTACCCTTGTTATTGGACCCGACGTAACAGCCATCTCGGGACCGAAATCAATTCTGTTTAAAACGTGAGTGAACAGACGTTCTTGTGATTAATATAATTGTTATTAATGTTTTTTCTGAGACAACCTTATATGATATAGAATAAGTAATATATGCTACTGATTATATACCATGCCCCTACTGGTACGTCCTAATACCTTATGTTTTGGAAGCCGAGAAGATCCGTGTTAGAATTGGTCTTCAGTAAACCATGCATGTCATAACGGGATCGGGTGGTCGGGCTCACTGACTTGGTTGACACACGTCATCGCATCCCAATTGCGTAGATCGATGCTGATGCTGTTGATCACGGGATTGTGGTCTAGACTCGATTATATACAGACCACCGCCATGTAGCTGGAATATTACTGAGTGCGGCGTAAAACTAAACTCACTCACTCACTTAAGTTTTGGCAGGTCATTATGAAGAGAATGATGTTATATTTTTTACAGTTTCTTTGAAAGCGACGGAAGAAAAGCGTTAGACAAGATAACCTTCCACCAGTGAGTAGTCTTGTATCATTGTCTTACTTATCTTATAGTTAGTTTAGTTGTATTTGGCAGCAGATACTTTATAAATCACAAATGTTCGAGATGTTTTCTAATGCGGATAATATTTTACGGAGAACAGAGAACTTAATTGGATTTCTCAAAGTGGTCATTTTAGTCCGTCAATAGGTTAATGGCATAGTACGACGGAAAAATATTTTCTGAACAATGACACACTATTATTTATTTTGGTAATTTTCTGCGTCAGCCTTTCATAAACAATGAAGAAATGTGTCTGGGAACTTAGGAAGTTCTATGTGATTGTAAGAATTATATAAAGTAGCGATCCAATATGAACATTGCTCGCATACACTCCGCGCCCTGACGTCTACCGGACCAACGCTGAACTATGTCACACATTATTTTGAGAGGGAAGAGAGGCTACTCCATTTCCCTTTGACGACCCCAGGTGTCCTGACACAGTTCACTATTTGTTACGAGGGAGGAGTGCAGAGAAAGGGACAGCCAGGTGTTCGAGAACGGATGAAGACGGTACAGCACAGGTTAATGAATAAATAACTTTATCTGTGAACGTGCTTCTCGAACACCCGGCTGTCCCTTTCTCTGCACTCCTCCCTCGTAACAAACAGTGAACTGTGTCAATATTTTAATGATAGTTTGTTAAACAACTTTATTATTTTTAGGACAAAAATTCTGCAAAAACCTCACAGAGTTGGTATGATGTTTTGATTATGATCAGCGTTTCATTGAGTATGTTATGTTTATTAGTTTTCGAGTTAGATTGCAATTCATCGGTCCGCTTTTGAGCCAAACGGACTGTAAGTCATGTTTAAATCTGGTTCTTGTTGTTGCCTTTGCATGCGACCTTAAACACCACATTTTGCAAAACCTAATTTCGAAATCAATTGAATGTTTAGTTACTACGACTTCGAGGGCAATGCTAAAGTGGAGACCTTTATCGACCCCAAAGTGATGGACAGCCTGATAACATTCATTGATATTGTACGTAACGTCACCACCCCTGCCGACCCCAACACTCCATTGTTGCTTGGTGAGACATCGTCTTTCTCGGGAGGGGGAGCCCCGGCACTATCTGACAGATATGTAGCCGGCTTTCTGTGAGTATGTCAGTATTCAAAAGGTCAACGTTCCTTTTCGTATGCTTTCAAAATGTATCTGCTGAGTACACCAGCAAAACCGGAGGATGGTATTATGAGTGCAGTAAATGCACAAGGAACGATGGCTTACATGTACACTCGCCATTATGCATTGTGTCAGCTCTTTTAACACTTTGTCATTAGAACCGTGCCCTACAAATCAAAGCAGTCCCGGAATTCACAGACTCAAAACTTAAGGATATATTTCAAACAAAACGAACGGTCATGTTAGGGGGGTCCTTTCACGAAGCAACCTTTACTAAGAATAACCTTAACTCCCATTCTTTAACATTGTACTAAGGTTACCGTAGGGACTTACGATCACATTAGTGCTTTGTGAAAGGAGGCCCTGGTTTACAAACCTTCTTTTACCTGAAGTTGTAGATATGTGTATTGCATCATATTTTGCATAGTTTGTGTGATAATTCAGGTAAACTGTGCACCACACGAGTTAATGACTAACATATAAGTTTGAAAACAGAAGGCTTTCTTAGAAAGTGTCCAGTAAATTATATTTGGGATTACACCTTCTGAGTAATGTTCGGATTCTAGTACATTTCTATGGGGTCAAGTCCCATCCTGGATTCGAACCCACACTTGCAGGGTCAGGCACCTAATCGCACACATTGATAGTCATTGATAGCCCTGGGTTACTGCTGCCTGGAGCTTATAACACTATCATAGTATAGATAATGTACTCATTTAAACAAAAACAAAGCATGATTTGTATATTGACATGAACATGTACATGGTATTGTCGTCGATGTTTCAGATGGTTAGACAAGCTCGGGATTGCAGCACGGATCGGACTTAAAGGGGCGTTAAGACAATCGTACTATGGGCTAAACTATTCTCTCATCGAAATGAACACGTTTGAACCCTATCCGGTAGGTGCAAAACTTATCTTGTTCAGTTTCCTTAGGGTTTGCAGAACCACAGAGTGTTCACCTCTGATATATTGTAGAGCACGTAATAGTGATGCACCTGGGGCATTGTACCTGGGCATTGTACTGTGTGTCCTGGGCATTGTACTGTGTGCCCTGGGCATTGTACTGTGTGCCCTGGTCATTGTACTGTGTGACCTGACCATTGCACGGTGTGACCTGACCATTGTTCGGTGTGACCTGGGCATTGTACTGTGTGACCTGGGCATTGTTGTGTGAAGCGTTCAACAGGAAACAAGGGAATAAATACTGAATTCTGCTGAAGCGTGGGGAATCATCAAATTCAGCAGCTAAACACGATTATCTGAAGGCCTCAGTTTCCAACTGCCTCACTGCATACATTTGCGACATCTTGTAATAATGGAAACTAAAGGATTTTATTACCTTTCACCATGAACGTAATCACTATCAAGATACCAAAATGTAGTACGTAGTATTACACTTAGTCTGGTGAACGTATGTGTGAGTGTGTGAGTGTGGATGGAATGGGGATGTGTTGCGAATGTTGGACTGTTGCTGTAACTCGTTCTGCGAACATGGATCCCTCAGGCTTGTAATGAAACCTGTGTCCACGTGTTGTTCCTGATCACGTGTCTTACTACTGGCTCATGTCTATAAGAGTAATAACACAAATTTGACTATGTGATGGCACGTATTTTATGCTGTATGATATTAAGTCTGAATGTGTCACTTTCCAGGACTATTATCTGACATTGCTCTACAAGAGGCTGGTTGGGTACAAGGTGTTATCTGTACAGACCAACTCAACCAACAGTTTTAGAGTCTACGCCCACTGTGCAAAACAGGAAAAGTATGTTGGAATGTGTCATAATGGGTACAGGAGATAATTAGTGACGATGATATTTCATCAGTCAGAATAAAAAACATGAGAGCCATGGTACAAGCAGACGTACTGGTACTTAGACGTACACTCCGGGCGCACACAGTACGCAGTGTTACGCGGCTTCGGATTCAGGTGTAATTTCGGATCTAAAACATTTCGCGTTAGGAAATGTCTTTATGTTCGGATCCCATGTATAATTCGGATATGAAACGTTTTGTGGTTGTCAAGTCTAGTGCACTATCTAAATTATAGGTAACAAACACCCCGACTATTGAGTCTCGTCTTAAGAAACGAGAAGAGTCGCTGAACAATGTTTGGATCCGAAATTAAACAAAACGCTATACTTTACAACTGACACAACGACGGCATGATAGCTCCTGTCAATTCTGTTTGAGATTTAACCATTCTGGATTCTGAATCTAAAAAACAGATAACTGCGACAGTTTCTAAGAGATATACATTTATAGATCTGATTTCACTCTGCCACTGGCATCCATTTTGGATTTTCTAATTAACATTAATTTATTAGCGTCAACCTTTTTTCCTGCCCAATCAACAAGATTATCTCCGAGTCTCATGTTCCATTAGAAAGATGAAATGGATTGTTTTACCTTGTTAAGCCCAAAGCAGAACATGCGATATTCTGCCAGTGAAAGTCGAAAACATTCCTCAGCATCTGTTGATCGATGATGCATTCTCGTAGCCGCTCTGGTTTAATAATTAATTTATAAACGAGCTGCAGTATATTAATGAGCTGTATAGACCATGTCATGATCTCCTTCACATAGGCGTGATGATGTTGCCGCTAGTCCTTGCTTCGTTTATGAGTAATCTGTTTTTACATATAAATGAGAGGCAGGCATGTTGATGGTTCATATTTCATCGCCGGCATCTGCAGAATGAATATCTGCATTAAAATATAACCATATCTGAAACATATCCGGCGTTATTGCCACCAGGAACTGAGTAATTTCTTAACAAACTTGCAGCTTTACTCACAATGTCCACGATGTATTGTTTCAGTCTCTACAGATATAAACCAGGCAGCGTTGTAGCTTATATCGTCAACGTCAACAACTTCACCACCACCGTCACCTTCCCTCAGTTCAAGACCAACATGGATGTGTTCTGGCTCAGTCCAGAATTCCCAGATCTTACTTCTAGGCGAGTATACGAACCCGTGATACTTGCTTAGAACAGATGTTATTTATTTTCGCGAGCACGTGAATAAATTTCAGTGATCCATTCATACAATTTTTACATAATTTTCCTTTACATTATTCACAGGAGTCGCCATTCAATATTTTTGTCATGACGAATATAATCACAACACATGTATATAACACACTATATAAAGAGTCGCCATTCAATATTTTTGTCATGACGAATATAATCACAACACATGTATATAACACACTATATAAAGTGTATAAAGTTCTTACCTTATAAACCGTGATTCGTGCTGTTGAACAGACATTGTGACTAGCACTTATTGAACAACTGGGTTTTTTGTTTTGTTTTTCTTTGTGTGTGTGTGTGTCTGTCTGTGTGTCTGTGTCTGTCTGTCTGTCTGTCTCTGTCTACAGCTATGTTGCGGCGGTCTGTAAACAAGTCGAGTCTGCATCAGACAACCTAGTCTTTACAGGAATAAGCATCGATCTACGCAACTGGGATACGATGACACGTGCCAACAAAGTGAGCGAGCCTGAATTGAACAACTGCATAGCTGATAGGTTTTTGTGACCAGGACGTTCTCAGAATGCCACAACAATAACATCGATTCTATAACACTAACTGTGTAATTTCAGGAATGTGACTCTTAATGGTAAACGACTGGATTATGTGAACGACACCATCCCTGAAATGCCCCCTGAACGAGCGTATGGTGGGAGCCTCCAGCTGCCAGCCACGACCTTCGGATTCGTTGTGTTCCCTGATGCTGATGTGGACATCTGCAAGTGATGCTGACTGGTAGTTTTGATGTAATATGTAGCGAACTAAAACAAAGTTCCAATGCAAAGTTGGCTTTTTTATTGTATCATGCAACCAAACGCAAGGAGTAAAAGAGCGTACACTGGTAATATTACACGAGTACGTTTGAGTTAAATATGGCAAATACCGACCAATGCCTGAAAGGGTGAACACTTATGGATGTCAACTTCTGTTATGTGAGGGACACGAATCGCAATATATTCTTACTGACTCATCAGGTGAAGTACTGTGAGTCGTGTCATTCATGTTAAAGAAGTTGGCGTCTATAGTCCGTTTGGCTCAAAAGCGGACCGATGAATTGCAATCTAACTCGAAAACTTATAAACATAAAATACTCAATGAAACACTGATCATAATGAAAACGTCACACCAACTCTGAGAGGTGTTTGCAGAATTTATGTCCTAAAAACAAAAAAAGTTGTTTAACAAACTATCATTAAAATATCGACACAGTTCACTATTTGTTACGCGGGAGGGGTGCAGAGAAAGGGACAGCCGGGTGTGCGAGAAAGGATGGAGACGGCACAGCACAGGTTAATGAATCAATAACTTTGTCGGCACTTGTGCACGTGCTTCTCTAACACCTGGCTGTCCCTTTCTCAGCACTCCTCCCTCGTAACAAATAGTGAACTGTGTCAATATTGTAATGATAGTTTGTTAAATAACTTTTTTGATTTTAGGACATAAATTCTGCAAACAAATCACAGAGTTGGTCTGATATTTTGATTATGATCAGCGTTTCATTGAGTATTATATGTATATTAGTTTTTTAGTTAGATTGCAATTCATCGGTCCGCTTTTAAGCCAAACGCACTATATACACTTTCACCCTTTATGTGTATTACTTCTATATGATATCCAAAGAGGAGTTGTCCTGGAGAATCGTGCTTAGCGTCGAAGATGACCGTATCCATACAGAATCAATGTCATATAATTATGATAATGAATGAACACTCTTTATTTCCCAATAGTTTGGGGGGGTACATACAATTTCAGTACCTCATTGGTCAGTGCGACTGACAATGGAAAATCGACAAACTTTATGGATAACAACGTCTTTATTACGAGAGTGCCAAGCAGGTGCTAGAATCCGTATCGAAACGTCGCAAAGAATTTGTTATCTATAAAGTTTGTCTATTTTGTACTTTACAGCTTCTAAAATGCCACCCAAAGAAGATATATTCGAGACTTAAATGGAGACTCACTAGGAAGATTTCTCTGTTCAATGAGAACCTTCGCAGTAAAGTCATTGATCCTCATATACGCGGTTACAGGATAGACAATGTCCTGACGTTACATTGATTGATAGTTTGCTTAACGCCGCACTCAGCAATATTCCAGCTATATGACGGCGGTCGGTAAATAATCGAGTCTGGACCAGACAATCCGGTGATCAACGCAATGAGCATCGATCTACGCAATTGGTATACGATAACATGTGTCAACCAAGTCAGCGAGTCTGACCACCAAATTCCGTTAGTCGCTTCATACAACAAGCATGGGTTGCTGAAGACCAATTCTAACCCGGATCTTCACGGGTCCCCATACACACAGATTCCAGAGTCAATATGGAGCAAGGTAGATGTGAATATCACCAACCCCATGCATATCTTGACGCTGTTGCCTTTCTCCACTGCATATATTTAGACACAGAGCTTGTTGTACCATGCTTTCCCATGAACCCTTACATGGAAATTCTCCAGACTTAATTTATTTCTATTGTGCGCCTGATAATTCATATTTGTTGGCCACATCGGGTAGATCATGTATCATGGATCTGGTACTATGCTAGCGAGGGGTGATATACCAGGTTGAAGATATGCTTCACTAGGGTTGTGCAGGAAGAGAAGCTTAATATTGTCCATTCGGCCCAGCATTGTCCATAATCCTAGAATCTTAACTGTGGCAGCTGAAGATGATCTCATGTGAATATTTTGGACTCGTTGCGCTTAGTGCCGTTGCAGAATTTCCTTTTTGCGGTCTCATAATTGCTGATGTTTGGCCAGAATTCACATGCAGAAAACGTAGACGGGAAGATAACCTGTTACCTGATATTCGATAAGATGCAGGGCACACTTCTCCAGTAAAGTCTTAAGCCATTTCGAAGGGAGTTGGTTATCTCCCCTCATTGTTAACAGTCTGTCAGAAATACTTTCTGCAATATGTTCTTCTGCCAACTAATAAGCCACAGTTTTATGAGTATATAAATCGGAACTGTTTTAATGCATCACGCACGGAACATGTTGTTACTGATAATAACACGCGTAAGAAACATAGGATAGTATTAACGATATGTCTTTTTTATTCCATTGACAAAATATTGTAAACCAAAGTACATGTATCTAAAAATGAGAAAAGAACTGCTTTTGTAATTACATGGTTCTCAAAACTCAAATGGTATGATTGTGATTCGAACTTACACATGCTTGAAACACACACACACACACACACACACACACACACACACACACACACACACGCCAGGAAGATCCTGGATTGGCGAAAAAGGCCTGGTGCCTTGTATGCAGGAGTGTTATAGCAGCTCGAAGGTGTAGATCGTCTGCCATTCATAGTGTATGATTATTAATAATGTTTCATTGAATTTCATCGGGTTGGTCTGTGATAATTCCTTGTACACATAAACCGTGTGGTCTCAAGTACTGTTAAAAAAACTACATGCTGTATATTACGATCTTGCAAAACACGTCTGCAATTGCAACACATTTATGTTGTATTACACTGAGAAATGTTAATAGAAACGGGGAAAACCCTTCCCAAATCCATATGTATAGAATGTCAGTGCGAAAGAAAATCCAGATTGCTTTGGACCTAAAACTCAAAATAGCTGTGAGATCTGTATGCAAGGATAATTGCAAATATATATTCATACGAATATGCATAAATAAATCTCTGTCAAAGCAGAGTCAATTATACGATTCCGACTAAATCAAGAGTACGTGAATCTCTATCAAATAGTATTACCGGGTGTTCACAACAAGTGAGTGCGTCCTGTCGGTGGCATCCGTCATAAACATATGCTACTTTAGTCAGTTGGTCAGCTGAAAATACACGGGACCAAACTTCCTACACTTATGTGTCTATCATATATGCTTCTGGAGTTTTCGTAAAAAGAGCTTGCTCGTCTCTACCTTAAACCTTGTGGAATATTAACACCACTGGCTGGAGCTGCAGGAAATACTTCTCGACATACCCAAACAAATAATGGAAGTCTTCAAAAGAGTAATAAACTCTTTTGAAGAGTTTTTATCTCACTGAATCTTTACACATGGATATGAATATGGAACAGATGAGACAGTCTTACTGGTTTTCTGTCTTGGCAGTTCAGATGAGTAAAGTAGTACAAGGCAAGTGCCTATGTAATAGTTATTGATCATCAGCTCATCGAAGGGCAAGTTAAACGTCTTGCCTAAATTACTTTGCTTTATATTTGAATTCAGGTTCACATACATGAAGAAACAGTTTGTGCCCATTGAAATGGCTACTATATATCATAAATTTGAAAACCATCATTATTGTGCTGCTGACTTTGACTCCCCACGGAACAAAGGAAATGCATCGAATCATTGCACTGTCATCGTTTCGTGAGAAACACTACCTGATATGCAACCTAGTAAACTTTTGGAATCAGAATAACAATGCTGTATACTGAAGTTTATATGGATGACCTTTGATGCACAGTTCTGACCTAAAGTTTCTATTTCAGGCCAACTACTTTTAATTATATCGTTTATCAGCAATGTGTCCTCGACTCGAGGTCAGTGCTCCAGATTAAAAGAAAACGTTTTTATCTGATTTAGTTTACTGCTGACACCATGGATGTGAGACGTGTGCTCGTTATTCTCTGTTCCTTGTATGTGCAATGTACACACAGTCAGTCTGTTTCTGTAACTGTTGCCACAGACAAAGAAATAGGATTGATAAATGACCATTTCGTTGGAGTGACATTTGATTCATCAATGCTACCAATATCAGCTAATTGGTATGGACTTGATTTCAGGTGAGTGGGCGTACTTCATACAGATAAATTAATAGCTCTTAAGTGTTTGAGTTTTACAATGAAATACATTCATATGGTGCATATTCTTTGAAGTTTATAAATATTAAAGCAACTTTGAAAATAAACTTTGCTTTAATACTAGATCACCTAAAGTCCAGACGCTGGCTAAAGCGATGTCTCCGTGCTACCTGCGGATAGGCGGAACACCTGGAGATTTTATGACCTTTGACCCAACAGGTCATGGGGGTACAAGTGCAATCTCCACTTACACCGGTATAGCTATATGTCCTATGTCGTATATTGTTTTTGCAGCTCTACTATAATGCCATAACAATACTAAATAAGTAGTGCTTAGCTGATTCATACCGTTCAGCATGCATGAATGACAAATGATTGTGCTAACTATATGAGTACACGCAATATTCTGGATATTTTCAGCTGACTTATAAACTTCTTCATTTTATCATTGAAGTGCTATGTGGGACAACGTAAATGACTTCGTGAAGACTGTAGGATGGGACCTTGTGTTTGCCCTAAATTTACTGAAGCGGAAGCACGGACAGTGGGACCCTGCGAATGCCATGGAACTGATGAACTACACCATTTCCAGGAACTACAAGATACCCGCATTTGAACTGGGAAATGGTATTGTAATGTTCTATAGCTCACTGGATAATATGCATAGCTATGTCATCTTTGTTTACCATAATAAATCTTCCTGGAATCTTCATCTCTGTGTATTACAAATTGATACCACGAAAACGTTCTCTGGTTGTTCTCTAGAACCTGCATACTTTCCCCCGCCCTTCACCGATACAATATCTGGAGCACAGCTGGGGCGAGATTTTGTCCATCTCAGGGCAATCCTCAAGTCTACTCCTGGGTTTGAATCTACCCTTGTTATTGGACCCGACGTAACAGCCATCTCGGGACCGAAATCAATTCTGTTTAAAACGTGAGTGAACAGACATTCTTGTGATTAATATAATTGTTATTAATGTTTTTTTCTGAGACAACGCAACCTTATATGATATAGAATAAGTAATATGTATGATACTGCGCTTGGTAGCAGCAGCATGTCTTTTGTGCTCTCACAAACTTGGACTTTTTCACTGGATTATTGTACAAATTTGATTCTACAAAGTTGATCATATTGTACATGATCATTTCCTCCACACATTGCTGCAATTTTTGAGACTTTGGGGACTGAAATGTGGATTTTGTGTATAATAATCTCATTCATAAAGGTTGATTTTATTGTCAACTTGAGTTCACCACCAATCAAGGGTGTAGCTGAGGCCTTCAAAACCCAAGCTGACTCGGCCAGTGTAACAATGATCAATCAGTCAACAATAGCCTACAGCAGGGAGACTCTGCTTGCCATTGGTGAAAAGTGTTCAAGTGCACATCTTGGAACAACTGCCAAGGGACATAACTCTGAACTACTTCACCATCTGAATAATCTTAGAATTTCATTAAGAAAGCGAACCAGAAGAGGATGTAGAGCTGGCAGAAAGATACCAAAACGGATTAAAGTGATTCAAGGACGATGGAACAAGGAGGTCAGGTGTTAACTTTAACAACCTGGTTCAAGTTTATCCTAGAAGATTTCCAAATACACTCAGTGTCTCCTTGATAAACGTTCAATCATGCAAAAAACAAGACTTTGGAACTATCTGATTTGATTCAGGAAAATGATATTGACATTCTTTTTCTCACTGAGACATGGTTACGAAAAGAGGGGGATGAAGTGAAAATCGCTGAGCTGACACCCCCTGGATACAGCTGCATACATGCTCCAAGATCCCAGCGCGCTGGTGGGGGTGTAGCAGTGATACATAGGTCTAACATTCAGATAGAATGTTTAGACAATTTGGAAGAATTCAAAAGCTTTGAGTCAATCAACACTAAAATTAGTTCTGGAAATACTTGTGCTCGTGTTGTGTGTTTGTATCGTCCACCGTCGTCAAAGAAAAACCAACTTTCAACCTCTGTATTCCATGGTGAGTTGTCTGTACTCGTTGAGAGGTACAATCAGTTGAACACTATTTTGCTAGGTGATTTTAATATTCACTACGATAACAATCAGTGCTCAGATACAAAGAAGATGAAACAACATAGTTTGTGTCAGTATGTTGATGCTCCAACACATAAAGGAGGCCATATCCTTGACTGGGTGATATCCTCTGAAAGTAGTTCCTTAGTGTCTTCTGTCAATGTGCAGGATATACAACTTTCCGACCACTTTCTGGTTTCTATGACCTGGAGTATGGACAGACCTCAGCGTCAGACTATCAAACAATCCTGTCGTAATCTCAAGTCTATTGACAATGTTGAGTTTCGAAGAGATCTTGTAAACTCTGACTTACTCCAAGACCCCCCGGATGATGTAAACCAACTGGCTGAGTTGTATTCATCCACATTGTCATCTCTCTTAGATAAACATGCTCCATCAGCTCTGAAGGAAATAATTGTCAGATCAGGGACTCCTTGGTATAATGAGCAGGTTCTCTTAGCCAAGCGGAAACGCAGAGCTGCAGAGAGAAAATGGCGGAAGAGTCGCCTTGAAATTCACCGTCAGTTGTATAAGTCTGAGCGGAACTCTTGTGCTAGGGCTCTTAGAGGAGCCAAATCCAGTTACTGTACCAAGAAACTCTCTGACAATGTGAAAAATCCTTCCTTCTATCACAAATTCATGGGATCTCTACTTGGCAAGAAGAATGATACCCCATTACCACCGTCCACTAATGACAAGGATCTTGCTGACAATTTTTCAGCCTACTTCTCAAGTAAAATTGAAAATATCAGGAAAAGCTTTGACCAAACATTTCTTGACACACAGGATCCTTCAACATGCCCACCCGATGATGGGATCTGCCTGGACACCTTTGATTCTTTCACTGAGGGTGAGATAGCTGCACTCATCAAACGGTCAAAAAAGACATTGTGTCTTTTCGATCCGATGCCAACTCGTCTCCTTGATGACTTTTTGGAGACTCTTTTGCCAGTTATCACGAAACTGATCAACTTGAGCTTAGGTAATGGTGTCTTTCCAGAGGTGTTCAAGCAAGCTGTGGTAAAGCCATTACTTAAGAAAGACAATTTGGATATCAATACTCTCAAGAATTACAGACCTGTCTCCAACCTCTCTTTCCTTTCCAAGATCCTTGAACGTGCAGTTGATGTCAGACTCAGATCCTATCTCTCTTCAAATGATTTTCTGAACAGATTCCAATCAGCCTATCGTCCTAGGCACAGTACCGAGACCGCCTTTACTTCAAATTCTGAATAACTTGAGATGCCATGCGGATTTGGGTAATGTGTCACTTCTCCTCTTGCTTGATCTCTCAGCGGCGTTCGACACGGTCAACCATCAGAAGCTCCTTAGCCGTCTTCAGGATGACTATAACATACAAGGGGATGCATTGGCCTGGTTCCGTTCCTATCTGAGCATGAGGAGTCAGTCAGTTCTTGTCTCTGAAAGCATCTCTGAGTCAACGATCCTAGAGTGTGGTGTACCCCAGGGCTCAGTCCTTGGGCCGCTTCTCTTTGTGTTATACACAAACCCTTTGGAGAAGGTCATTGATAACTTTGATCTGAATCACCACGCATTTGCAGACGACCTCCAATTGATGGATTCCTTCAAACCAGAGGATGTACAAATAGCCAGATCTAGAGTGAGTCAGTGCACGAAGGCAATTAGTTCATGGATGATGACAAATGAGCTGAAGCTCAAAGATGATAAGACTGAGGCTATGTTGATTGGCACATCGCAATGTCTGAAAAGGATAAACTCTACGGACATCACAGTAGCCAACTCAGATATCCCACTTTCATCCAGTGTAAAAAACCTAGGTGTTCATCTTGATCCTTGTCTCACCATGGAGCAACATGTGAACCATCTCTGTAGAGTAGGCTACTTCCATCTCCACTCTATTGGTAACATCCGCCATCTTGTAATCACAGATGCTGCTAAAGTTCTCACTCAGTCACTTGTTCTCTCCAGGATTGACTATTGCAATAGCCTACTGTTTGGAATCTCCAATGATCTTCTCTTCAGACTTCAAAACTTCAGAATGCTGCCGCCAGAGTTGTCACTAAAACATCCAAATGGACTCACATAACCCCAATCCTCCAGAGTCTGCATTGGCTGCCGGTTGAAGCAAGAATTCATTTCAAGATCTGCACTCTTGTTTTCCGCTGCAAACACGGCCTAGCTCCTCCATACCTCTCTGAGATGTTGTCAACATATATGCCTGCCCGTTCTCTCCGCTCTCAGAATCAACATCTTCTCTCAGTTCCCCAAGTTCGTCTCAAACACTTTGGCCATAGGTCATTCAAATTTGCAGCACCAACCCTATGGAACAGTCTTCCTACTCCCATAAAAAAATGCTTCATCCCTAGAAGCATTCAAATCGGGACTCAAAACCTTCCTCTTCAAAAAAAGTCTACAACCTATAACTGTAAAATACTCTCACGGTTATTTTTGGCTAATTGTCATATCTTCTTCTTGAACTCTAGTCACTCTTTTTATATGTAGCGCTTTGAGCATGCTCTGGATGGACTATGGCGCATAAGAAATATCCATTTATTATTATTATTAATATATGCTACTGATTATATACCATGCCCCTACTGGTACGTCCTAATACCTTATGTTTTGGAAGCCGAGAAGATCGTTGTTAGAATTGGTCTTCAGTAAACCATGCATGTCATAACGGCATTGGGTGGTCGGGCTCACTGACTTGGTTGACACACGTCATCGCATCCCAATTGCATAGATCGATGCTGATGCTGTTGATCACGGAATTGTGGTCTAGACTCGATTATATACAGACCACCGCCATGTAGCTGGAATATTACTGAGTGCGGCGTAAAACTAAACTTACTCATTCAGTTATGTTTTGGCAGGTCATTATGAAACGAATCATGTTATATTTTTTACAGTTTCTTTGAAAGCAACGGAAGAAAAGCGCTCGACAAGATAACCTTCCACCAGTGAGTAGTCTTGTATCATTGTCTTACTTATCTTATAATTAGTTTAGTTGTATTTGGCAGCAGATACTTTATAAATCACAAATGTTCGAGATGTTTTCTAGTGCGGTTAATATTACGGAGAACTGAGAACTTAATTGGATTTCTCAAAGTGGTCATTTTAGTCCGTCAATAGGTTAATGGCATAGTACAGCCGAAAAATATTTTCTGAACAATGACACACTGTTAATTATTTTGGTAATTTTCTGCGTCAGCCTTTCATAAACAATGAAGAAATTTGTCTGGGAACTTAGGAAGTTCTATGTGATTGTAAGAATTATATAAAGTAGCGATCCAATATGAACATTACTCGCAACCACTCCGCGCCCTGACGTCTACCGGACCAACGATGAACTATGTCACACATTATTTTGAGAGGAAGGGAGGCCACTCCATTTCCCTTTGGCATGTGTCTATATTTCAAAGACCTGACACAAGGCATTTCAGCTGTTAGTTTTATCTTTGCTCTCTTATCTCTGACATAAACCATGTGCATGTATATCAGGACGTTTCGTTTCGGGAAAGATATCATAGATCTGTGTCTGTGGACAACAGACACACTATGTTCAGTTTGTCATGAAACTGGACAATGCGGACAGCAACTCTCCGATGTTTAAAAATGTTCATCAGATTTGTATTGCTTCAAGCAGCATCAGAGTTGCAGGCTCTTCTACCAAACTGAGATGTACACTTATATCAGCCGACCCGTTTTGAAGGATTACTGAAGTTCGAGAGAATATTGCTTTTGAAATGTGTTTCTTGTAAAGCTGGTTCATTAAAATGTGTGGACTACAGGACATATTGTTAGACTTTTGTCATGTCGTCTCCATGATCTGGTAGATCGACGGAAGGCGGAAACTCTGTGGTCCCATCCCAAGCTCTATCATACTAAGTCATGTTGAAATCTGGTTCCTGTTGTTACCTTTGCATGAGGCCTTAAACACCACATTTTGCAAAACCTAATTTCGAAATCAATTGAATGTTTAGTTACTACGGCTTCGAAGGCAATGTCAAAGTGGAGACCTTCATCGACCCAAAAGTGATGGACAGCCTGATAACATTCATTGATATTGTACGTAACGTCACCACCCCTGCCGACCCCAACACTCCATTGTTGCTTGGTGAGACATCGTCTTTCTCGGGAGGGGGAGCCCCTGGACTATCTGACAGATATGTAGCCGGCTTTCTGTGAGTATGTCACCACAATGTCAGTATTCAAAAGGTCAACGTTCCTTTTTGTATGCTTTCAAAATGTATCTGCTGAGTAAAATGAGGAAAATCAGAGGATGATATTATGAGTGCAGTAAATGCACAAGGAACGATGGCTTACATGTACACTCGCCACCATGCATTGTGTCAGCTCTTTTAACACTTTGTCATTAGAACCGTGCCCTACAAATCACAGCAGTCCCGGAATTCACAGACTCAAAAATTAAGGATATATTTCAAACAAAACGAACGGTCATGGTTAGCGATCCAGGGGGTCCTTTCACGAAGCAACCTTTACTAAGGTTAACCTTAACTCCCATTCTTTAACATTGTACTAAGATCACCTTAGGGACTTACGATCACCTTAGTGCTTTGTGAAAGGAGGCCCTGGTTTACAAACCTTCTTTTACCTGAAGTTGTCGATATGTGTATTGCATCATATTTTGTGTGATAATTCAGGTAAACTGTGTACCACACGAGTTAATGACTAACATATAAGTTTGAAAACAGAAGGCCTTCTTAGAAAGTGTCCAGTAAATTATATTTGGGATTACACCTTCTGAGTAATGTTCGGATTCTAGTACATTTCTATGGGGTCAAGTCCCATCCTGGATTCGAACCCACACTTGCAAGGTCAGGCACCTAATCGCACACATTGATAGTCATTGATAGCCCTGGGTTACTGCTGACTGGAGCTTATAACACTATCATAGTATAGATAATGTACTCATTTTAAAAAAAACAAAGCATGACTTGTATATTGACATGAACATGTACATGGTATTGTCGTCGATGTTTCAGATGGTTAGACAAGCTTGGGATTGCTGCACGGATCGGACTTAAAGGGGTGTTAAGACAATCGTACTATGGGCAAAACTATTCTCTCATCGAGATGAACACGTTTGAACCCTATCCGGTACGTACAAAACTTATCTTGTTCAGTTTGCTTAGGGTTTGCAGAACCACAGAGTGTTCAACTCGGATATATATTGTAGAGCACGTAATAGTGATGCACCTGGGGCACTGTACCTGGGCTTTGTACTGTGTGTCCTGGGCATTATACTGTGTGACCTGACCATTGCACGGTGTGACCTGACCTTTGCAAGGTGTGACCTGGCCATTGTACTGTGTGACCTGGGCATTGTACTGTTTTCCCGTTAAACAGGAAACAAGGGAATATATACTGAATTCTGCTGAAGCGTGGGGAATCATCAAATTCAGCAGCTAAACACGATTATCTGAAGGCCTCAGTTTCTAAATGCCTCACTGCATACATTTGCGACATCTTGTGATAATGGAAGGATTTTATTACTTTTCACCATGAACGTAATCACTATCAAGATACAAAAATGTAGTACGTAGTATTACACTTTGTCTGGTGAACGAATGTGTGAGTGTAGATGGGATGGGGATGGGATGGGGATGTGTTGCGAATGTTGGACTGCCGCTGTAACTTGTTCAGCGGACGTGGATCCCTCAAGCTTTTAATGAAACCTGTGTCCACGTGTTGTTCCTGATCACGTGTCTTACCACTGGCTCATGTCTATAAGAGTAATAACACAAATTTGACTATCTGATGACACGTGCTTTATGCTGTATGATATTAAGTCTGAATGTGTCACTTTCCAGGACTATTATCTGACGGTGCTCTACAAGAGGCTGGTTGGGTACAAGGTGTTATCTGTACAGACCAACTCAACCAACAGTTTCAGAGTCTACGCCCACTGTGCAAAACAGGACAGGTACTCATTTGGAACGTGTTTGATGATGTTCTATCTGGGCATCTAGGACATAATTCATGACGATTATTTCAACAGTCAAAATCACTTTCACACACAACAAGGAGAGACAGGCACGTTAATTATCAGCATGTGCCAAATTTAATCAAAAACGTATGCTGAAAGAATATCTGCAACGAAATTAGACCATGTCTGCCTACAATGACAAACACATCCACTCAGATTCCCAAGGCATTTAATGGTTTTTTGATGTTCTTAACAACATTGCCCCATCACTCAAAGTGTTGCAAATGTATTGTTACAGTCTCTACAACTACAAGCCAGGTAGTGTCGTTGTCTACATCATCAACGTCAACAACTACACCACCGTCGTCACCTTCCCACAATTCAAAACCAATATGGATGTCTTCTGGCTTCAACCAGAGTTCCCAGACCTTACTTCAAGGCGAGTTGAATTTTTATGAGCACGTCAGTGATATCCAGTGATCCGTTCATATAATATCCACCACCGATTTGCCTCAGTATTCAGAGGAGTTAATTGGAACATATTAAACCTCAGAGAATAAATGGATACAGGCTTGCCTCTCAAAAGTGATTTGTACTGTTGTAAACTGTTTTTGATGCAGCTGTATAATTTATAGGTTGTTGTTGCTGGGACGTGGTTTCATATTGCCAGAGACATTATACATCTTATGATCTTGTAATTTCAGGAATGTCACTTTAAATAGTGAACGGCTGGATTATGTGAACAACACCCTCCCCGAAATGCCGCCTAAACGAGCGTATGGTGGGAGCCTCAATATCCCAGCAAACACCTTCGGGTTCGTTGTGTTCCCTGATGCCGATGTTAATATCTGCATGTGATACTGAATGTCATGTGTTGTAATGTGTACCAAACAAAGTTTCATTATAAAGTTTGCTTTTGTTCTTGCTGGTATTCTGCAGTAATGCGTGCAATGCACTCAATGTGTAAAAGTGCAAGTATACTATTAATAGAATATACGTACTGTGGAGCATTTGCCAACACACACATGTAACACGTGTTATATTTGGAATTACACTTTCCCAGTAAAGTACAGTTTCTAGTTCTTTTGTTGAGTTGAGGCCCATCCGGGATTCGAACCCACATGTACATGGTTGAACATTAAATATACCAGCACAATGATATCGATCTCAGATCTCTTCGGGAAAATGTTACAAAGACGAGATCTATGTTTGTTCACGACTACGACCATGATGAAGAATTTCCGTCCGACTTCTGCAAGTGGCAGAGCGGGTCTCCGTACCACTGAAAATCTGTGTTCATAAAAATATTCACCCAAAGAAATCTCTGCCGAATGTACGATTCGGATTAAATAATGAGCATGCACTTATGAATAACTATGAACTATTGATGAGACGACGTGTTCAAGAAACATGAGCGCATTCCGCCCCACCACCATTGACAAATCCAAATTGTAGTCAATTGTTCACCTGAAAGAATCGGGAACGTGTGTTACAGGTCAAAATAATTAATTGCATCGGAGATCCTTTTTGTACTGATGACAGATATTGAAATGTCCTCGTGGGTACCATAAATCTTTTTGAAAGCTTCACTGAGGTCTTGTCACCTCGATCGGACAACTTCTGTTCAGACGGTGTCCCTGGTCTCCATTGTTCCTATTGCTGGTGGACCAATCAGTTGAAGGGAATCGGTTTATGATACTGACTAAGCCATATCAGACCATGGTATACGTGAAGCGTAGGTTACGTTTCTTTACCAAATTAACTTATTTTACTTTTCCAATCCGAGCAGAAATTCTGATTCAGTATGCGTAATGAAACAGATCTGTAAGAAGGGGAGTATAGGTTGTGCCAACGGGGATGCCTAAATGTCTTCATACTGGACTAAATATACCTCAAAGCGCCACGAATGTAGTTCAGAGCAGGTCCGTGTTGGTGAGGATAAACCATAACTTGTTCCTGATTGTTCTTCAATAGCTCCGTACGCCAGACTGTTTATAGTAAACTCAAAGAGCTTTAGGCGTCTGAATGATTATATTCTGTTTATTGTTGTAAGCATCAAAGATGTCATACAGTTTCATATGCGGTAGGCGTATGTCACATCCCAAATACTCTGTTATCAATCGTTATCAAGCATAGATATATACGCACATACACGCAAATAAACTGACCCAGAGCTTATTTTCTCATGATGACATGCAGATTAGTTTTAAATCTGACAGCGTTATCCAATATTGTGTCTTCCATGACAAGCAGTAATTAGTGACGGGCATCAAAATATTTTTTCTACAGCTGGCATCATTTCTCCTCAGAACATATTGAGATCTTTCACATAAACGGTAGTATATATCACCGTATTGTGTGGGATACCAACAGAAACTAGTAAACTTTGGGAAATCGGAACACTGATGGACACTTCTGAGAGAGTGAGTGAGTGAGTGAGGTTAGTTTTACGCCACACTCAGTAATATTCCAGTTATATGGCGGCGGTCTGTAAATAATCGAGTCTGGACCAGACAATCCAGGGATCAACAGCATGAGGATCGACCTGAGCAATTTTGAACCGATGATGTGTCAACCAAGCCAGCGAGCCTGACCACCCGGTCCCGTTAGTCGCCTCTTACGACAAGCATGGGTTACTGAAGATCAATATTCTAACACGGACCTTCACGGGTTGATTGACACTTCTGAGTTTAGCTGAAATTTTCCATCATCACGAATGCCAACTATTTCCTTATCATTTCTGGCTTATCAGCAATGTGTACTGGTCTCCAAATGGCTGTTTCAGATTAAAAGAAATACGTCTTTATCTGATGTACTTTAGTGCTGACACTATGGATGTGAGACGTGTGCTCGTTATTCTCTGTTCCTTGTATATGCAATGTACACACAGTCAATCTGTTTCTGTAACTGTTGCCACAGACAAAGAAATAGGATTGATAGATAACCGTTTCGTTGGAGTGACATTTGATTCAACAATGCTACCAATATCAGCTAATTGGTATGGACTTGATTTCAGGTGAGCTGGCTTACATAATACAGTTAAATAACTCTTATTGCTTTAGGTAAATAATATATTGCATGAATACGGTGCACATGTCTCTTACATCTTAGAATACAAAGCAACTGTTTCCAGTTTCTGAAAAGATACAATATTTTAAAACTAGCTCACACAAAGTGCAGATCCTGGCGGAAGGAATGGCTCCATGCTACCTGAGGATTGGGGGAACGCCGGGGGACTTCATGACTTTTGACCCAACAGGTCATGGGGGTGGAAGTGCAAACTCCACATATACTGGTATGTTTCTGTGTCCCGATAGTTGCCATGACAACTATAACTGATGATGTTGAACTGATTCATTACTTTCAACGGTTTGGTTTGCCTAGTTCGTATAATCGCCATTTTATTTTCATTTCGGTGAAACCGGAACTAAAGTGGTTTACGTATTGTCGTGAAGCGTGATTTCATCTGGCTAAAATATAAAGAAAGCCTCATTAAGTGTGTGGATAATACCTCAATTATGACATATAAATCAGATATGGACATATGTATACCAACATAATTCCTGTTTAAATTAATATTCTGGCTGTTTTGTATGAAGTATACATTTCTATTTTTCCTCATTGAGGTGCTATGTGGGACAATCTTAATTACTTTCTGGCGATTGTGGGATGGGACCTGGTGTTTGGCCTCAACGTACTGAAGAGAAAGGACGGACAATGGGACCCTACAAACGCCTTAGAACTGATGAAGTATACCAATTCCAGGAACTACACCATACCGGCATTTGAACTCGGAAATGGTATTGTATATACCAATAGTTCATTTGATAGTATATCAAGCTTAGACCAGTATGCCATATTATCTGTCCCTCTTCAAAGTTTGCATCTGTGTGTATAACTAAAAGCCTGATAATATTGTGTTGCGATCAGCGCTTATTTCAATGATCTATTCCTTTGTGCAGTATAACCACACCGATTTGTAGCAAGTCATGACACTATGTAGACATTATATAGCGTTACACTGACTGGACTATAAATAACGTAGTGCTGCGAACGCTTTGTGGATCGGGCCTCTGTTTATGCGTTTCTTTAGATCAACTGTTCTATAACTCATTTAATGATATAAATGTTCTCTTGGAAATAAAGGATTGAGTCCTGATACCAAAGAACAATGACAATTATTGACGGCAAATATCCTATGCAAAAATATTTATGCCTGTAAATACTTTCCACAAAATATCCGATAGTGTTCGCTATTCGCAAGGAGTAGCGCCAAACACATGTGTAGATGATCATGTCTGATTTAAACTTCCGAGGAGTGAGTGGTTATCGTTTTACGCCGCTTTTAGCAATATTCCAGCAATATCACGGCGAGAAACTTCTGAAGAAGGTCAGTGAGTATCTGCTGACCACTACTATGTCTGTCACTCATTCTGCGTATCCTGCAGTCTGAATTGTTTATGCACTAGCGATGCACCATCTTCACAGCGTGTGGGGTTGTCGGTTTCCCCAGCAGTCAGCGTACAATGCCAAAGTTTGTTTGTTGATTAACGCCCCACCCAGCAATATTCCAACTACACGAAATCATTGGAATCACGGTAGCAAATACGTACTACAATGTTCCAGTGTGTGTTGTAGCAAGCTGTGGAACAGGTTCTAGGAAAGCCATTATTCCCGTGATAAACCAGGGTTCATTTTCAGGGAGTCCTATGCCAACCGCAAGAGTACAGGGGCCTATTGACCCGAAACCACGCATAACCAATCGATGTGAGACAGCGACTCAAACTGCTGCAAACTTACATAAGGCTACTGGACCTCAAGTTACTGCTCAGACGATCAGAAACTGCCTATGTGCAGCTCTTATCTATGCAGGACGGCTATGTGGGGTGCCGTTTCTTACAAATCGTCATTTTCCAACAGCTGTATGGTCACAGATGTCAATCGTACTTTCATGTTTAACGTCCTTGATGTACGTGGTCTTGTCTGGCGACGTCGATGCCGATGTCAACCTGCGTGGATCGACGGATCGACGAACAGAGTGGATCGACGAACAGGGGAACGATCCAGCGACAGTCCCGTTGTCATCGTTGTCAGTGTTGCAGCAGCATTGTGTACAAGATTCCCCTCTTCGTTATTTTTTCATCAAGGCGAACTACCAAAACATGCCCTCGTTGTAGTTCATGCATAAATCAAAGTCATCTGTGGAGTGCTTGATGAATGCAGGTATATGTATGGCAAAAGTCACATACTAGACGATCCGGGGTAGAATAGGTCTTCAGCAACCCATGTGCTTGCCATAAAAGGCGACTATGCTTGTCGTAAGAGGCGACTAACGGGATCGGGTGGTCAGTTTCGCTGACTTGGTTGTCACATGTCATCGGTTCCCAGTTTCGCAGATCGATGCTCATCCTGTTGATCACTGGATTGTCTGGTCCAGACTCGATTATTTACAGACCGCCGCCATATAGCTGGGATATTGCTGAGTGCGGCGTAAAACTAAACTCACTCACTCACTCACTCACATACTAGACACTGTACTCTAATGTTGTTGTGTTCTCCAGAACCTGCATGTTTCCCCCCGCCCTTCAACAACACAATATCTGGAACACAGCTGGGGCGAGATTTTGTCCATCTGAGGAAAATCCTCAAGTCTACTCCCGGGTTTAATTCTACTCTGGTGATCGGACCCGACGTAACAGCAGTCTTTGGACATAAATTAGAATTTCTTAAAACGTGAGTGGAAACGTACAAACAGAAATCCTGCAAAATAGTATAATTGTTATTTTGGCTCTGAGACATGACACAGCATCGTATTGATACGTATTGATACGATGATATCATCTCCGTATTGACAGTCAGGCTGTCAACATTCAGTTATTTTGGAGATAAGCATAATGTGTTCGAAAATCAGAGGTATATAACGAAGTAATAATATCTCTAATGCTTTTTATTTAAGAGCCATTATAGTTTCCTTATATACCTCTGATGATTTTCCAACACAGTATGTTTATCTCTATTCTACCTTAACCGCGTTATTAAAATTCTAAACAAATACATACTGTGTTGGAAAATCAGAGGTATATAACATGATTATACTTAATGTTCCCGGTGGGACATTATAAACAGACTTACATTTTATCTTCTACAGTTTCTTTGAAGGGGAAGGAAGAAAACCTCTCGACAGAATATCCTTCCACCAGTGAGTATGCTATCTTACTTGTCTTTTCAAATATACGGATTTTGGCAGGCTGTAGCTCTTCAATCAATAAGGGATAGCAGCATGAATACATAATTTCGGCAAGCTCTCCCATGTAGTCTAGTGGGTGGAGTGACTGCCCTTAGAGGAGAAAACTGGCGGGTTGATACCCGGCCATATAACAATCTTTGAAATACGTTTAAACATGGCTCCTGTTATTTTTCTTGTATACGACGGTAGACGATATTTCAGCTCTTATAACCTAATTGGATGTTGGTTTAATTACTTGTAGGTACTACGGCCCCGAAGGCATTGCCAAAGTGGGCACCTTCATTGACCCTGAAGTGATGGACCGTTTAATAATTTCTATTGACACTGTACGCAACATCACCATCCCCGCCGACCCCAACACTCCCATGTGGCTCGGTGAGACATCGTCTTTCTCGGGAGGGGGAGCCCCGGGACTTTCTAACAGATATGTGGCCGGCTTTCTGTGAGTATCGTACCACAATATTAGTATACAAATGGTCAGCGTCTCTTTTGTGTGCCTTACACAATGCCAGTTGAATAAATGTTGTTTTGTCAGAAAGTCAGTATTTAAGCTACAGATGGAAGGAAAGTAAGTAACGAGTCTTGACCAGGAAAATCAAATGATGACAGAAAGAGTTTAGTCAGTGAAGTCAGGGAACGGTGAAAGAAAAAAATCAGTTAGGATGAGAAAGCCAGAATAACTCGGTACGCCTAGTGGCAGCAAGAGTTATATACTCCCAAGGGCGTTGAGAATGATAATATCATGTGCCTTTGAGATTGACATCCAATGATCGAGGGAAAAATACCAGCGCCTTGAGCATGCACCAGTTGCGTGGATATGTGCGCTATATAAATATACTATAATAATAATAATAATATCAGTGCACAATGGTCTTGTTGACAAAAGCATGACCTTTGTAGGTCAAAAACCGCCTCGGTTGGTTGAACATTGGAGTGAGGTAGTTTAGTTTTACGTCGAACTCAGCATTATTCCAGCCCTATGGCGGCGGTCTGTAAATAATCGATTCTCGACCAGACAATGATCAAGAGTATGAGAATCGATCTACGCAATTGGGGGTTGCACACTGGACAAGAAGTAACAACAAATGACATAAACTCACTGGTGACATCTGTCGTCTCGATAGACGCTATTTATTCAAGTATATGAGAAACATGGGATTCCTATTTGTTTTATTTGTTCAAATGTGGCTGCTGACTTGTTCTATCCCTTCTGTGCAATGTTTGTGTAGTTTTACAACTTCGTTAACCCCGCAATCAGCAGTATTCCAGCATTATACAGGCGGCCTTTAAATAGCAGCATCAAGAGATTTCACCGTATAAGAACCAATACCCGACACCATAATGATGGTAAGAGAAGCTAACGATGTCGATATACAACTGCGACTCTTGATACAACCGATATTTGATGCACATATAACCTGCATTAAGAAACTTAAACGTTACGAACAATGCAAGTGTGTTAGACCGCCTCCGTAGTGTAGTCGTTAGAACGCCCGCCCGGAGTGCGGAAGGTCGCGGGTTCGATCCCCGACCGCGTCATACCAAAAGACGTTAAAATATGGTACTTGTTGGTCACTGCCTGGCGCTCGGCATTAATGGGTACAACAAGGACTGGTCGGCTCGGAGTCGGTATAATGTGTCTGAGTGGGGTATTCATGCTTCACTGCGGCATGGTATCTCAGTGAGCTAGCACTATAAAACCAGCTTCAGTCTGGGCTAGTACAAGCAGCCGCACATACACATACACACGCATGCACGTCGTCATATGAGCGAAATATTCTCAAGCACGACGTTAAATCCAATTCCACCACCACCGCAAGTGTGTTAATGCAGGTTATATGTGCTGAAACTTCCCTAGGTATAGATAACTTCCTAGTCACATGACTGCATCATACTGCATCATATATACACCAACAAGTACATTGTATTGTTGTCAATATTTCAGATGGTTAGACAAGCTCGGGATTGCAGCACGGATGGGACTTAAAGGGGTGTTAAGACAATCGTTCTATGGAAAGAATTATTCACTCATCGAGATGGACACGTTTGATCCCTACCCAGTAGGTACAAATACATACTATCCCCTTCGAAAACTTGAAGCGCATTGTCTTTTGAACCAATTACTGTTCCATCTCACTGACGCTTTTGTTGTGTGAAGTGATGAACATTGATAAACAATGCGATATCAGCAAAACAGAAACGATATCTTGAGGTTATAGAAAAAGTATTTTCTCACCTTACTTGTTACTTCCACGCTATTTAAATACGAAGCTCAAAACTTGTATATTTGTACATTTTATTACACTTTGTCCGCTGTGTGACTGCACATGTGTGTGTGCGATGTGGTCGATATGTTGTGCCAAAATGCAATAGTCAGGCGTGAAACCCATGTTTATGTGTTCTAATGACAATGTCCTCCTGTTATGATTAAACGTTTGACATTACACTGTCCTCGTCTCAAGCTGTGACACAATGTAATACCATTCCAAGCAACGTTGATCTTAACCCACTCTCATAATGTTGAATGTGAGGCTAACACAAACGTATTGACTTAATTTGCCAGTCCTTGATCGCAGACTAGATATTCTGTAACGTACCACTATGCCACCACTTTACGCCACTACAGGAATAACAGACATAGCTAAGTTAGCGTTATATGTCCGACACATATTTAACATTCGCTTGAATGTGTCATTTGCAGGACTACTGGCTGACGTTGCTCTATAAGAGGCTGGTTGGGTACAAGGTGTTATCTGTGCAGACCAACTCAACCAACAGTTTCAGAGTCTACGCCCACTGTGCCAGACAGGAAAGGTACAAGGTGGATTGTGTCTTCATCACACGGGGGATGTAGGATAATTTCATCAATCAGAATCGTCAATCAAAAACATCAAGGAGGGAGAGGTCACGTTGGTTATCAGCATGTGTCATGCTTAGTCACTAACTTAAGCAGAATTAAACCATATATGACTGTCATGGCAAACATGCCCGACAGTATTGTCATGAGGAAGTGGGTGATTTGTGATGTTCTTAACAAACTTGCAGCTTTACTCACAATGTCCACGATGTATTGTTTCAGTCCCTACAGGTATCAACCAGGTAGTGTTGTAGCTTATATCGTCAACGTCAACAACTACACCACCGTCGTCAACTTCCCTCAGTTCAAGACCAATATGGATGTTTTCTGGCTCAGTCCAGAGTTCCCAGATCTTACTTCGAGGTGAGTATATGTATCAACACTTCAAATATGCTTACTGTTTTCTCACCTGGTGTCATCACTGATTTTCAGAGATCCATTTACTGTCAAGTGATCATTTAGATTGATTATTTACTTCAGTTGACAATTGATATTGAAATCACAAAGATACAGAACACTTTGAGCACTTGAACAACCAATAAGGTCCAGTGGCTTCATCATTGCTCTCAAGGGTAGAGATGGTATCATTTTTGTAGAACGAATAAGTGATGGGTTCTTGTTGGCAGACCGTGGTTTGGTCCCATACTGCCAAAGAGGTAAGATAGATATTATTACCCAGATGTTTTAATTTCAGGAATGTAACTCTAAATGGCAAACGACTGGATTATGTGAACGACACCATCCCCGAAATGCCTCCCGAACGAGCTTATGGTGGGAGCCTCCAGATACCAGCCACGACCTTCGGATTCGTTGTGTTCCCTGATGCTGGTGTGGATGTCTGTCAGCAGGACTGACTGTGTTGTAACGTGTAACCACACGATATAAAACAGTTCCATTACAGATCAATGTTTGGGTTTTCTTGTTGCACTACTGCAGTTAGTTCTCAATATATCAAATGGTAACGTTTGGAGGATATGTTTATACATATGCCTACATATATATGCGGACACTATGTCTGCTTGGCATCGGGTGCTTGGTTGAGTAGTGCTGGAGAATGTGTATTCTGCTGAAAACTACCTGCACCAAGCAAAAAACAACAACTGTTAGTCAATCAGTTTTTCTCCGAAGCATCTATCACAGGCAGCTGATAACAATTATTTTAAGAAACGACTGTATTCGCAAATACATGGCATCTCGACCAGTAAGTTTGTGATTCGAACTCACTCATATTGGACGCCTAACCACACAAACACTCTTCAGAAAGATGCCACATAGCATGATTGGATATTCAGGCTTTTTGACCTGCTTAACTGTCTGTCATCTGAGCCCTAAGACGTAGATCTCGCACGTTTTCTTTTTTATTAATAAATACTTATTAATTAATAAAGTGGCCATACTGAAACATATGTCAACAGATGATATTAAGGTCTTTCAGTGGCGCTCAACAAATATTGAGTAGTTTTGTGATCATTTCCTGTAAACTTTCCTTTAATGTTACAGAAGTTTCCAAGTCTTGTTAGAGGTACAATAACAATTACACGTTGTATGAATGAATGAATGAATGAATGAATGAATGTGCTTTATTTCCTCCATTAAGACGGAGAGTACATATATGAAAACACCTTAGGATATAATATTAAACATATTTACATATTCAAACATAGTCTCCCACATAGTCTCTGACATAATGTCAGCTTCACAGATACAGCAGGGCTTAGAGGTTCCAGGAGCTGATGCTTTTTGCTGTAATGTCAATAAATACAGCCCACTCATTCAGTGACATGTTTTCAATGAGTGGTTCGATTCCACCTAGAAGGGTGGTAATCTTGAGTTCATTATCATCACAATCCTCGAATTGTATATAGCTTTCAATGGTCATATTGTCAAACAACGGTCACTAAGTGCATTGCGCTTAGAGAATAAACTGCAGCAGTATAAGAGTTGGTGTTTCACCATATCATCACACTCGGTGTCACAGAGTAGGCACATCCCACCTACAAAAGGTAATACACCAAGTTTAACTAGATTGTACACAAGTGTGGTTGAGATTGGGTACAGTTCACACATTCCCCACAGTCTATGGGGCTGGAGCACCGTGAATGTTGGCAAAACGGCTCATTTCTGGTGTCTGAGTGAGTGTCATTTGCCAGTTATAATATTCTGCGTCGGCTACTTTTCTAATTATAGTTCTACTCCATTCCAGTTTGCACGGAAAATTACCAGTCTTCATAAATTCACTCACATGCGACCAGATCGTACTTTTGAACAATTTTCAGAAGATCATGGGTTAACCACACATCGCACGTGTTATCAGTAATAAACTGTCCTATTCTATACAGGAGTACTCTTTTGTGGGTGCTTCCTGTGAATCATGATATTAAGATGATATTAAGGTCTTTCAGTGATGCTCAACAAATATTGAGTAGTTTTGTGATCATTTCCTGTAAACTTTCCTTTAATGTTACAGAAGTTTCCAAGTCTTGTTAGATGTACAATAACAATTACACGTTGTATATTCATTGTCTTACTCTCTTGACTTGTATGACACGTGACCATACTCGATTCATTTTTGTCGTCAATAATCTGCTCCGATTTTGAAATGTGAAACATACCAATTTTGATGGCAAAGCATAAAAGATCTATATTTTATTGAGCATAACGTATGGTAATAAGGGAAAAGTGAAATTACAAGGTGAGATTGAAAGATTTGTTTTGGAACATATTATGAAGGATATTTGAAGCCGATAAGACAGTACACAGTTCGTAATGTCAACCCTCAGTCTGGTTATCCAGATGTAAGGCAACACGGCCTTAGAGTCTTATCACTTGTTCCAGACAAACAATGGTTGCCACAGACACTGTACTACTGTGGACACTCAGTATCTGCACCTTGTCTGTTGTCTGTGGAAAGTCGTCCGTGTCTGTAGACATCAACACTGATTCGGTACTACAAACAATAGACCACAGGTTTGTTGGTGTCACATTTGATGCCATCTTGATTCACAATGGATTCCAAAACACTGGTGTTGATTTTAGGTAAGAAATTATAGGTTACCTATGTAGTATACACAGGAAAAGGCATCTAAATATGCTTAGTCTAAATGCCACTATGTATTGATACTGACAGGCGTTGAACGGCGTTAGCTACCAGGGCGACCCCGTTCATCACTATGCAAAGACGAAACATCACACTTCAGCAGGATAATGCTTACCCCCATGTTGCACATGTTATAAAATACTCTGTCTGGTGTTGCTAAGTATAGGTAAATGGACTACACTTCAAATAGGCGTTATCAACTCACTGATGACATGGCCGCCTCCGTGGTGTAGTGGTTGGAGCGTCCGCCCGGAGAGCGGAAGGTCGCGGGTTCAATCCCCGGCCGCGTCATACCAAAAGACGTCAAAATATGGTATTTGTTGGTCCCTGCCTGGCGCTCGGCATTAATGGGTACAACAAGGACTTGTCGGCTCGGAGTCGGTAAACTGTGTCTGAGTGGGTTATTCATGCTTCACTGCGGTATGGTATCTCAGTGGGCTAGCACTATAAAACCAGCTTAAGTCTGGGCTAGTACAAGCAGCCGCAAATACACATACACACGCATGCACGTCGTCATATGAGCGAAATATTCTCAAGCATGACGTTAAACCCAATTTCACCTCACCTCACTGATGACATCAATGTTTTAAATGATAAAGAAGATCTTGTAGTTGCTGCAGCTGCACACGTTGGTGACTATTACAGTGTGATGGTGTTAAGTGTTGGTAGCATTAGCGTGAAATAATGTTGGTGACGCTCTAGAGAACGCATTTTCAGTTCACCACAATTAAAGACCCTTGCTCGTGCGTTTTCTCCCTGTATACTCCGTATTGGGGGCACGGATGCAGATGGTGTGAGGTTCAACCCAAGTCTGAAGACACCGACTGTATCTGACAGTGTACTCACAGGTGATTAGTGTAAACAATTACATAGTGTTGAGTAAATGCTGACCCATGTTAAGTATTTGCAGGTGATAACGATCATTTAATCTGAAATACAGAATCAATGGAATCAACCTGGAATATTCACTATGTCATTCTCAAACAGCAATAATCCATGTTTGTTCGCTGTACACATACTACACATACTTGTATATGGTTTCAAATCAATTCACACTGCAGCTCATGTTTGGGACGAAATCAACAATTTCACCAGGGATGTGGGCTGGGACCTGATCTTTGGTCTGAGTGTGCTGCAGCGGAAAGATGGACGCTGGGACCCTACAAATGCCGACCAACTGCTCGACTACACAACCCAGAAAGGATATGACATCTATGGCTTTGAACTGGGCAATGGTATAAGGCCTTCGAAGGCATAATGATGAAACACGAACGATAAAAACAATATGTAACATGTTGCTTTGGGACCATGAGAAACGTGTGTAAGCCAGTAATATCTCCAATCTCACAAATATATTAATGACCTACTTTGTAGGAATATACAAGGAATCTTAGTGTTTAGTCTAACTCAAGATACGATCAGCGAGCAATATGATCTTAAATACCATATTATGGAAAAACATCGTCATGCATTGTAAGGTGATGTACGAGGGTGCACATACGATGTATCATCATTTTGTCATAGAATCTGCTTCCCTGCTTCAGTCTATAGATACTACTACATACCTCGTTTGCCAATGACTTACACTTTGTTGTAGGCTGAAGTCAAACTGAAACATACATACATACATACATACATACATACATACATACATACATACATACATACATACATACATACATACATACATACATACATACATACATACATACATACATACATACATACATACATACATACATACATACATACATTTGTATAGCTCCGATATCCAGCATTGTCAATCTCAACTCCCTGGGGAGCATACAACTCTTGCAGCCACTAGGCGCACCGAGTTATTGTGGCATTCCCATCCTTACGAGGTACCCATTCACAGCTGGGTGGACTGGGACACATAGTCACAGTACTTTGTCCAAGTTTACTGCACGTTGCTGTACCCGCAACTGGGTGTTTGCACGTATTCATGTGGCCACCATCCGGTCATATACCAACGGATTCGTGGGTTCTTTTAAGTGCACAGGGTTGTGTACTGTACACTAGGGGTTGTGACAACACTGAGAGAGTCTGCACACAAAGTTGACTCCAAGGTTTTTACACCCGGTCACAGGTGGGCTCGATCCCGTCACCTCAACCTCGCTGGATCATGTATCAGTGGGTGGAAAATGGCGCGCTAAAAATATCCATTATTATTATTATTTATCACTAGCCTGGCGCTTTAGCCAGTTCGCCCCCCGCGCCATACATGAACTTACTAAATTCCAATTACCGTCAGCATGTGCATGGGTATGTTTTCCTGCAGAACCCCTGAGTATTCCGGATCATTACAATACAAGCATTTCCGGCTCGCAACTTGGAAGAGACTTCCTGACTTTTCACGATGAACTGCGGAAGCGTCCATACTTTAAGGATACATTGATACTCGGGCCGGATATATTCTACATCGAGAGGGGGATTTCATTCATGAAAGAGTATGTTTTTCATTATCATCAACAAAACACTCCATCTTGATTACATGTATTATGTATTACCATTAACAAACGAGCTATACACAGGTGTGGACTTCGTTATGTATTCCTTGTATTTACTTCTGTACATGTTCAGATGAAGACTTACTAATTTAAACCAAGACAAATGCAATGGTAATATTCAGTTTTTATGTTCCATAGCTTCTTGACCTCTGGAGGTGCCCGATCCGTGGACGCCATTACATTCCATCAGTGAGTGAAAGTCATATACTCCAATATGTACATTGAATGTACAGCTGGTAGAGCCATCAGATGGCGTCGTCATGGAAACGTTTGATTCATGGGCACATATGTCATAAGCTCTCAATAATAACGCGTGCTGGCGACGTTCTTAATTATCGCATCGTGTGTGTGGTGGGGGTGTTCCAGAAAGAAAATGTATAATCTGTTGACTCACTTAATTATCTTTAACCATTGGATGCTACTATCTTTACGACCGAGCGTATAAATGCACCAGACAATATACTGCGTCGGGATCTGCTGATCGTGGGTTCAAAGCCACGAGTCTCCTCATCCACGATGCTTGAAACTTCAACAACATATAAGTATTCGTGATATTGCACCATTTGTCAGTGTTTCATTAAACATTAATCTTACATGACATGATTTGGCTGTGCAGCCCTCAGGTAGCGCAGCCCTCATCAGCATTCACAGTTAGTTCTGTTGTGTTGTATCCTTAGATATGTGTTTTTTTATTGGTTTGTTCAATCATATTCATCCTCGTGTGTTTCACCTCGGGGGTTACCTCATCGAGCTGACACTATATGACAGTATTAATGTTCAACACCACCTTCTAAACGTGGTATATATTTCACGCACTCTGAACTGAACTCTTTCCTGTCACAGCTACTTCGGCAATGGCAAAGAAGGCCGACTTGCAAACTTCACCGACCCCGTGTTTATGGACAGGCTGAAGGTGACGCTGGACATTGCACGCAACGCTACGTCAGATGCTCCTGCTGGGACGCCCCTTTGGCTTGGAGAGACGGGGTCATTCTTTGACCATGGTGTGATGAATATGACTAATACTTTTGTGGACGGATTTCTGTGAGTTGTTATTTGTAGATTATGTTAGCATCATGTACAACCTAATTATATTTTATTCTGATGATAGCGTGTATGGGTAAGGTGCACGATCAGCACTTCTAAACATAACTTGTCAACATCATGTCAAGTTTCAGCACATTAAGTTGACCACGATTTCAGGATGTAATCATAACATTAATTTGTTAGAGATAAATATTCCATGCATGTATATGAACTGAATGCAAGGTATCTAATACCATGGTACATAATATAATATAATATAATATAATATAATATAATATAATATAATATAATATAATATAATATAATATAATATAATATAATATAATATAATATAATGTAATATAATATAATATAATATAATATAATATAATATAACATAATATAACATAATATATGATATAACATAACATAACATAACAAAATAAAACATAACATAACATAATAAAACATAACATAACATAATAAAATATAACATAACATAATAAAACATAACATAACATAATAAAATATAACATAACATAATAAAATATAACATAACATAATAAAACATAACATAACATAATAAAATATAACATAACATAATAAAATATAACATAACATAATAAAACATAACATAACATAATAAAATATAACATAACATAATAAAATATAACATAACATAATAAAATATAACATAACATAATAAAATATAACATAACATAATAAAACATAACATAACATAATAAAACATAACAAAACATAACATAATAAAACATAACATAATAAAACATAACATAACATAATAAAACATAACATAACATAATAAAACATAACATAACATAATAAAATATAACATAACATAACATAATAAAACATAACATAACATAATAAAATATAACATAACATAATAAAACATAACATAACATAATAAAATATAACATAACATAATAAAATATAACATAACATAATAAAATATAACATAACATAATAAAACATAACATAACATAATAAAACATAACAAAACATAACATAATAAAACATAACATAATAAAACATAACATAACATAACATAATAAAACATAACATAACATAATAAAACATAACATAACATAATAAAATATAACATAACATAACATAATAAAACATAACATAACATAATAAAATATAACATAACATAATAAAACATAACATAACATAACATAATAAAACATAACATAAGATAACATAATAAAATATAACATAACATAATAAAACATAACATAACATAACATAATATGATACAATACAGTACACGCAATGCGTTCCTCATTTGTGCCAGGATATGTCATATGATATAGATCTAACTGCATCAGCTATTGTTCAGGTGGTTGGACAAACTGGGTCTGTCAGCCCAGTCAGGCATCAAGAAAGTCATCCGCCAAGACTTCTCTGGTCCTGGTTGGGTGTTTCATAACTTGATAGAACCTTTCATCAACTATCCTGAGACGGTACGTATCTCAACAGTGAGGTGAGGTGAAATTGGGTTTTACGTCGTACTTGAGAATATTTCGCTCATATGACGACGTGCATGCGTGTGTGTGTGTATGTGCGGCTGCTTGTACTAGCCCAGACTGAAGCTGGTTTTATAGTGCTATCCCACTGAGATACCATGCCGCAGTGAAGCATGAATACCCCATTCAGACACATTATACTGACTCCGAGCCCACCAGTCCTTGTTGTACCCATTAATGCCGAGCGCCAGACTGGGACCAACAAGTACCATATTTTAACGTCTTTTGGTATGACGCGACCGGGGATCGAACCCGCTACCTTCCGCTCTCCGGGCGGACGCTCTAACCACTACACCACACAACAGTGATCTCATATAGTTAAGAACAAATACGGAATAACAACAGTCTCTATGCATGTTGCTTCACGGTATCACACATTATATGCTGACGGGCAAAAGAAAGTATATACTTGAACATTGGATTTGACAAAACACTTACAAAGTACAATTTGGCATAAAAGTCGTCGAAATGGTTTGGGGCTGAACAACCATAAAAATTCATCGGCGCGTGAGGGATGCGAACTCACACTGTATGTTTCTGGCGTGACGACACAACAGGAAGACCGCTACTTGCACGACACTTTAAGTATAGTTTGTCGGACTTCGGGCGAGATCTCCGTGTATTCGGGCCTACCGGCCAAGTCCAAGAGAACGGCCTTGGCCGACTAACAACTGGGCACTTGTAAGGTCGACACTGGCGGATGTGTGACTGTGACTGCTTTTTCTAAAGGCATTAAAAGGACAACCAGCGACTCGGTGCAGTTTCTCTTGACTCCCTACTGATTGAGGCAAGGGGGGGGGTGCACTTAGGAAGGGCATCCATGTAGTGGAGGGAGGCTGATGGCTAGTGGCAGCCAACTAATAGTGCCTATCGTAATATCGTAGCTCGGGTCCGCAGGGATGACGTGTTTGTGCCACCATCAAGTTAGGTTGTATACATTCTTTTGCCCGGCAGTGTAGTTTCCTTCGTTCTTGAGTGGTGGGAATTGTGCAATGTGCAATGGATTCCCAATTGTATGCTTGAGATTAGCTGTGTCAGAATATGTAACTGTACTTCAAGACAATTCTGTTTCTCTCCTAGGACTACTGGCTTACTCTCCTGTTCAAGCAACTGGTTGGCAATGTCGTATTTGACACGAAGGGTTCCACCAACATCAGAATATATGCCCATTGTACCAAGAACAAAAAGTAATGTTCCTACATCGTATAGAAATCTCGCATATTACATTGTGATATAATGAATTAAGTTTTCTAAATACGCAAATTGACAACATACGTTTATATTACCACCATGCAATATGTAAACTGTTAATGGTACGTTTATCAATCTGACTTCAGTAACTATGGTTATCCGTCGGGAAGCGTCACAGTCTATGCAATGAATCTTGACACTGAAGATGCGTCCGTCATCTTTCCAAAAGCATTAAACAACCGCATGGAACTGTTTTGGCTTTCCCCAGTAGGTGACGACCCCAGAGCCAAGTAAGTGAAGCAGACAGAATTCATTTACTACACTATAGTACCGTTTGTAATGGCTTAAAACACGGTACCGATGCTTTATTCTGATATTCTAAGATCTATTACCCTTGCAAAACAGAGGCTACTTATGGGATCATCAATAAACGTATCACATCAAGGCAGTCAGGTCACATGTTTAATTAGGGCACTTGATCATACTTTCACATCATTGATCGTAAGTATAATAGATCTATATGTAGACTATTAAGTATGTTTTCACTTTCACATTCACACTCACATTCATGTGACCGTACAGGAACGTACTGCTGAACAGAGTACAGTCTCTGTACATGGTGAACAACAAGATCCCCGTGTTCCGTCCTCGATCCCAGACTGGAGGACCGGTCATCCTGCCCCCGCGTACATACGGCTTTATTGTCTTCCCTGAAGCTCATGTCTCTGCTTGTTACTGAGTAGAAACCGGAAATAAAACAACTCTTGCACAAGACAACGTTCTGTCTCTGAGTCGCCTAACGGCTACACGGCATTCTTCATAATTATGTTGGTAAATCGGACAGTACGTCACGTTATACATTATGGGTTGTATGCTTCTCTCGAAGGTAATACAGTCTGAAGTTCTCCTCTTTGTAGCAGTGTCACCCGAGCCGGAAGGGGTAATCAGACCGTATTACCCAAGGGAAAAGCATAGAACGTAATCGTACCGCCATGTTATGAATGTACAAAATATCATTCTATTTCATTTTGAAGATCGCTACCGACTATATGACATGTGACCAAAATGGTGTCTGCTTCTCGACTGGATGTTTAAAATCAGTGAAACATATTCTGACAACCTTAAAACTGCTTTAAAATGGTTAATTATGTTTAAGTTGAGTGTGCAAACGATTCAAATTATAAAAGAGTTCAAATATAGCAGTGATTGTCGGTAAAATAAATGTGTACAAAACGGTTTTTGAACTCCGGGCACTGCATGCGTCATATTACGACGTCATGCGATTGTTAGCGATACAGCTTCTCGGCGGAGAGTTTGGCGTTTACCGTGGGTAATATTTTTTCCAGTGGTCACCCTCCTGGGAGGGGTGACACGGAAACTTGTTAAAGCGTCATTGACCAATGAAATTAAAGCATTTTACATGAAGGTAAGGTAAACTGATTTGTTTAGTGTAAGGTGAGTGAGTGAGTTCAGTTTCATGCCGCTTTTAGCAATATTCCAGCAATATCTCGGCTGGGAACACCAGAAATGGGCTTCACACATTGTAACCAAGTGGGGAATCGAACCCTTCCTCTCCGCCCCATTTAGTGTCAGGTCAGAGAGAACTGAACTGAACTGAGAACTGAACTGCCATTGCGTACATGCATAGGGAGACACATCACCAAAGTAACCAAAGTATATATCATGCCTGGAGACACTGCCTTTTGTATTCAACTGTTAAGAATTAGGTTCCAGAATTTAAGTGGCACAGAGGTTGACCCTCGGTTTGGTCGTCCAGGAGTGGGTGTCTACCGTACCGTCTACATGACTGCATGAGTTCAGCAATCATGCTGACAGTTTGAATGTACGAATGATTTTAATTCGTAAATGTCGATCCACTATACGTTTACGTAATACTGAATCCAATCGTCGTTTAGGTAGGTGTCGTTATTATCGAATGCCGCCAGTAAATGAGGTCATTGCTAGTTCCCAAAAATGACCTATATTCTTTGCAACAATACTATAAATTATTTTGGGGTATTTAAGCCATACTACCCGGAAATTGATACATTTAGTTAAATGGTCATTTTTTAAATATTTTTTTAGCATCATTATTAGCAATAAAATTCCACGATTTTACATTCCCTCTACAGTGTCACGTGGACATACCAAGGTATTGGGGTTAAAAATGATAGGTCATAATCAGCAATACAGTTGTCATAAGTGTTAAACACTATGCACATAGAGATTTCACTTTTTCACTTTTTTTTCCAGCATGTTTCAGTATTTGATAATGCAGTTTTAGATCGTTTATGACAGTGTTTAAATTACAATCACTTCCAGTGACTTTGCAGCGATACACTATAAAGTTAGCAATACATAATGAAATAATTTACAGTCTTCAGAGTCTCCATTAAGGCCACATAATACAACATCGCTGTAATTTGGATGCACCTTATCTTGAATATTTGCTTTTGCCCATTTAAAATAGGAAAGCCAGAATGGCAAAACATGAGAGCAATAAAACATATAATGTCTGATAGTGTCAGCATTGCAACAGTGTTCACACAGTTTACTATCTTTAACATTTAACTTGTTCAGATATAAATTGCAAGGCAAAATTGAGTGAGGAATTTTAAACTGTAATTGTTTGTATGTAGTTTACATTAGCCAGGATGTATGGATTAGAAATCTCTTAAAGAAAACACAGAGTGTATACCAATGCTATAAAAAGAGCTGTTGGTCAAAATGTTTATTACAAATATATGACTTGTTCTTTACCAAGTGATGTTTGCCCAGATATAAACGGCGTAAAACTTGCTGATATTCCTGATAATGCCAAGTCCTGGTACAACTTAATGCATGATATTTGTTCTGTGGCAGAAGAGGATTCTTATAAATGGAAAATTGTACAAGAATCTGAATTTTATGGTCATTTGCACTACACTCTAATCATCCTTTCATGTCGCATTTTAAACAATTTATATTTTTTTGTATCTGTAAATACAGATTAAAGAGACCTATTCCAACACCGAGATTCTGTTAACTCATTGCTGAGCACGTTTATGTAATCACACAGTCACAAATATTAATAACAGATTATCCCATACCAACCAAATCATTTTAAATGATGGTCCTTTGAAAGAAGTATTTGGAAACAACACAACATGCATTTCATTTTCAATATAGATGCTGAATACTAACAGTAGATAAACTAATTATATATTATTTTGTGAAAACCCTTTCTGCTACTACTAGGTTAATGGTGAACTTTAGTTGTATGTGTTACTTATCAACAGACGAGTGAGTGAGCGAGTTAAAGTTGAAAGTCACATCGACAATATTTCAACCATATCGTGACTAAATCAAGTTATAGATTTACAATAATTAAAGGTATTTTAATCTGTCAACGAAGGACAGTAAAACAACCAGATTGTCACAGATATTAATTTCAAACTAGTAACATATTCTCAACTATTTTAACTAGACATGACAAGACAATATAAAAACAGGCTATAGATTGCCAACAAGTGAAGGGAGGTTACCATACTATGGACCACGGGGACTTACAGTACACTTGCTTCCTGCATGGACCTTAGCTGGATTACTATCATCCCTTCAGCTCCTAGTTCCAGCTAGGGAATAATAGCTGCCACAGCTACCACAGTGGTAGAACATCCAGAGTAGACCTTGGCTGGATACCCAGGGTGGAACTAGTATGGGCACTCAACCGTTGGTCCACGTAATGTCAGATGATAAAGGCATGCGCGTATCCCGCATATAGTCTTAAGAACGTTCCGGAATTGCCTCTGCTATGCAAGATTAATCTGTGCCATTCCAAAACATTCCAGACCACCCTTGACCCCAAGAGTATTTATATATAGCAGCGTCCACACCAATGCTTACATCAGTCAGTACCAAATTCCTGACAACCAATTACTGTGAAAACACAATGTCATGATTTTTTACAAAACTTTACTGAAGCAATGTAATGACATGCAAAAATGTAAAATAAAATAAATCACTTTGTATAAGGATTAACATGACAAACGTATCATTCACGACAAAACTAAAGGACAGTTTCGATGGTATTATTCGCCCACCAATACAATAAATAAAGGTGAACTTGTCTCTGTAACCTCTGTGCTTATTTTTTATATCCCCCCTACATTAAGTTGACACAAGCAGTCAATGTTATTAACTATGTTAACGTATTACATTTCCTTGTTATGTCTCATATAGGTTCCAAACATGACCAAACATTTATTCTGATGGGAGTTGTTAGCCACGAATATGTTCAGTACCTATCAATACAACATAATCTGACAACTATCTTTTCTCAGACCTGATACCACATTTCAATAGCAGATATAGCGAACAGGCTGTGATTAGGGTCAAGGAAATTTTAAATCTTTGTTCCTTTGCTCATGTTCCGAGTCAGCAATGAAGTTGTCTAATGACCTAGATCCCTGCAACAACATTATCAAAATGTGAGTATTAACGTATGTTAAAGCAAATGGAAACAAAGACAGGAGATAAGATGATAGTCTCCAAAGAAATTCTCTGATAAATAATCGGCCATGAAGTTATCTGTTTAGGACAATGGTAGATTGGTTGTGGTTGTCCATGGGTTCGTTAGGTCATCTGCTCTTCTTGAGCGTGGTGTTATTCCCTGCTGTCCATGGTATAACTGCCAATATCTACATCGACACCAACGTCGTCGTCAACAGAGTTCAGGATAGCTTTGTTGGCGTCACCCTCGACTCGAGTGTTATTCAAAGTCCTTTGGCAAAGAGTGGTCTAAACTTCTCGTGAGTACATCAGTGTGAATTCCCAGTGTTTTCTTTGGTCCTGCATAAGTGTGGTTTCGAATTCTTCATTAATACTGACATGGTCATGTAAAGGGCATACCCCCTGCATGAAACTGGCCTTTTGTGAAAGCTGAGAATCTATGGTACCAAGAATAACTCGTTTTATATTCATTCTCTGCAACTGATTCTATGCCTGTTTTGCCAATTTGCCACATTCAATAAACATAAAGGATACATGAACTTAAATACCAATGTCATTCTCATATTTCATTCTGAACTGTTACAAGTAGCTTCACAATATATACTATTTACAATTAGATCTCCAAAATTACTCAATCTTGCTGGGGGCTTCCAACCAAACATCCTTAGAATCGGCGGGACTGCGGAAGATGATATTTCCTTTGACCCGAATAACGTCACTGAGGACAGCCATGGGAATCTGTCAGGTAAATATCTCTGCTTTTTCTTTGAGATCAGGTGAAAATGTCCAATCTGGACAAAATGCTTTATATTGATTGTCTTGGTATTTGATTCCGCTCACAACAGCATTTCAGCTACATGAAGCAATATGGTAGTTATCCAATGTGAATAGACAATCCAGGAAAGAAAGACTGAGTCGTGTATTCATATAATCTCTTTAAACTGTTTTTCATTTAAGCCCAATGGAATATGTTTTGTCAGATAATCGATACTGGCTTACCTTGACGTTTTGTAAGCCTATATTCAAGCCACCCTTTAAATAAATTTGTGAACGGCAGATTTTTATCTGACATCAAACATTCGAGTAGTTCCTATGTGAATATGATACGATATGTGTATAATGTTCCAGCTAGTCTTTGGGATGAAATCAACGCTTTCACAACGTCTGTTGGATGGGATCTGATCTTTGGTCTGAACGTCCTTGAACGACGAGATGGACAGTGGGATCCTACCAACGCTGAAGTATTCTTGGATTACACTTCCAAAAAAGGATATACATTATATGGTCTAGAACTTGGCAACGGTAGGTAGGATACGGGAGTGATTAAGGTCAAGAAAGACGATAACGAAACAATACTGCACATCTTACACTTAAAGGAAACTATAATCAAAACAGCATACATTCTGCACGCGACACAGTTGGTAATCGGTAATAAATATACTTCAGTCGATGATCTGAAAGCCATGCATGATGTCCCCTGCCATAATATTCCTGGAATATCGCTAGGAAACTATACCCAGTAATTCGTTTGTGGATACGACACACTATATCAAAATCATACCTGAATATTTCATAATATTTTATTCCTTTCTCGCAATATCTGCGAAATGTGATCAACAGCAACAGTTCCGGGTCGTCCTGTCATTTTACATGTTATGTTATTATAAGCTGGCATTGAAGGCAGCTTGATATCTGAACTGTGGAACCGTAGACTGGTCATTGTCCTAGAGCCTCGGATGTTCCCCAAAAATTTCAACCAGTCGGTGATGCCCAAGCAACTTGGAAAGGACTTTGGAACACTGGAGAAGGTGCTGAGAGATCGACCATACTTCAACAACACTCGTATTCTAGGGCCAGATGTTTCGGGCATTTTATCGAAAGATTCGGTCTCATATGTGGAAGAGTGAGTTTTGTTTTCAAATGTTCATTAGAACTATCTATTGGACGGATCTAAGTTTAACATTGTGCTTGCCCCTTGGAAGGATACCCTATTGTCCGATCTATAATAATGATTTTTCAAAGGAGGGCCGATGTTTCGGTCCTCCAGTAACGTCATGCCAAACAAACCGTTAGACAGATTGAGACTCCTGTTACCCTGCATGTTCGTTGACATAAGTGGGACAAAAACATGGACTGGTGAGCTGGAAGTCGGTGCCATATGTCCTTTTCATCCCAAACTAAACTATCTTGATCTTGACCACACAACCGTTTTGTGTGCTGAAGATTCTTCTAGCCTGTCTGATAAACATGAACACATTCATTCTTCAACAGAAAAGTGAAACTAAAATCTTATATACTATTTTGAATGTATATTTGTATAGTATAACAACAATAATCCACATCTTTTAATAATGACCAGTTACTTCAACGAAAATGTACCTTACAAATTGCAATGAGAAAAGTTCCTTTCGTCCTCTGTTGATATTCCTTTCTATATAGCTTATTTTCTATTTCCCATTTAGGTTTTTAGCTGCTGGCGGAGCAAGTGTCGTGGACGGGGTCACATTCCATCAGTGAGTACATGCATACCGTCAAGTCGATAGGCCTTAGTCTATCCCGATGTTGGGTGGGACTTAATATCGCTTGTAAAATGTTAAATACACCAGGCTAGCTATTCTCGAACGTTCGTAGCCCTACGAAATTTGTAAGCCCATTCTTAACACATTGGCTACGATCAAATTTAAGGATTCTTAGGGCTACGAACGTTTCGAGAATAAGGGCCCAGGATACTTCATAAGGAAGTACAACCATTTACCACCGTTATTCGGCACTAATGCAATACATATATGTAGGTAGGTGGCACATTTACATGTTCATGCATTTGTTCTATTGACTGGTACCTTATAAACAGATGAACATGTTCCTTGTATCTGTATAATCGACTGGGCGGTGGGGTATAGCCTAGTGGTTAAAGCGTTGGCTCGTCACGCCGAAGACCCGGGGTCATTTTTTAAATATTTTTTTAGCATCATTATTAGCAATAAAATTCCACGATTTTACATTCCCTCTACAGTGTCACGTGGACATACCAAGGTATTGGGGTTAAAAATGATAGGTCATAATCAGCAATACAGTTGTCATAAGTGTTAAACACTATGCACATAGAGATTTCACTTTTTCACTTTTTTTTCCAGCATGTTTCAGTATTTGATAATGCAGTTTTAGATCGTTTATGACAGTGTTTAAATTACAATCACTTCCAGTGACTTTGCAGCGATACACTATAAAGTTAGCAATACATAATGAAATAATTTACAGTCTTCAGAGTCTCCATTAAGGCCACATAATACAACATCGCTGTAATTTGGATGCACCTTATCTTGAATATTTGCTTTTGCCCATTTAAAATAGGAAAGCCAGAATGGCAAAACATGAGAGCAATAAAACATATAATGTCTGATAGTGTCAGCATTGCAACAGTGTTCACACAGTTTACTATCTTTAACATTTAACTTGTTCAGATATAAATTGCAAGGCAAAATTGAGTGAGGAATTTTAAACTGTAATTGTTTGTATGTAGTTTACATTAGCCAGGATGTATGGATTAGAAATCTCTTAAAGAAAACACAGAGTGTATACCAATGCTATAAAAAGAGCTGTTGGTCAAAATGTTTATTACAAATATATGACTTGTTCTTTACCAAGTGATGTTTGCCCAGATATAAACGGCGTAAAACTTGCTGATATTCCTGATAATGCCAAGTCCTGGTACAACTTAATGCATGATATTTGTTCTGTGGCAGAAGAGGATTCTTATAAATGGAAAATTGTACAAGAATCTGAATTTTATGGTCATTTGCACTACACTCTAATCATCCTTTCATGTCGCATTTTAAACAATTTATATTTTTTGTATCTGTAAATACAGATTAAAGAGACCTATTCCAACACCGAGATTCTGTTAACTCATTGCTGAGCACGTTTATGTAATCACACAGTCACAAATATTAATAACAGATTATCCCATACCAACCAAATCATTTTAAATGATGGTCCTTTGAAAGAAGTATTTGGAAACAACACAACATGCATTTCATTTTCAATATAGATGCTGAATACTAACAGTAGATAAACTAATTATATATTATTTTGTGAAAACCCTTTCTGCTACTACTAGGTTAATGGTGAACTTTAGTTGTATGTGTTACTTATCAACAGACGAGTGAGTGAGCGAGTTAAAGTTGAAAGTCACATCGACAATATTTCAACCATATCGTGACTAAATCAAGTTATAGATTTACAATAATTAAAGGTATTTTAATCTGTCAACGAAGGACAGTAAAACAACCAGATTGTCACAGATATTAATTTCAAACTAGTAACATATTCTCAACTATTTTAACTAGACATGACAAGACAATATAAAAACAGGCTATAGATTGCCAACAAGTGAAGGGAGGTTACCATACTATGGACCACGGGGACTTACAGTACACTTGCTTCCTGCATGGACCTTAGCTGGATTACTATCATCCCTTCAGCTCCTAGTTCCAGCTAGGGAATAATAGCTGCCACAGCTACCACAGTGGTAGAACATCCAGAGTAGACCTTGGCTGGATACCCAGGGTGGAACTAGTATGGGCACTCAACCGTTGGTCCACGTAATGTCAGATGATAAAGGCATGCGCGTATCCCGCATATAGTCTTAAGAACGTTCCGGAATTGCCTCTGCTATGCAAGATTAATCTGTGCCATTCCAAAACATTCCAGACCACCCTTGACCCCAAGAGTATTTATATATAGCAGCGTCCACACCAATGCTTACATCAGTCAGTACCAAATTCCTGACAACCAATTACTGTGAAAACACAATGTCATGATTTTTTACAAAACTTTACTGAAGCAATGTAATGACATGCAAAAATGTAAAATAAAATAAATCACTTTGTATAAGGATTAACATGACAAACGTATCATTCACGACAAAACTAAAGGACAGTTTCGATGGTATTATTCGCCCACCAATACAATAAATAAAGGTGAACTTGTCTCTGTAACCTCTGTGCTTATTTTTTATATCCCCCTACATTACGTTGACACAAGCAGTCAATGTTATTAACTATGTTAACGTATTACATTTCCTTGTTATGTCTCATATAGGTTCCAAACATGACCAAACATTTATTCTGATGGGAGTTGTTAGCCACGAATATGTTCAGTACCTATCAATACAACATAATCTGACAACTATCTTTTCTCAGACCTGATACCACATACCTGAATATTTCATAATATTTTATTCCTTTCTCGCAATATCTGCGAAATGTGATCAACAGCAACAGTTCCGGGTCGTCCTGTCATTTTACATGTTATGTTATTATAAGCTGGCATTGAAGGCAGCTTGATATCTGAACTGTGGAACCGTAGACTGGTCATTGTCCTAGAGCCTCGGATGTTCCCCAAAAATTTCAACCAGTCGGTGATGCCCAAGCAACTTGGAAAGGACTTTGGAACACTGGAGAAGGTGCTGAGAGATCGACCATACTTCAACAACACTCGTATTCTAGGGCCAGATGTTTCGGGCATTTTATCGAAAGATTCGGTCTCATATGTGGAAGAGTGAGTTTTGTTTTCAAATGTTCATTAGAACTATCTATTGGACGGATCTAAGTTTAACATTGTGCTTGCCCCTTGGAAGGATACCCTATTGTCCGATCTATAATAATGATTTTTCAAAGGAGGGCCGATGTTTCGGTCCTCCAGTAACGTCATGCCAAACAAACCGTTAGACAGATTGAGACTCCTGTTACCCTGCATGTTCGTTGACATAAGTGGGACAAAAACATGGACTGGTGAGCTGGAAGTCGGTGCCATATGTCCTTTTCATCCCAAACTAAACTATCTTGATCTTGACCACACAACCGTTTTGTGTGCTGAAGATTCTTCTAGCCTGTCTGATAAACATGAACACATTCATTCTTCAACAGAAAAGTGAAACTAAAATCTTATATACTATTTTGAATGTATATTTGTATAGTATAACAACAATAATCCACATCTTTTAATAATGACCAGTTACTTCAACGAAAATGTACCTTACAAATTGCAATGAGAAAAGTTCCTTTCGTCCTCTGTTGATATTCCTTTCTATATAGCTTATTTTCTATTTCCCATTTAGGTTTTTAGCTGCTGGCGGAGCAAGTGTCGTGGACGGGGTCACATTCCATCAGTGAGTACATGCATACCGTCAAGTCGATAGGCCTTAGTCTATCCCGATGTTGGGTGGGACTTAATATCGCTTGTAAAATGTTAAATACACCAGGCTAGCTATTCTCGAACGTTCGTAGCCCTACGAAATTTGTAAGCCCATTCTTAACACATTGGCTACGATCAAATTTAAGGATTCTTAGGGCTACGAACGTTTCGAGAATAAGGGCCCAGGATACTTCATAAGGAAGTACAACCATTTACCACCGTTATTCGGCACTAATGCAATACATATATGTAGGTAGGTGGCACATTTACATGTTCATGCATTTGTTCTATTGACTGGTACCTTATAAACAGATGAACATGTTCCTTGTATCTGTATAATCGACTGGGCGGTGGGGTATAGCCTAGTGGTTAAAGCGTTGGCTCGTCACGCCGAAGACCCGGGTTCGAATCCCCACATGGGTACAATGTGTGAAGCCCATTTCTGGTGTCCCCCGCCGTGATGTTGCTGGAATATTGCTAAAAGCGGCGTAAAACCAAACTCAGTCAGTCAGTGTATAATCGACTCCTGTTTTAAACATATACACATGTGCAAAGCACTTGCTCCTTGTATCTCAACAATCGACTTCCTTCTTAAATATATACACATGTAAATATCACATGTTCATTGAATCTGTACAGTCGACTCATTTTATAAACATATGCGTGTGTACATAGCACATGTTTCTTGTATCTGTACAATCAACTCCTTTTTAAACGTACGTACATGTACATAGCACATGTTCGTTGTATCTGTGTCCATGATCGATACATACCTTTACATACTGAGAATATAATACATCTTACATTTGTTGAATATATTTACTCTATGCAACAATAATAACACGAAGTGTACCGGATTCACAGAAAATAAGGGTGTCAGCTGTAATTAAATGTCATTGGCAATTATATGTACCGGGCAACCTACCAAAACATGATTATATAAAACGTCATGAATTCAATATACTCCTTGCTCACTCTGCGAATTGCAGTGACGTTTGTGCAGTTATGACTATTCACATTAGGTAAAGTAAAATAATATCCTTTCTTCATTTTGTTTGACTTGTAAAACCTATCGGTGATAAGAGTACATAACAGTTTCATTATGTTTCTCGAGGTATTTTGGAAACGGAGACAATGCAACCAAAGAGATGTTTACAAATACCACGTTTATGGACACTCTGAATGCTTCCTTCGTATCGGCACACAAGGCAACACGAGCATTGGCGTCAAACAAACCTCTCCTCCTGGGTGAAACTGGGTCCTTCTACCACGGCGGCGTTGTGAACATGACAGACACCTTTCTTGGTGGATTTTTGTAGGTATTTCAGACAACAGGCACGACTGACTGACTGACTGACTGAGTTTGGTTTTACGCCGCTTTTAGCAATATTCCAGCAACATCACGGCGGGGGACACCAGAAATGGGCTTCACACAATGTACCCATGTGCGTATTCGAACCCGGGTCTTCGGCGTCACGGGCCAACGCTTTAACTACTAGGCTAACCCACCGCCCCTAACAGGCACGAAGAGATCTACAGTGCGGTATAGTTTGTCCTAACACGTCGTTATCTTAACCTAAAGAAGGGTTTAGCATTTTCATTTACTGTTATATCAGGGTATATCAAGCAAAATATCCATCCACAGATTACCTGAAGTTCTTGCAAGGAATTTAGAAGATGAATGGATATGAATACAGGACACATTTTATGGATAACAACTTCCTTTTATTCTTTGTACGACGTTTCAGAACTAATTCTTGCTCCTTCGTCCCGTGAATGAGTGCACAGAGAGAATATGTACATGTTTTAACTTCTACTTCAAATTAAACATAACAAGCAATTAAAACATTTGGCACCATTTAATTAATTCAAAAGCCTGGAAGATACACCATGAAACGTGTCAGCATGCAGTGACTTACAAAATGTTACAGTAATGTAATAATGCATATTATATCTCCCAGCCCAAAGTAGGAAAAGAGGTAATGTTAGAAGAAGAAATATTAGAACCTCAAACTTTCAATTCTGAACATTAATTACGCACGCTCAATTATGCAGCCCTGCCCAGCCCTGGGATGCTAACCGATCTGCACTATATTCTCTTGAGCTATAAAATATTTTGTTACGGTACTCTTTGTCATAGAAGGGAACACTGCCCCAGATGTACTTGGAAGACAGGCGACAAACATCCTGCACATATTTCAAGTAATCGGTAATGTTAAAACCCTCAAACCTTTTCTCTGAACACTGAAATATTGAGTCACTTCGTAGAAAGAAATGTTAGAACCTCAAACTTTCAATTCTGAACATTAATTACGCACGCTTAATTATGCAGCCCTACCCAGCCCTGGGATGCTAACCGATCTGCACTATATTCTCTTGAGCTATAAAATATTTTGTTACGGTACTCTTGGTCATAGAAGAGAACACTGCCCCAGATGTACTTGGAAGACAGGCGACAAACATCCTGCACATATTTCAAGTAATCATCACCCCATATCTACCTCTGACGAAGAGATCATGTCACGTAGCATGCCGATGCTGGCATAAACCCACATTTCCTGGGTGACCTTGCCTAATTTCCCGGCACCCTTCGAGTTAGCGTTACCAAGGTCCAATGTAATACCATCACCTAACTCGACAGTTCTGGGCTCTACATCTAACGCTTCTAATGTTTCGCTTTTTGCCAGTTGAAGTTGTACCGCCGGTCCGCTGATGTTGACCTTGACTGTCGCCGCCATCTTGCCGAGCGTCCCCTAGCTGTTGTTTCAAGTCCCCAATCTCATCCATCAATTTCTTGCGCTTGGCTTCAAATCGTAGTTTCATCAATTTGGCCTCCAGAACTTCACATTCGCTCTGTAAAGCGGTCGTATAACAGGGGACCTAGTAGCGCGTGACTGTCCATGAAAACTCACTTGACAAGGCGGTCGACCTTGCCGGCGAGCTTAACGTGTGTCTGTCAGGAGACAACGTGATCCCCTGGTCTGACTTATGTAGTGCACCCATGATGATTGACATTCGAGATATTCTGCACCCTTATGTTTAGGATTAATCCCTCCGCTACCTTCCACCATGTTCAGAAACATAAAAACTTCTTCTTTTCGTTTTCATAAAAACTTGTGTGCGACAGCGGTCGCCATGCTGGCGGTAAGCGCGGTGTTACGTAACGCCCTCTACACCAAAGAAGATAACTCTTCACATCACAGTCAAATGCCTTAGGTCATGGGCTGGCGAAAGGGAGGCCACTCTATACGTACTGTTAAATCAGTTTTACTCTAACTTAAAACTATACTTCAAATTATAAATTCACTCTGTGCACTGACTCGAATGAAGGAGCAAGAATTAGCTCTGACAGAATTTAAGGAAATTGTTATCCATAAATGTAGTCATGCATTCACAGTTTTCCTTGTATATTATTGGACAGAAGTCGAAACCATTTCACTTCATTATTTAAGCATAAAATATATGTAATGAGCCAGTCTTCTGAGTATATCATGCAGGTGATAGGGTTTTATGGGTTCATTTCAAGATGGATGGACAAGCTCGGCATGGCCGCCCAATCAGGCATACAGAATGTGTTCAGACAGGACTTGTATGGACTTGGATCAACCAATCACCTGCTAGAGCCATACACATACGACCCTCTGCCAGTGCGTATACATTACATATATCTAAGTTACGAAAAGCTATGACGAGCCATTAGTAAGGTAGGTAGAGCTTGGGATTATGCAATTAGGAACGTCCCTCAATTACTTCCACCTAACCACCTCCAGAGTGGCAAATAGTTGGTCTCTCGATGTTCTACGTATTGAAAGTGTCATTATAATTGATATATGTTCTCAGCTTAAGGTATCTCAGGTCAGGTTGTCTAAAAGATGTGCAGACATCTCAAATGGCCAGGCTCATTCTTTCCCCTTGGTAGCCTTGTGGTTACGGTGTTTGCTAGTCATGAACTCACTCATGTATCCAGCAAGACATGTACAGTACTTACCTGAAATGCAGTTAAGAGCTGTGTTCATTACAACTCAACCTCTCAGGTACGAGCTCGATTACCTCCAGACCTTTGGAATACTGCTAAGTGCAGGTATGATAATAGAAACATGTTTGTATATCTGCCTAAATTATTGTTGTAGGACTACTGGTTAACATTTCTCTTCAAAAAGCTGGTGGGCAACGACGTGTTCAAGCCTCGAGTCGAGGGTCCGCCTACTGTAAGAGCGTACTGTCACTGTATGCGACACATAAAGTAAGTATTATAACACATTATACATTATAACATTGTATTATCAAAAGTGGAATGTAGGCTTTGGCAGCATTCAAATTAACGGATACCAGCTAGTTACATTGTCAGCGAATGTTACAGATAGAAGTTAAAATGGGTTTGAAGGCAACAACGGCAGGAGAAAGAACTGTTGAAATCTGTAGAACGTAAAGCCTTGTGGTACAACAGAACAGCTAGTATGTCATCGGAAAGATGGTCTCTGGAGCGTAAATTTTGTTCACTCTAAATATTTCACCTTTCAGTCCTTATTTCTATCCACCTGGTAGTGTGACGGTATTTGCAATGAACCTTGACACTGTGGCAGTAAACTTGACATTCCCAGCATACAAAGGTGGATATATGGACCACTTCCTGTTTTCACCGGAAGGAGGGGATGTACAGTCGAGGTATGACTCGCGACTAAAATATGTCTATCTGATGATACCAAGTGGAACTGACTAAGGTTACATGACCATCAAAACCATTTATATTTGTACATAACGTCATACCGATATTGGATATTATTTTTCGTAAATCTAAAGTTGGCATTTCCAGGGACCAAAAAGGCTTTTTACCTACCTGGCCCTATATATTAATTGGGTTAGGTAAATACTTAGCGGTTAACTATTACCTCTTGCAGAACTGTGATCCTCAATGGGCACCAGCCTGTGCATCTGGTTGAAGACGAGATACCATTTCTGGTTCCTGCTGGTGCAGGGGGAAAAACAATCACCTTCCCCCCTCTGACGTACGGGTTCATTGTACTGTATGCGGACGCCAGTGTGTGTAAACCTGACAACTGAACAGCCTATGTGTCGGTTTGCTGAAAGTCTATTGTCCTGGTTCCATCAGATATGTACATGGTATTTGACCAAATGATTTCTGACGGATTGTTTCTTTGAGTTGAAATGTTTTTGTGTTTTCTGCGTTAGACACAAGGAAACTTGGTGTCCGTGGGGAGGGGCGGTGGGGTAGTCTAGTTGTTAAAGCGTTGGCTCGTCACGCCGAAGACCCGGGTTCGAATCCCCACATGGGTACAATGAGTGAAGCCCATTTCTGGTGTCCCCCGCCGTGATATTGCTGGAATATTGCTAAAAGCGGCGTAAAACCAAACTCAGTCAGTCAGTCAGTGGTGTCCGTGGGATGTATCCGAACGAAGTCCACTACTACTGTCCTTGGGAACTTTTTTGAACATGGTTGTTAATAGCATCTACAACCGTTGGTGCATATATTCGGCTATGGTTGTTAACCTTAAGATGTGTCGCAACATCTTCCACAACTACTGTTAGAACCTGAATGTTAATGTCCACTACTGAAAACATTGGTATCAAATTCGAATCTGGTTGTATACTGTGATATATGCCTGGACACCGTCCTTTACTTCAGTCTTGGGTATTATGTAGGGGTGGGTATTGCAGAGAATTTTCATATTGCGATATATTGCGATGCGAAAGCATGTATTGCAGTATGTATTGCAATATATTGCATGAAGTATTTTTAAACAAAAAACTACTTATAATCGAGTTAATGCTTGATTTATAGAGCATAAACACAGCAAAATCACTTTGCTTGATTAAGCTTCAATAACAAATTTCATCATGATAAAATAGAAATGTGAATAATATTTGGCACAAATGAAACAAGGAAATATCCGAAGATTTCCGAGTGTTACGAAGTTTTCCGAATGCAAGTCAAAATGCCGGTTTTCGATCAGCGTATCGCAATACGTATCGTTTTCATGTCTGAACCGGTAAATACCGGTAAACCGGTTATATTGCGCAGCCCTAGTATTATGGATTCTTGTTGTTAACCGAGTATACAATCATCCACGTACAATATTGTTGTTAACCGAGTATACAATCATCCACGTACAATATTGTTGTTAACCGAGTATACAATCATCCACGTACAATATTGTTGTTAACCGAGTATACAATCATCCACGTACAATATTGTTGTTAACCGAGTATACAATCATCCACGTACAATATTGTTGTTAACCGAGTATACAATCATCCACGTACAATGCCGTGACGATTCGATTCAGAATTGATCTTCAGCAACCCATGTTAAAGGAATCAGGGTTAGCCTCTCAGACTCGGTTGATTCATGGAATTATTTCACAACTGAGTGGATTCAAAGTCATCATGTCAATCACCGGATCTCTTGGTCCGTACTGGAATATTTATGAACCGACGTCAAACAGCAGAGACGAGAAACAGACAAGCAAATATCCACACAAAATTCATGCAATGGGACAAATATACATTCACATGTTTTTATGCATATATACTCTTATTAAAATTAATGACAATTGCACACAGGTTTCTAACGTGCAAATTCTGTTTATACCCTCGCAATTATACACACAGGCTTTGATTTCAAAACTACTATACAATGTGAACGTTTGTTATAGGCCTTTTTAAAATGCCAGTCAAGTGTAAACATGCAGGGTAGCATGGCTCACCTACGCCTGTACACGTTTCATTTTCACACCAAACATATCGTACATGAGGTTTTTGAATTTGTTTAAAAACTGATGGGATTTGGAGTCTTTGTACGGATTTAGAAGAGATGCACATAAAGGCGAGAATTTTTGGGAAGTCAACTTATTTATTTTGGGTGGCGCGACGTTTTGGAGTATATTCTCATTATTCTGCAACTAACATGGTGAAGGATGTTGTCGATGGCTGGAGATCGGTTGGACGACAGTTATAAACCTGTGGGAATAAGGTTGGTGTTACGGCAGCGGAGTAGGACAGTTAGGTGCTTGTCGGTTTTAACACTGCTAATGCTCCTGTTGTACCATTCTCTTCCCACAGAGGTTTCGTACTTGTCATATCTTTCGTAGGAAGAGAATGCTGTTGTACTTGTTGATGATATCTCAATGTTGATGTCGTGTGGAGTCATTTACCTGATGAAAGAGTAAGAATATACTCCGAAACGTCGCGTTCATCTCTCTCACACGCACCGAGTCTGCTGGGCCCAAACATGGAATTATTTGCCTAATTCCATATCCTCTGCCTTCTGTGAGCATGTTTCTACATCAAGTTTCATTCTGTTTAGATGACTATTATTTGCGCTAATGTCTTCTTTCAACGTGACGATATTATTGTGTCTATTCTTTTCATTTCAAAGATTGTATGTGAATATGACATAGCACCACCACCTGATCTGAGATTAAACTCCCGATCCCATGATTGAAACAGCATTCTGTACTGTGCGCTTTTCACTATACGTGTGAATAAAGATTGACAATTAGATATACAGTCACAGGAGTTGGTGACTTAAATGCTTGACTAAGAAGGGTACTGAGGATATTCTCTGACTAAAGATCCCCACCAGTTGGACGCGGACAGGAAGTTTGTCAGTAATTGGACATGTACAGACATCATGCATCTTTGGGTTTCCAATATTTTAACATCTGTCCCGACTACACAGACGAGAAGTGTTCTTAATCGATTGCCGAGTCACTTCAAAGTGAGGGTTGAAAACAAAGGACATACTGTAAACGTATTATATATCGCGCAGGTTTTATTTTCGCGCTTTTCGCGCAAAATATTTTACCGCGAAAATGTATACACAGCGAATAAACCTTTCATTCATTCACTCAAGTTTGAAGATAGAAATCTACGGAAATCTAAATGACGACTGATATTGAATTGAAATATTGAATTGAATTGATATTAGCATAACTGTCGCTGTAATGCATTTCCCAAATCATGTCCCGACATGTTCTATTTTGACCAATCGTAGTGACAGATGGTTTGATACAAAACAAATTACCATGAAACGACTCGGAAAGAAATAATACAGCAGTATATTTATTATTCATTTTAGATTTTATTTACATTTATACCTGCATATCACGAAATGAAATCACAAAGTCCAGGTGTCTTAGGGGTAGGTGTTTTCTTTAACCACATTCGCAATGCCATCGTCAGATCGTCAGAATTCGGAACATAAGACTGATGTGTTTTTCATCTCTTTATATGTACATGTCCTTGTTGCATGCAGAGGGTTATCTGACGCACAATTAATACACAGTCAGTGATTACAGCAGGGGCGGATACAGCTTTTTGAGAAAGTGGGGTGCACACTCTTTAGAAAGGGGAGGAGGGGGATGCACACTTTATTTTCATGAGAGTTTCAATGGCCCTTTAATAAACTTTTAAGACAAAAGGGGGATGAGGGTGCGCACCCTGACCTCCCCCACCCCTCCCCCTCTGGATCCGCCTATGGTTACAGGTAGTTGGAATTGATACTGCGCAATAAGTACAGGGATCCCAGTCGGAACAGAATATATATACGAAGCACTCGTAAAATACCTGCATCTAGACCTAATGGACCTATCAACGAACCTGCGCACGTAAATAAACGCAGCGGCAGTTCTGTTATTCAATGCCGAAGAAAGGGCTATATTTCCTTGTCCGACGTGTCAAATGCCAAATGCTCAGATTCATCAGAAAACTGGATTTATTCATTTAACATTTGGATAGAACGGTTGACTTTATGACTGTATTGTGTGCTTACCTTGTCCGTCAGCAATATATGCATTGATAAAGACTATGTTAGAACACAATTATTTAAATTACATGATGTGAACAAACAACAGCCCTTTCCTCGTAGAGCTATGCGTAACAATGTTGTGCTCAATGCAACTGTATTTTAAACCCATGAAGATCCGGATTAGAATTGGTCTTCAGTAACCCATGCTTGTCTTATGGGGATCGGATGGTCAGTCTCGCTGACTTGGTTGACACGTGTCATCGTATCCCAGTTGCGTAGATCAATGCTCATGCTGTCGGTCACTGGATTGTCTGGTCCAGACTCGATTATTTGTAGACCGCCATCGTATAGCTGGAATATTGCTGAGTGACGCGTTAAGCAAACAAACAAGCAACTATATTTGAGGTGTTAGGTCTGTAGTAAGAATCATGTTTTTATGAGGTTCCGCTAATTAGTCCAAGGTTTCACTTCCTGGAAATGTCTTCCAGCTTACCAACGTGACCTTGGGAGTACTCTTACCATGTTGATGTTATTCAACAATGTTTTGATAATCTCCAATCTCACCACCATCAACAGGTATTGCCTGGATAGGTATAACGTCAGTGAAGCTTCAATCAGTTAATGTTAGGGGTATTAGAAATGCTCGCAAAGAAGCGATATATTTACATTTTTTAAAGATAAAATCTCTCTCTCTCAGTTGAGAACCCAAATGCACATGTCCTCCCCATTATGTTGCTAGAATGGTTCAAAATGCCGCGTAAAATCCAAACTCACTCATATGTGATAAATGACTTCATGCATATTCGGTCCTTGTCAGGGCATAGCATGTCAATGTTTTGTTGACTATGGAAACATGCGAGCACGGCGGGGATTTAGACTTCATTATAAATTACACTCCTCTAATAATTGTTTGTTTTATTCCGTGTTGTTTCTCGGTTTAATGCAGAGCACGTGATTAACGTACTGGCTCCAAAGTCTGCTTTCATGATCATGCATGCGTGATTCACATCCCTCGTGGTTTAGTCAATATCATATGACAGATGTTAACCAGGTTAAATAAGGTCACCTCGATCAATGTTCCGCTGTATGCAGCATACAGCATTGGTTCATCAACACTAACTTGTAGATCTCGTGCTTCGTGGTTTTGCTGTTCGTCGGCAAGTGGTACAAATTCGCTGCCAAGACTTACCATCTCGGGCACCTGGTAGCCCTGACGTCACCGTGACGTCACGCATACCACCAACATGGCGTCATGAATGAAATCGGAAATACGAGGCAGGTCCATTCATAGTTAGCTCGCCTCGCGGACAGGATTAGGTTTTACTGGCTTGGGCTGTAGTCAGCACATCGAAACACGGTAAATATTGTTTATCTCGTCCTGTATATGATTGTCGACAGTGCAAACAATCACGAGCGCTGTCGATCAACTGTAGACCAAGTTCCCAGTTCAGTGTTTGGCTTATTTCGCATGACTGCACTTGTATTCACTCTCGGATGCTGGGCAAACCGCTGAGATTTTATAGCATCAGCATCTCATGCGAGATCTTGTTACAAGTTTTCATCCCATACGTGTTGCAGAAAGTCTGGATTGTGTTCGAGGTTTATTTATATCTTGCAAGGAAATTCGTGTAACAAGTTAGGGTGACCTACAGTTAGGCGTACTAATGACTCACAGCTGCTTTGCGGTTATATACTACAATCCCGTCGACTGTTTTGGATGTAATTATTCCTTGTAGACGTCTGTCGGATACGTGAGCAGTTGTTATGTTTTTCAAAATGCGAGGTGAGTGGATGTGTTTTGATAAATACACTTGTATTGTAAAGAAACACACAATGTTTATTATTAGGGCAACATTTTACTGTAAAGATAAGGAAATGTTCAACGTGGCAGTATCTTAGCATGTTTATGAACTAAAAGTGCACCCAAATTATGTACAGTTCTTCAGTTTGGATTAAAGTGATAACGGCCACATTTGTATTGTGACTAATACTACAGAATAAGCAGCAAATTAGTGTCCAAAACTATGCATGGAAGTGAAGGCAATGAAAGATCGATATGAACTTTTGTTATTATAAGGATGTTTAGGTGTGCCCTTTGGAATTTAACATTCCAACTAGAGGAATACTTTTGGTCTTTCATGTCATTTGACAAGTTTATATAATAATCGGGTATTGGCTTGGCCTCTGTATAATTATTCAGTAGAATTTATTCATTGATTGTACCACAATATGTTGCCTGCATTCTGTTTTCTGCTGTTCCTCATGAACCCGAAAGTAGTTAAGTGACATGTGTTATGGACACATAATGTACAGGAAAATGGCCGCAAATAGTTTTGATGTTTTCCTTCACTGGAATAAGCTGCTAATTTCCTCAATTTCGTAATTTCAATTTGAATCGTCACTCTTTAATTTTGCCAACAAGTTGAAAGTATGAATAAATTTGAATGTATTATACAGGTATTTTGATGCGCATTTATTAATGCTTCACAACATGATATCCTTGTATACCAGTAATAATGCACACCTCTAATAGGTTATAGCAGTTATAATTTAGAAAGTTTAACCCTTTCCTTTTCATGAAGACTGACTACCCAGAAATATTTTGTCAATAATACCTATATTACCATTAAGTTATATGTTCATCACTTTCACATAACATTCATATACATAGTCGCAAGGAAGTCTTTCTTTTTAAGCACTAAAATACAATGAATTTCAAAGTGGTCCTAGTGTCATGAGCCTAATGATTGCTAATGTATCCAAGATTTAGGTGGTCAATGTAGCACAGTAGCAAACCATAATGACTCTCGTAACTTTGAACACTTTTAAAAAACCCAGTGTTGGTTATCAGTAGTACTCACATACTGTATTTGGAAGACAGTGTATATGCATATTAATGTTTAATCATTTGTATTCAATAATTCGAATGGTATTTCTTCTCGAATAATGACACTATATTTCATCATGAGTGAGTGAGTTGGGTTTAATGTGCTAACACCAGTATGAACTGTATTCCATTATATCATGTCATGATGTCTGAAGTCACCATGAACAAATCTGTTAATTTCCATCACTTAGTGCACTGAGCTTGATAGGCTGGTCAAGTTTTGTGGCTTGGCAGGCTGCATGTCATCTTGCTATGGTGGCATGAATCGATGCTCATGTTATAACCACCCCTGAATATCCGGGTTAGAATTTTTTTCGTAAGAGGCAACTAACAAGATCGGGTGCTCAAGCTAGCTGACTTGATTGACACATGTCATTGTGTCCCAGTTGTGTAGATCGATGCTCATGCTGTTGATCACTGGATTGTCTGGTGCAGATTTGATTACTTACAGCCTGTCGCCATGTAGCTGGAATATTGCTGAGTGTTGTGTAAAACTAAACTCACTCACTCACTCATGTTATAACCCACTGGTTTCAGGAATCTTCTTGATGCCAACTACTGCTTCCAATAAACATACAAATATTAAATGGGATTGACTAATTTTATCCCTACAGGGTGCAAAAGAAGGGTACAAAAATTGCTTCAAGTTAAGAGTGTCTGAGGTTAGCTTTCCTCAGTTTTATGTTGAAATCCCCATCTACATCAGCCTAACGCTGTCTGAACACATGCAGTGATCGTCAGTACATCATCCAAAAGCCGCCAGCATAATCATGATGTGTACCCACAATCAGAGCTCCACATAAGATTTAGCTCATGTGGGTACTGTACCCACTGTATTTTTTTGGAGTGGGTATTATGAATGTTGAGTGGGTATTTCATTTTCCGTTACCCACTGCTTTCAAATATGTGCGTATTTCAGTCATATTTCTCACCTAAGTATTATGTCATTGAGTAAGTTTACTAAGCAGGTATGTTCTGCCTTATGTCATACCTAATCAAAACCAAGTTATATATAATGGAAATGATTTCATAAAAAGTCACTCATCCTATACTGACAGTACAACACTTATCCTATACTAACAGTACAACTTGATAGCAATCGATGTCTTTTTCATTACGCGAGTGATTTTTATAAATATATTCCGTACGCATTTGTTTTAAACTTTTTGCGTATCTAACATTTTAAATGCGTAATTGGTACGCAACAATTATTTTTCAATGCGTAATTGGAAATTTTCTATGCGTATTTTACCCGGATACGCAGCTTATCTGGGCCTCTGCCCACAATCATCATAACTCATTGTTGTTTGAACTCATAAACAGACCCCGGTATGTTCCTACTGTTGTTCCTGATTCAGATTTGATTATTTCATGGCCACATTGAAATAGCTAGAGTATTGCAGAGTGCTGTGATTCAACAACATTCTTTCACTTGACGATCTGATCTCAGCTCAGAAATATGATTCAATGTTCCTGGAACGTGGAGACTATCTGAGATGCAGGAAATGAAATTTACCCTTTCTCTACCACAAAGGACTTTACAAATATTCACGTCCATATGAATAGGCTTTAGCATGTCATTTATAAATAATGTGTGTATTTGCTTTGAGGTATTGATGTCCTCACTATGGTAACGATCTACCGTATGTACTGTATTAAAACTCTGCTCCTTGAGTTCCTCCTGAAAGACCATTAGGCCAAGTTGTAGGTAATTTTTATGTCTCTGCTATTAATATGATTAATACAGCTGTAAATGAACATAAAAGTCCATTTTGTTACACATTTGTTACAGGAAATGACATGAAGAAGTGTTGTATGAATCACTTGTTGCTACACAGAATATCCAAAATGGCAGTTTCAGTTTCATTAATATTTTGCATGGTTTAGGCCAGACCAATTTTATTTCTTGTATTACGGATCTGCCGGTCATATTTTTTCAAGAATAATAAAAAAAAATAAAAAATTCCCTGTTCAAAAAATAAAATCCTAATGTTTGTATTGGCCAAAAATGTAAACTTACAAGAAATATTTTTTTAGATTGTATTGTTCCCCATATACACTTCATAAATTGCCAAAAGTAAAATACTTTTAGTAGTTAAAAGGAATGTTACATTGACTGGTGATATTTTGTTTTCTCCTCCTGCCTTTAGGTTTTCTGAGTACAAAAATCCGAAAAAACAAGAAATAAAATTGGTCGGCCTAACTTTGTTTTTATATTGTCAGTTGATTTCAGAACATGATTCAATAAGTGCCCTTATTTCAGGATGTGATTTCAGATAGTACCACTTTGTGAATTCTCGGTTTCTGGAGTAATTATTACAGCAACTACAGTAAATGCTGTGGAGTGTTGGTTGCCCAGGGGTCTGAAAGGACACAGCTCCTCTGTTGAGATGTTTGTCATTTGACGTCATCAATGTCAGTGATAAGCATCATTGTGTGTTTTTTCTAGCAGATAACATTGATTCCCCTTACATACTGTAGGTGGAAATACACCAAACTCACTCACTCACTCACTCACTCACTCAGGTTACTTGTTGATAGGTAATTGGATTATGTCATGCATGCTGACAATATTATAGGCATGTACCAGTATCTATTCCTGAGTCAAGCCGAGGGGAGGGTTTATGAAATAATGCAAAGCAAAATAAATTTGTTCTCAGAGATCATGTAGAGAACAAAATTGCTTCAAATGTCAGTTAAAAAATAAAATTGAAACTGTTTTGACTATATCTTCATACAATTTATACTCCCCCCTATGTTTATAAAATATGGACTGTCATATTAATGTTTTGTCTTCATTGAGGTTCTTGCTGGTTGGTCTAGAATTTAGTGAGGGTTTCAGCGAAGTAGGGCATATAACATGGTGAATGTGGAATGTCTAATTACATCTGCATAACTGCTGATCAGTTTCTGTATGTTTACCAAGAGATAGCTAATGACAGGGGTGGAAATAACTTTAAGATTGCTAGTGTACTCCGGTACAGTGGCACATGTAAAATCACTTGCCCTGATAATTTTTCCACTATACCGTCCGTTTTCTTGTTGATTTTTTAAATAAACAACATAATTAATATTGGAAAGTCAACTGGACACCGGTACAGTGTGATATACAAATTTGCTTGCCCAACAGAAAAAAACACTGGACTCGGGCGTCGGGCAATGGGTTATTTCTACCCCTGAATGAAGATATTCAAACATGCTGTATTTACTGGTAGTCATGGTAGTAGTGTAAACATGGTAGAGAAGCAGGACTGTCTGGTCATGCAACTGTCTCATGTTGTCTTGTTCCTTTCCTACCTCAGGGATTTGTCTGGGCTTCTTCAGAGACAGACATTCATCCCCATGTCTGCAATTATTCTGCAATAAAATTTCCTACTCATGTTATCTAATAATTCATTTAATATGTCCTTTTAACGATAACCTGTATTTCACTGGTAAGAGGACCAATACAGTGGAAGAAAATTACATGG